TTGGTGAAAACTGTGTATTTTTAAAATTTATGAGAAATTTCGAAAGGTTAAAATTCAGTTCGTTAAATATTTGAAAGTGTGTGTGTAAAATAAACATTGAATTGCATCATTGATCAAACATTAAATTATTTATCAAACATATTTAGACCAATTCAAACGTAGTTGTCACTAAAGTTCCACAAAGGCTTAGCTAAAAAAATCTTTTTGAATAGATTTTTTAGCTATGTTTTCAAAACAAATTATCTTAAACGGCCTTTAAAATAGAAGTTTGTACGGGGTTATCCTATATTATATATATAACCCACTGGGTTAAAGAAATTCAGTATAATGTAAACGTACTATTTGCTGAAAATATTAAAACCCTTTCAAATTTTTTACAAACAAAATTTGGGATACATATGTGAAATTTAAACGAATTAATTTTTAATGAAGCCATTCAAGTAAAACCAGTATAAAAATAACTAAAGTCGGTCCAAAACGTTTATATAATTACCCATCACGAATTTGTATATACGCAAGATATGATCATATCGCTCATTTGCTGCAAGACCGGCATAAATAAAACGATTTTTGAGTTAATGACGCGGAATTTTTCGCTATATCTGACTCCATGAGCCAAAGACTCTGCAAGCCGAAAAATTAATCGCTGATAAATCGTCTGCAGTTAGTCCACTACCCATTATTTCGTTCAATACTCCCTATGAACCAAACCAGTTGGGATTTCTTCCCAGAGTAGGTGATTGGACAAGAAAACCAAAGCAACACAGAAACGTTTTGATAACATCGTCTATGATCCGAAACGAAATCCCCTTCATATACTTTCCAATTTACAATCTCAGTGTTATCCATATCTAATGATCTAATATATTTACAAATGTTGCAAATTGAATACAGGTTCCCCCAGTGGCGGAAAATTCCGCCCGGTTACTACTTACAAATTTTCTCGAGATCTCATTAACCTATGCAGCTGCGAAGTAGTCTGTTGACACAGCTTTTAAGAATTTCGACATTTGATTATGCGAAGACCAAAGTTTTGCTTCCAAACCAACATCTACATCTGTTCCAGTTGCAAAAATGAGGTGACAACCATAAAGGATCTCGTCAATCTTAATCTTAATCTTGCTTACTTGCCACCGAATCTCCGAAACACTAGATTATCGGCTACTGCAAACGCAGTTAGGGCAGTTTCTACTTTTGAAAGGTCGGCATCATTCTGTAACATACACTGTAGTATCAGCATGGCTTTCCTCATTCGAAATAGGGACATTGTCTCTAATGTCAGCCGGAATGCTTTTCTGACTAAGTTGGACTTCCTCAATAATGTTATGAAGAGATTCACTCTTTCTAGCAATGTCATTCAAAACAGCAGTGAATTTGTCCCCTCCCTTGATTAATGTCCTCTGCGTTGAATGTTAACTTGTACTTTTAGCACTTAAAGAAGTGTCCGTATCCGAATTTTGCATCACTTTTTTGGTCTTGTGGCGTCTGAGTTTAAAGTTGACAAGGCAACCCCACCTATTTCAGTCGCCTATTTCCGAATTCATGCGTCATCGAGTATAGCCTTGTTAGCATGGCAAGAATTTAGTAATACCCGGACTGCAACCAATTAAAAACTGATAGAAATGAGATCGCGCAACGCACCTGTTTTAGGTTGTCATATTATTTTCAATATTTTTGAAAATATAAGTCATTAGCAAAAATTGTCCTGGAATTCTCTGAGCGATGCGGATTTAAACTCTTTCATTGCTAAACTGTCTTCCGTGACATGTCATTTATCAGATATGCAACTGATTACCTTACTCATTACCCTGATAAGTGAATTTATCACCAACTGTGCCAACTAGCATTTGCTAAAAAATTTCAAAGGGAATAGAGAATGTCACGTATTACAGACAAAGTTATTGATAACAAATTTCTGTTGTATCTACATATAGACATCATGTATACGCGTGTATAATAACAATTAGCATGTTGAATTTAATTATAGTTAATTAATTTATAATTTAATGCCATATCTACTAATCTTGGATTGTTCGATTATCTATGTGTCCATATGGTTGATACGCAAAATAATAAAAAAAAACAAATAATTGGAAAACCAAATATTGACAACTGCGTTGTGTATTATTTATGAAAAGAGGGGAATAATTCAAATCTAACTTCTATAGTAGAACTTAATATATTCTACCGCATTGTTTAAATCATTTAAATAAATTATTATTATCGTCTTTCTTATCCTACAGAATCAATTTGTTTAACCCCAAACTAATATGGCGCCAAACAGTAATGACACCGAGATTATCAACCCTAATGAATATTTAAGCATACCCGAATGGATTAATGAAGCCTATTTTACACCAATTCTTGAAAAAGATGTAGAGAATTTCAAAGAAACATCTAAATTTAAGGCAGTTGCTGCAACAGCGCCCGGTGAAAATTATACATCGATTATGGTTCGTGTTGTCATCGATGTTATATTGACAGGTAAGATATGCTTTTTGCAACAGATCGATATATTTGTGGAGAGCCCAAAAAGTATATGTATTCATTACTACAATAAAATTCTAGTGTGGATTCTGCTCCTACTCTCACTACATTCCCGAGTTAACGCAGAGTTCTGCCCGGTGAGTCGATATCTTCATGAGTTATTTCGTACGGACGAAGGCGGAAATGGATCTACTCCAATACGTGTTCTGGGCACATTTGTTCCTTTTCTAAAAACATTCTTCTCAAAAAATACTCGATATAGGCCCATTTTTTGACATTTTCTTCAATCTGCTACTCCTAGGATGGCGATGGCGTAATGCAGTGAACAGTGTGTCGGCGTATTTAAATTCCAGTAGAGGAGGACAATTTCTTTCAATGTGGGTTTCGAATAATTATTACTATTACCTAGGAAAGTCTACAGCAGACCAATCATCTTAGCAAAAATTCGGGAACAATGATTAACGAAACTATCCTAAGGTCTAATCGAGTAAGATGGATATGCTATGAAAATGGTACCACCGGTATTTTGAAGGTAATAGCCACATTTTCCAAAGGCAGAGTTGGCTTTCCGGATTCATAGTGGCCGAAACCCTTATTCTCAAAAAATATACAATATAGGTTCATGTTTTGCCATAGTTTCCATTTAAGGTTCTCGCCCCATTTTCGGTATTTTGATAGTCCTAAGCGAACTTTGAATAAAATATTCTATTTCGAGTTCTTCGTTACTAAAAAATTTCTTCGAAAAAATATCAGCATATAGGTCTATATTTTGACATATCTCACATAATTAGGTCCTGCATATTTAGCTGTAGGTAAGAAGTTTTCGCAGAAAAAGTTCAATATAGGATCATGTTTTGACATAGCCCTCCATCTAAAGGTTCTGGCCAATTTTCGATACATTGAAAGTCTTAGCCACAATTTCAAGCGATTTGGCTATAACTAGGCAGAGGATAATGGACCTCCTGGCAAAATTGTATATGTTTTTACATTGATAAAGCCAGTATGTTGAAGTCTCTAGCTGATTTTTTTCGTCCTAAGTATCCGGAGTTTTGTATTTCGTTTGTCCAGAAGAGAAGAAACCTTCTGGCAGAAAATTTTCAATGTTGGTCTTGACCATATTTTGTAAATTAAGTCCATTTTTATTTATTGCAATCTTCATTATCTTCCCTCTTACAGATGGCGCTGCAAAACAAGTTTCATATATCCTCAAAACCGTCTTAGAAAGCGGCAATCAAAGTTCGGAATTTGTCAAATCGATGAATCTCTTCCCCAAGGAAATGAAAATGTATTCTGATTATTTGGCTAAATTTGAAAAACTCTACAAAGAAGCTGGTGTTGAGATACAACTTGCTCCCAAATGTCTACACTGTGAAGATACACCCGAACGCACCGTTCTCGTAATGGAAGATTTAAGTAGAGAAAAATTTAAAAATATGGATCGTTTAAAGGGTTTCGATTCGAAATATAGCCGTTTGGTATTAGAAAAATTAGCCGAACTGCATGCAGCCTCAGCGGTATGTGATGAAGTGAATGGACCCTATGATGAAATTTTCCATCGCAGTTTCATATCCGATGCCAATAAACATATATTTGCTGCCATGTATCCATCACGTACTCATACATGGTTTAAGGCAATGCGTGAATGGGGTCTGGAGGAAATGGAAAAATTCGAAGAGAAAAAATTGGATTTTGAAACATATTACAACGTCAATATAAATATCAATAAAGTGAACCCGGACGAGTTCAATGTCCTCAATCATGGTGATATGTGGGTCAATAATATTATGTTCTCACACGACGACGAAAATGGTGATGTTAAGAAGAGTCTCTTAGTCGATTTCCAGTTGTGCAAATGGGGTAGTCCAACACAAGATTTATGGTATTTCCTAACCACTTCGGTTCAGGTTGATATTCGGGCACAAGAATTTGATAGTTTTATTGCCACCTACCACAAACGTTTGGTGGAATGTTTGAAGCTGCTGAAATACTCCAAGAAAATTCCCAGTCTGAAGGAAATGCACATAATGATGATTAAGAATTCGTATTGGGGTAAGATGTGTTTGAATTTTGAATAAGACGCTTTATAATATTGAATTTCACTTTTACAGCTCAATTCACTGCAATGTCTGTCACGGGCAATATCCTCTTTCCCAACGACAAAGATGCCAATATGGAGAATATGTTAAAAATGGGTCCCGAAGCTGATGCCTTCCGTCACAAAGTTTTAACCTCACCCGTTTTTGTCAATTCAATGCTTCAATGGTTTCCCTTCATCTACAATAAGGGAGCATTCGATGTTTAGATTAAGATAGACAAGCCTAGGAATTTATTTTTGGTAGACAATTTAGTGCAATTTAATTAAATAAATTAAATAATTAATTAAATAAATGTACGTATTTATTTTGTATTTTAATAATTTTGAAATTGTTTATATCCATTGTGCTCAGATTTCATATTATGGTCAGCTATAAAGACTCCCTATAAAGACTGCATTCATCTATCCTACAAAAACTCCCTTCAGCTCGTCTATGAAAGACTCCCTACAGCTCGTCTATGAATGACTCCCTTCAGTTCGTCTATATAAACTCCTTCGAATTCTGACCAATTGGTATTCCGACTATAAAAGTGGACCGGTGTTGAGATATACACAATCACATGTAAGTACCGGACATTTCTATCGGCATCGTGAAATGTTTTATTGTGAATGAACAAACTGCTAAGAGCCTAAAAGTATGCTATATTTTTTATAAAATATTGTATTCATTGACGTATTCTTAGAATTAGACGAGAAAATTGGCTGTACGTCTATAAATAGTGGTATTAAATGTGCATAGACAACAGGGGTCTAATGTTGAGAGTCTATAGAGAAATAATTGCGTATCGCAAATAATTCCGATCGTTCGCAATAGAAGACTAAGGCATGAGTTCGGCTTAATTAACCTTAACCTTAATTGACGTTATGAATAAACCTTGAGTTTAACGATTATAAAAAAAAACAACTCCGTATGAAAAGTGATCGATTTACGTTCACAGATTTTTTATTCCCTCCACCCATTATATTAAGTTCCGCGTGTCTGTTTTAATCAGCCTCCCAACGAAAAGATAGACAACATTTGGCAGAAAATTGCCTATTGTCTGCAGGTAGGCCAAGTTTAAGACTATATTGGTACACTTTAAAACATATTCCCAATATAACAGTTTCCCCAATTTTCGATGATTTGGAAATTTCGAGCATTTGGAAATTTAGCTGAATTTTTTTTTTTTAGTCTCCCTAGGTACTAAATATTATCAACAGTGGTATACTCTTTAGATGGTGTATGAGAACGTCTGTCAACGCAAATGGGTGTAACTCGAGATTTGAAACGCCTTTACACTTTTTCTTTTATAGATTCGACTTTAAAGTGCAGAAACTCAAAGTTGAGCCGTTTTGCCGATAGCTTATGTACTATCGTAGAAAATAGCGAAAGCTTGCGTGTGACAGTTAAGCGTTATCGCCTCATAGCATACGAAATTCCGATACACTATAAGCGATATCGCCTGGCAGAATACCAAAAGTACGAAATTTCGATCGTACGTTCGACTCTCAACATCAGCCCCCAGATTTCCTCCCATGCGTGGAGTTTTCTGAACTAGAAGTGCAACTACCGGCATAAAATAATTTAAGCAAGATTTTTGTGAAGCGTGTCAGCGTCTTGTGGAACGTATACCCAGGAAAATAAACCTTAAACACGATCTTTAACGTATAGGAAGTGTTCCCGAGTATTTAAAGTTCCTCTGTTTTACTATACATCATTTATTCTGCACACAACTATTGAAATCTATTTCAACCTCATCGTGTTTTTTGAGCAAATTAAAAATAAAACACAAATTGCATTTTTCTTTTGTCAGTGTGTCAAAGACATTTCTTTGTGTTGTTTGTTTTTTAATAAATAAAATAAATCATTACACAAACATAAAAATTGAATTATTGTGAAAATAAAGGAAGGACGTGTATAGAATAGAGTCGTATTTAGAAGGCTTGTAGTAACAATATTTATGTATGTACGTACGTTTATTCCTTTATCTATTAAAAATAATAAAAATTTGTATAGATTTTATGAAATTTGAGGTTTTTTTATGTTGATGTGAAATTAAAGGATACTAAATAGTATTGCAACATTAAGCTGTATGCCTTATTAGTTTGTTTGGTTTTGAATGTGTGTTTTTATTCCCATTAGGTATTAACTTGTGGTCTAAGAGATAGAGTTTGGGGGATCGTGTTATTTTTTTACAAGCCAGCTAAAATAATTCTAGGATCTTCAACGGCAGCCTTAATTTTACGCAAGAACATAACAGCCTCACGACCATCAATCAATCGGTGATCGTATGTAAGGGCAACATACATCATGGGGCGAATGACAACCTTGAACGAAAGAAAATAAAACATTTGTTTTTTCAGAAATTATTGGCTTAAATAAATATGTGTGTGAGAGTTGTTATTTACCTGTCCCTTGACGGCAACGGGTCTTTCAAAGATACCATGCATGCCCAAAATAGCACTTTGTGGTGGATTAATAATAGGTGTACCCATAAGGGAACCGAACACACCACCGTTACTGATGGTAAAGGTACCACCATCCATATCCTCAACAGCAATAGCACCCTTGCGTGCCTTATCACCCAAAGCAGCCATGGCAATTTCAATATCGGCATAGTTCATGCTTTCGACATTGCGAATAACTGGCACAACCAAACCCTTGGGTGTGGCAACAGCTACAGAGATGTCAACATAATCGCGATAGACGATTTCCTGAAAGAAATTAAAATAAAAAATTGTAATTGGTATTAGAAAAAGTAGGAGGATGAATGAAGGTAGAGAATGAGAACATTGATATTAAATGTTTCAACAAATAATGGATTTAAATAAGATTCATCCATATAAGCTCCCTTCAGCTCGTCTATAAATACTGCCTTCAGCTAATCTATAAAGACTCCCTTCAGCTCCTCTATAAAGACTCCCTTCAGCTCCTCTATAAAGACTCCCTTCAGCTCTTCTATAAACACTCCCTTTAACTCGTAAAGACTTCCTTCAGCTCGTCTATAAATACTCACTACTTCACCTCGCCCATAAGACTCCCTTCAGTTCGTCTTTAACGACTACCATCAGCTCGTCTATAAAGACTCCATTTAGCTCATCTCGTCTGCGTAGAATTTTTTTAATCTCTAAGAACACCTATTTTCTGAGTAGAAGTTTTTCTTGCAGGAGCTTATATTAGGAGATCATGATCATTCCTCATCGAAAAGCTGATCTTCCGATACACATTTGGTTGAAAATTTTTTGTTTAACTTTGAGAACGTCATAATGCGAAATCATTAACGCTTCTGCTTCATAGCGCTACCAAGAATTTGCCCCCAAAAAGAGAAAATCTGTGAATGAATTACAAACCCCCAAAATTAATATTATGACGAACTACAAATATTTACTTATATTTTGTGAAATAACAAAATCTCTTATTCTCCGGACATAGCCAAGAACACGAACACACAGTTGCTAATTGCCGTTGAGAGCGCAGCACATCTAAACAAATAAAAATAATTGTGTATTTTCCTCTTTTTTGATAAAATAGAGCACACGCACAACAACAACCAACTCAAGTAAACACATGATCGTCGACAGATTATATATGAAGGAATGGAAAAAAATACTCCGAGTTAAAACGAAAAAACTAAAATCATCAATGACGTCACACGTCAGCAGACCAATCACCAGAAAACCACCACAACGAAAAGTGATAAGAAATTGCGTAAAGAACAGAACAACAAGAAAATAGAGATTGGTAAAAAAATGACACTTCATTTTGTTGGTGAAATGATTTCCAAAAATTTTTGTTACGTACATAGGGAATTTTGTTTTAAGACGTTTTTTCTGCATTATGGAAAAGAAGCCAGGCAGGCGGCGGCTTGTGATTACGATAAATTTCCAAAAAATATGATAATGTTATCAAAAGATAAAATTTTTGTTTTATAAACAAAATAGAAAACTTTTGAAAGTCTGCTGATAAGCCTGTTGGCCTTTGGATACCAATGAAAATTCATGTGATAAGTTAGAGAAAACTTTGAGACTGTTATTTCATTGGCTAAAAATTCATTATATATAAAAATATATATTCAAGGTCATTGAAATTCACACCTTCTTTTCCCCAAGCAACATCATCAAAATTTCCATAAACAAAGAGAAAAGAAATAAGTTATTATATTCGAATCATTCGAGAACTAGAATTTATATTTAAACAGAAATCATATGCTGAAATTATTTTTAAAGTATCTTGACAAACAGTGATTTCTGCGCCCAAATCAAAAATTTAATTTCAAAACTTCAAAATTTCATGAATAAATTTTAGAATTTTTGTATTATGCACTATACTAAGAAACTACAAAATATGGATATATGGTTATCGAACCGATCTTGGCTCTATTTGCTTCCCATTCAGATTGATCTATAATGCTATTTATATTCTCATTTTGCAAGTCCGTATCAGGATCTCTATAGCCATATAGACCATTTGTGGATAAGATTCGTGTCTTAAAGTCATATACAGTTTGTAACCAACGACCTTGGTCAACAATTCAAAGAATCATAGATGAAAGTAGGCTCAATCTGAATCAGATTCTGTTCTGGATAATATATAAAAATTGGTGATAGTGGAAAATCCAATAACATTCATTGGGTAGTTGCGAATCTAAGTAAGTAGTTGCGGACCGTCAGCGGGGTTTGGGAAAGAGTATCGGAGGAAAGAGTGCATATTATACCAATATCGACGAGGCGAGAGTGGAGCCCCTAAATAACCAATTCCAAGGTCTTAGACCACCTACTTTCTAAAGAGACCTCACCAACACTCTAACTTTGGAGTCAGGGTACCAACTGTATTCGAACGGAGCCTTGCAGATGTCTGGCCTCATCGATAAGATATTCAGGCGTACTTGCCAAATCCTTATCATGATAAGTGGCTATTCCATGGCCGACCTCAAATCTATAACGACTCATTTCGGGGATGATTCACCTTTAATGGGCATGCAAGATGCTTTGGATACCCCTGTGTTCAACAGAACGGCCATTCAACCTTCTCTAAATCACAGCGGAGATGAAACCCCCAAATTCATTGCGGCAATGGTAATTTGATAATTCCTATGCTAAATGGCCTCATCAGCGTAAGCAACCACCAAACGACATACATCTATTCAATTGTCCGTCCGAGCCTTCAAGTCTATTGCCTATAGACTTAGGCTAAAGCCAATAGAGGCTGCACAATTTCTCCGGCTACCCTCTTCAAATCCTATTTCCTAAGAATTAATTAATTTATTTTCCTTTTCCTTCTTCCGTTTTTTTCTCTATCAACATTTTCAGGAAAGAACTTTCATCAACAGCCAACCTGTTACAACAACAACCAAATGTGATAATGATAAGGAAGACTCCGACAAGACAATTTACCGGAGAGCAGATAACTTCTGCAACGGGGACATCGAGAGGGATAAGAATTCAATAACCGAAAAACAATTCCTTTAGACTAAGAGGAATCTCAAATTTATTCAGAAGTTTTCACGGAATTAGCCAAATCGTATTGTGAGGGACTTTTTTATTGAAAGACTCGACTCCCTGAATAATTAGAATGCACCACTGCGAAAGAAGACAAGGGATAGTCTATGTCGATTATAAGGAGAACCCGTAAGAAAACCTCCGAGAAGGTTCCATTTCGTTTCAAACTGTATTGCCGGGAAAACGTGATTTGTATTTAATTTTAACAGTACTTCATGACCTGATGACTCTTATCTCGATAACCCACACCGAAAATCATAAATAATAATCGCACGATGTTGAAAAGTTATTCAATTGCAACAAAACATATGGTATTTCCTGGTACCCTAAATTTTACACTCTCTACCCTAAAGTCTATTAATAATAACAATAAGATTTGGTTTGAATCCATTACTACTTACAAATATCTGATACTTACGGTTTCATCAATAACCGCATTGACAACAGGTTGATCTTGCAAAGCATAGGCAGCAGCTTTAGTGAAAATGGACATGAAACCAATCTTGATGCCATATTTCTTTTGGAAAGCTTCCAAATGGGCCTTACGGAATTCCATGGCACCACTAAAAATGTGAAATAAATATAAATAAAAAATGAACATTTCTTCTCATTTCAAACTCACCTCATATCGATTTCATTGAAGGTTGTCAACATGGCGTTAACATTTTGAGCCTCCTTCAAACGGGCAGCAATCTTTTGACGCATACGATTCATTTTAACACGTTGTTCGGTACGCGTACCAGTGATTTGTCGCGAATAATCTGCTGGGGGTACTTTAATTTGTGGTGGCACAGCAGCTGGTGTTGGGCGAATTGTAGCCACAGGGATTTGAGCAGCTGGTGCTGGTCTAACTGGTGGTGGAGGTGTGGGACGTGGTGGTGGTGGTGGGGCAGCAGCTGCTGGTTTTGGTGCTGCGGCAGCAGGAGTTGGTGGTGGTGGTGGTGGGGGAGCAGCAGCAGCTGGTTTGGGTGCCTCAGCAGCTGGGGCAGCGGGAGCAGCACCGGCATCAGCCTTTTCCAATTCGAACAATGGTTGACCAGCCTTAACGGTATCACCATCGGCTACAAGAATTTTGCGGACAATACCGCCGAATGGAGCTGGTACACCGACAGTGGTTTTGTCAGTTTCGATTTCCATGACGTTTTGATCGGCCTTGACATAGTCACCAACCTTAACTGTGAATCTGAAAGTGGAGTAATAATAATAATAATATATGGATTTAGATTTGGTTTTTTAAATATAGATCGAAAAATATATATACAAAAAAAGTCCCGATTTACGAATCTATAAACTAAAAAACTTTGGACGGAATGTTGCCTACATTGTCGATATTTTTTTCAATTCAATTTCTTTATTCTTCATGAATGGGAACCTAGCTACAAGGCCATGATCGGTTCCAAAAACAAATAAAAAAGTATATTTCTCGGGCGGATATTTCCACGTCTTAAATATACAATTGACAAGAATTAGGTGCGAACCAAAAAACATTAGCAATAGTATTTTTTCTCCAATTAGTATTAGAAGAATTAGTATTTTTCCTCCATATTAGATGTCACCGAAATTTGAGACTTGTTTTAAATTTAATAACAAAATTCATAATTCACTTCTATTTAGACTTCATTATTATAAACAAAAATATACTATTATAATTTGCAAATATTTGTAATCTCAAGGTTATGTTTATAATCATCACATTGTATTAAAAATTATCTCAAAAGTTATACGATAACACACAACATAACTCCCCCTTCTACTGCATGTTGAAATCTTATCGTTATTTAAAAGTATTTCTAACGATAATAACTTGACTTTCGTGGAGAATAAAAACACAAGCCCTTTTCCCTGCATTATCGAAAAGAAAATACGCCCAACTAGAACTATCGAAAAAAAACGATATCATTAATCATATTTGGAGATTATTTTTTAAATCCAAGTAGTGCTTTCTCATTACTTTTCTATGTTTTTTATTGACACTTTAACAGTCAATGAAAGTGATTTAGAAAATTAAATTTGCAGAGCACATGAACTTGATCAATCGCATGCATAATAATTATATATGCAAAATAAAACAAATAATGTTAGACACCGGCTAGACAAAAGAAACTAGGTGATGTAATAACGCGCCCATTAATTTATGCCGTACTCATTTCTAGTTCTTTATGGCAACATCAACGAAAAGAAAAGTAATTCGAATATAAAAAATAGAATATGTAAAATATACCTGACCTATGGTTAGCTGATCAGATTTGGTGGTCTATTTGAGAAATGTGAGCGAAGGAAATCAATCATTGACACTCGTTTATATTATCATTTTTTTTTCAATTTTGGTTAAGTGTATATAGAATTGGGCGTGGGCATATATGTACTTAATGTGTCATTCGGTTTTTGATTTCTGAAATTATCTAATCTGTCCCCGAATCAGTTTAGCAATTTTTAAAATGTGTTTTATTTAAAAAGATTGAAAAATATTTTTTTTAACTGTTGTTTCATCTATCATCCCAAAGCTAATATTATAGCCAATGCTAGATACTTTTATTATTAGCATTGTATTTACTAAAATGTTAATACTATAATAAATAAATAACATCTTTTCTCGATGTTGGGCACTATGAAAATATATGATCTTGACATTTTAAGACTCCAAATTAAAAATTATGTTTAATTTTTTTTAATAAGGATTATATGAAAACATTATTATCTATTAAACAAGTATTTCCAAAGATAAAACATTTGTTTAAAATGATTTTATCTACCGTTGAAAGTTTTGTTCCAGTACTTAATAGTAAAGCTAGTAAATAATACGAAATGTTTTGGAACGGAGGCGGGCGTTTTGTTCCAGTACTTTTTGTACTCTTCACCACACTTTGGTACAGGGTATTTGACTTTCTGCATATGTTTGTAACAGCCAAAGGAAACGAGAAAGACCAATGGTTTATTTTGAGAATAGAAGTCGATTTATGCATGTCCGTCCGTCTGTCCATCCGTGCATGTTAAATTGTAAAAAGTACAGGTCGCATTTATGACCCGATTTGGATGAAATTTGGGACAGCTCATTTGTTTTACCAAAAAACCCCTATTGAAATTAAATCGGTTCAGATTTATATATATAGCTCCCATATATATTTTCGTCCGATTTAATATAGTCCCTATATATCTTTCATCCAATGTAATAAAAAAGTGCCTGAAATTCCGCATAGCGTACCGAATTGGGTCTGAAACTATGTGTGCTAAATTTCGTGAAAATCGGTTCAAATAAAGCTCCCATATATCTTTTCCACCGATTTTATGTAAATTGTGCACTAAAGACCCAAAGTTTGTACGATTGACACAAAATTTTGTACAATGTATTAAAGTTAATATAAATTAATCTCTGGCAAGATTCGTTGAAATCGATTCACATTTATATATGCTCACATATATATTTTCGTCTGATTATAGGTAAATGAGCACCGAATGTATCAAGTTTGATCTAAATCGATTTACATAAATTTGTCCCATTGCACGCAAAGGTCCTAAATCTACCCCAATGAAATAAAATTTAGTATAGGTTCCAGAAGGACACAAAGATCACATATTCAAGTTCGTTCAGCTTTGGAAGAAATGGGTTTTCAAAATTTTGAAAAAATTAATTTTAATTTCAAGAAGAAATTTAATAAAACTAATTTTTAAAATTAATATTTAGGGCTTTCTCCTATGGACAGGTGGAAAAGTGGACTACGCGAGCAAAATTTTCTTTTATTTTAATTTAAAACTTCTCTTGAATTTAAGACTTTCTAAAATTTCTCCAGTCTTCGCGAGCAGATTTGTAATGTTGTAATGATTATTTGAAGGGCTATCTATGATAAAAATTTATAAATTTTCTGAGAGTTGTCCTTAAAATATAATCAATCCGTTGCTTCTTAAGCGCAGTAAAATTTTTATTTCCAAAATCACTGTACCTTGCTTCTTCAGTTAAATAAACTAATCAATGAAAAATCTGATACAGGCAGTATACCTTAGAAAATTTCAACTAGGTTCCCTCAAAGCGATTTCATCTCACAGATATTCTTCCCTTCTAGCGTCCCTGAATAGTAATTTTTCAGGCACCGAATAATGTGTCATAGCAGAAATTGATTTATTCGTCTCGAAATTTGAATTTATTTTGCATCAGACATTTATTTTCTTTCTGACATGGCAACCAATAAGAATTTGGCCATATAGTGCAGATCTAAATAATATTTTCTTGTTGATATGTGGGCTTGCATTGCGGTATCAGGTCGAGTAAACAGAGCAAAAAATAATGCTCAAATAATTTACGATTATCTATAAAAAAAATCTTATCGTTTAAGCAAGTAGGTGAAAATGATAGGTGTCTAAAAAAAAGATAAAGCTTTATAAATAAATACATTAAATATCAGATGCTTCTTTAGATCACGAACCGCTAGTTTGAAGGAGAACGCATATTAATTATCTTCCAAAAAGTAATTTTATTTATCAGTAGACAAGTTTGGGTGAAAATTCAATGCTAATATTGCAGAAGATCGAACATTATTCAATAAAAAGTTTATTTCCGATTCCGATTTTCGTAGAATCTAATAATCACGAGAATATAAAAAATGTGTTTCCCACACGAAAATTACTTTAATGTTTAACATGCACTGCATTATTGTGTATCCATTATTAAAAATATTCGGCAGGTTCCGATTACGATTGTCGTAGAATCTAATAATCAAGGGTATAAAAAATGGGTGTCCCACACAAAAATTACCGCAATGTTTAACATCCAAATATGCAATGCATTATTATTTATTCATTATCGAAAATAGAAAGTTTCTGTTATTTTACAAACAAGTTTCAGTTCACAAAAAAGTACGCGGTTAATTACTTCCAAATCAATTCATACTAAAAATCTCAATCAGTATTTGAATGGGATTTTGTTACTTCCATCTCTAACTGGAAATTTTGCAAAAAAAAAAAAAAGCAATGCCGAAGGCATTGACCTACTTTCAAAACCTTGACAAAAGCTAATGAAATCAAATACACTTATAATAATAAAAATTAACAGGAAAAAGGAATAGTAAAAAATCATTTAACTTACTTTACATCACCTTCCGATACGGAATCAGCAAATGGTGGTACCTTAACGGTTTCCGATTGCCATAGGCTGACACTGGTGTGGAAACTTTGGCTAGCTACAACGCCCAAAGGTCTGCAATGAAAATAGAATAGACAAACAAACATTTAATAACAACACCATCTGATATTTGTCGATGTGACATCACACTACTAACCTGACAGCGGAGGTCTGTGCATCACCACCAATTTGGCTCAAAAGTTGAGCTTGTCTGGAAGCTAGACGGGCATACTGACGTACAGCATTGGCATTGTTAACCTGCAATCACACAAATGCCATTCATTAATATTATTGTTGTTGTTGTTTCGTTTTTGTTGCAAAAGTAAATAAAAAACAGAAACGTTATCGAAATTATCCGCAGCTCTGCTGATTGCACAACACTTTTCCTTTTGCTGTATTTCAAGCGAACAGCGCAGCCACCAGCTGGCAACACATAAATACTTTAAATCCAAATCGACAAATACAAAAAGAGAAGAAGTGAAATATTCATTGATTCAAATTGTTGCTGAAATGGATTATCACCGTCACGTGAATGATTCATCATCGCCGTGTTATGGCTTTTGCATAATTTTGGAATTTCAAATTTCGTCAAACACTTTTTTCTTCACTGTTGAATTTTCTTTCTGTTTCTCAAATTACATAATGATGCTCGAGCGAAAAGTTTTCTTTTTTTCTTCAGACACATCCACTTCAAACAGTCCGGTCGACACGGCACTCGCACTGTAGGACCCCCCACCCTGCCCCGCCATAAGAATTTCACCTTGCACTTTCTATATGTATGCGTAGGATTCCAGCAAACTTACTTCTTGGCTGCGAGCCGCTTTCATGCCCAGGCTGAGCACATTACGCGGTAAACGCCGCGATGTTAGCGAAATAATACCGGACATTTTTTACACGTCTAATTCGTTCGTTTCTTTGGAATAACAATAAAAATATTTCCGATTACTCTATTTTTGAATATCTACACGGTTACACAAATTCGTCAGGTGGAACTTTTCTTTTCTTCTAGTCTAACTCAGACCGCTGACATGCGACCCCAACAGCACCCGATGAACGTTTTTCGAAAGCGACAAATTGTCAAATTTGCTACAGGAGTTGAGAGTGCTGAGAAAAATTGACAATAGCAAATGTCATAACATTTCAAATGAACTGTCAATAAGTACTAAATAATGAAACAAGGGTGTGCACAATTTAAAAGGGCGGATCGCACGATGAAATTTAATTTGGTAATATTTTAGTAAATAATTTATATTTAATTTATTTACTTTGTTAAGGCTTTGTCACACGAGCCATCAATGTCATAAAAATTGATTCTTACTTTTGTGTTCACACGTAAATATGAATCTTCGACCCGTCTGTAAATATCGACAGACCGACCAGAGGTAAGAATCCCTATTACAGAAACCTAGGCAAATGACGGTTGGGGAGTACAACTGTTATATACAGCCAGTGTATGATCTCCAGTTTTAATCCCCAGCTCTTACATACAGAGTTCTTGCAGCAGTAGAGCGCTATAAGACTTTTATTTGTGCTTTCCTCGACATTCAGGACTACATCATTGGCATAGGCTACAAACTTTATCCTGAGGAGATCGAATTACAGAAGTGTCTCATTTATCACCAGAAGTCATAGTAGAGAAGATAATACTCCACCCTGTGGGGAGCCTCTATTGACAGATTTCTTCACTCTCCCCAAAGGATGAATTGATAATTCTACTTTCCAGAATTCTATCAATCCAATCCGTTAGAAGGCTAATTCAATGTCAAGGAACGTAGACCATGTATAACCAGAGCTCTACATATTCTTCTCGGTGCCTGACCACCTCATGTCAGTGATGTGCCAAATTTCAGAGTCTAATAACCTTACTAAAGTCTTTAGTAGAAAGGAAGAAAGACTAATTGGTCTGTAGTCCTTAGGTAGTGTATGACTCGCCATCCCAACTTTCAAGATGAAACCTACGCCTTGTTATTGCACCATAGGTTATGGGTTTGAATTACCAGTCCTATATGTTAAAAAATACTACATATGTTAGAACAAATTCTTGTAGCAAACAGCCGGACCTAGTGCATGTGGCGCCACATTAAGTTTGTGTGCCTTAACCTTCTACCTGTTGGGTCATTAATAAATAGCTAATATTCTATTAAAAATCCTGCAGGTAAAAATATTGTTGTAGCAGTCCACATCCATTTTCCAATAGAGCTGCACTCACAAGTTCAACGAACACGTTTTTTATACAATCGAAAAAATACCTTTTATACGAAATCCCATTGATCTCAAATATTAATTCCATAGCGTATACATACATACATCAAATAAAATTCACTGCATTTGTGAACATGATTAAACTGACATATACGCTATGGAATTGATGGTTGGCCAATAGGCAAATAAATTTAATACTGTTACGTTCTTGGATTTCACTTAAATCCCGTGTAGACGTTGTTTTATTTCCCGATACAATTCGTACCAAATATAACGCAGGTTCTTTCAGATTACGATTATTACAATGATTTTATTCACACGACTTTACTTTGCACTTTACTTTACACGACGGTTTCAATTCGCGATCTGATTCACAACTGACTCACTGCCTTTCCATTCCCTCTATTTATATGAGCCCTGCCTGTCGCTACAGAAGTTTCTAGACGATCTGGTAACACCTAGATCACGAACAATCTACCAATGCAACAAACACATTGAGTAACAATAACAACAACAAACTTACTGAGTGAACAATAACAACAACAAACTTGAGTAAACAAACTTACAATAACAACAACACATATACAGGCGAGGGAATAACAAAGAAAGAGGAATAACAACAACACATATACAGGCGAGGGAATAACAAAGAAAGAGGAATAACAACAACACATATACAGGCGAGGGAATAACAAAGAAAGAGGAATGACGTTTAACAAGAATTGTACGACAATAACAAAATGGAAAATGAAAGAGGAAATGGAAGGATGTAGAAAAATCTATACAGTGGTTGTTGTTGTGAAGTTATTCAAATAAACTGCGTAGTAGAAATTTACGTTACAATTCAAATTCTTAAATTAACGGAATTCATCTAAATTAACTTAAATCTAAAGTTATATTCGTAACATTGCCCCCCGCTTAAGCCTGTTCGTCCCGAATAGGCACAGTTCCCGTTCCGTAGGGGGTCAGCCGCTCCAAATGTACAACTTTCATCTTCGACCTGGGACTGTCGCTCCTCTGGATGCGATAAACGACGTCATTTATTTTCGTGACAATCTTGTAGGGTCCTTCCCAGTGCGTTTGCAATTTGGGGCATAGTCCTTTCTTTCGTTGTGGGTTGAACAATAGTACCAGTTGCCCTTCTTGAAACCCATCGGTATTTGCCGCTCGATCGTACCTTGCCTTCATGCGGTTGCTAACCATTTTTATTCGATGTCGGACTGCATCGTGGACTTTACTAAAAGAGTTTTGGCTGTCTTCATCTTGGTTCACATCGTCGTTTGGGGTAGCACCGAATATCAAATCGCCAGGTAGCTTTAATTCATTTCCGAACAGAACTTTGGCTGGGGTCCGGGATGTGGAATCATGAATGGCCGATCTATAAGCCAATAAAAACTTTGGAATATGCTCATCCCAGTCTCGTTGGCCACTGTCCACCACTTTCCGTAGATGTTCTTCAAGGGTGCGATTGAATCTTTCCACCATGCCATCTGATTGTGGATGTAGGGGCGTCGTTCTGGTTTTCTTAATTCCGTAGGAGTCACACATTTCCTTGAAGATCGCTGATTCAAAATTCCTACCTTGATCGGAATGAACCTCAGATGGAACACCATAGCGACAAATCCAATTTTTGCTGAACACATCCACAATTGTCCTGGCTTCTTGATTTGGGATAGCATAAACCTCCGGCCATTTACTGAAGTAATCCATGACCACTAAGACATACCGGTTCCCAGAGTCGCTTGTGGGGAACGGTCCAGCTACATCCATTGCGATTCTTTCAAAAGGGGCTCCTGAATTATACTGCTGCATGTAGCCTCGACTCTTCCGTGTTGGACCTTTAGCTTTTATGCACCTTTCACAATTGGCGATCCAGTCGGCAATGGATTTTTGACAGCCGACCCAGTAGAATCTCTGCTTTACCTTTTCAGCGGTCTTTGCTATGCCAAGATGTCCTCCACTTGGGCCATCGTGAAACTCCGACAAGACATCTCTTATTTTGGAGTCTGGGACGACGATCAAGTTCCGGTGAGATTTACCGTCCTCACTTTCCCATTTGCGATATAGGCAACCATCTTTTATAAGTAGACTGTCCCACTGGGCCCAATAGGATTTTAAAAGAGGGCTTTCGGAGGTAATTTCTTTACGACTAGGTCGCTTGCCCGTTTCAATGGCCGAAATTACTTTGCCCAGAATGGGATCTCTTCGTTGTTCCGTCGACCAATCTTCACCCGACTCAAACTGCAATAGTCGGACATCAACGATATTCTCCTTATTCTCAGCCTTTGAGCAATGCCTGCATTCTACCTTGCATGGCCGACGAGACAGGGCATCAGCATTACCGTGTTTTCCGCCTTTTCTGTGCTCGATTCTGAAATCATAACTCTGGAGCCTCTCGATCCAACGGGCTAGTTGACCTTCCGGATTCTTAAACCGCAGCAACCATTGGAGAGCAGCGTGGTCGGTCCTCAGCAGGAAATGTTGGCCATATAGGTATTTGTGGAAGTGTTTAACGCTCTCAAGGACAGCAAGCAGCTCTCTCCTCGTCACACAGTAATTCCTCTCAGGTTTCGACAATGTCCGGCTGTAGTACCCGATGACTTTTTCCTGTCCGTCGATTTCCTGGGAAAGGACGCCACCGATGCCGCACGCACTTGCGTCTGTATCCAGAGCAAACTTGCCTCCAGGTATAGGGTATGCCAAAATGGGGGCTCTGCATAGCATGTCTTTGAGTTTACTGAATGCCTCTTCTTGGTCGTTGCCCCACTGAAACCTCTGGCCTTTTTGCGTTAAGCGGTGTAGACAGGCGGCGATGTTGGCAAAATTTGGGACAAATCGACGGTAGTATGTGCAGAGACCCAGAAAGCTTCGCAGCTCATGGAGATTTCGGGGCTGCGGCCAATCTCTGACGGCTTGAATTTTCTCCTTATCCGTCGATATGCCCTCCGGCGTCACGTGATGCCCCAGGAACTTCACCTCTCGTTGGAAGAGACTGCACTTCTTTGGGTTCAGCTTGAGGCCTGAAGACGAAAGCTGCTGAAGAACATCCTTTAAATTCTTGATGTGTTCGTCGAAGTTGCGTCCCATGACTATGATGTCATCCAGATATATGAGGCACGACTTCCACTGCAGCCCTTTTAACACACGCTCCATCAGCCTTTCAAATGTAGCCGGGGCGTTGCAGAGTCCGAATGGCATGACATTGAACTGCCAGAGACCCCCGTTAACGCCAAACGCTGTTTTCTCTTTATCTTTCTCGGCGATCTCTACTTGCCAGTACCCACTCTGCAGGTCGAGGGTGGAGAACCATGACGTCCCGGCTAATGTGTCCAATGTGTCGTCGATTCTTGGGAGCGGATAGCTGTCTTTCTTGGTGACATCATTCAACTTCCGGTAGTCCACACAAAATCGGGTGCTTCCGTCTTTCTTCTTGACCAATACCACTGGGGAGCACCATGGACTTGACGATGGTTCTATTACACCACTCTTTTCCATTTCACTTATTAGCTTCTGGACCTCGTCTCTTTTTGCCAGGGGAACACTTCTTGGAGGCTGCTTAATGGGTCTCGCGTCTGCTGTATGGATTTCATGCTTCACCACTGATGTTCTTCCCTGGTGCTCTTTTGTCAACGCAAAGGTAGAGGCATATTTCCATAATAGCTGCTTAGCCTTGTTCCTCTCGGAAGGCGATAATTGGTGTGTCCACTCTTTTATGTAGCCGTCGAGGTGCTTCTTCTCCATGGAAGCTGGCTTTTCGGTGCTAGTTTCCAAATTAACTACAGCTTCAGCTGGTGTGCATTGTCCAACATCGGAAAATTGGAAAATTTGCTCTTGCTTGTTTGACAGGTTCAAAACTCTAACAGGAATCAATCCGTCCTCGTTGCTTTTCACCAGGGCATTCGCTATTAGGATGTTACTGTATCTGTTTTCTGCTGGTTCCACCACCCACAACTTCTCGGCTCCACAATCTCCATTCATTGGTACCCATATTATTGCTTCGGCACAGGGCGGTATTATCTCTGGATGGTCCGTAGTCAGACGCCTGATGGATGTACTTTCATCGTAGCCCACGTTTAACGGAATTTCGACGTTAGACCAGGTCATCACACGCTCTTTCATATCCAGATTGATACCGAAGGCAATCATAAAATCTGCGCCTATTATCACTTCGTCTACAATATCGGCAACTATAAACTCGTAATTCACCGATTTATTGGCAATAGTTAGTCTCAGGGTAATCTTGCCGTGTACTGCCGCGGGCTCCCCCGTTGCTGTGCGCAGTCTGACTCCATTAAGTTGCGTTATTTTTCCCTTTACCAGATCTGATCTTATGATGGACTTTGATGCGCCAGTATCTAACGTCAGAACTCGCTTGTCACCATTGATGTACCCAGTTGTTGTTAGGTTGTGACTTTTCTGTTGTACTATTGCTATGGAGATTGTGGGGCCATCGTCGATGGGAGCCAGTTCATGCCCCGCTGGACTGGCTCGATTTAGTTTAACGGTGACTCCTTGGTGGACTGTTGAGTCATTCCTCTACCATCTTTCGTTGGAGGTGGTGACGATGACCTGGATCGTTTGCGCTTAGCTCTGCATTCGCGCGCAATATGACCTGCTTTATCGCAGTTGTAGCATCTAACCCTGGGCTTAGTCATCCCTGCTAACTTTGTTTCTTCTATTACCTGCCTCATGGCGTCCTTGATCGAGTTAACGAGAGATTTGGGTTCGCTACATTCGGTCTCCAGTTGGCGAATCTTGTGGGTCTGGGGCTTAACAATTATTCTTGCCGTCTCTTGGGCAAGGGCAAACGACACAGTTTCGGCAAATGACGCTTTTGGTGACGCATATGTTGCACATTTAATCTCAGGGTCACGTATGCCATTCACAAAGGTTTCGATTTTCATACGGTCCAGCAATGGGTGATTCTCTCCTGGATACGCCATTAGCACCAAACGTTCCACCTCAGCTGCAAAGTCTTGTAACGTCTCGTTTGCCCTCTGTACTTTACCCCTTAGTTCCATAAGGTAGATGTTTTGTTTATGTTCGCCACCGTACTTACGTTCCAGTGCAGCAATAACATCTTCATAGTTGTTTCTAGAAGCGACAGGAATACTCTGTATAACATCAGCAGCACTGCCCTTCAATGCCAGAAGTAGTGCAACCGCTTTGTCGCTGTCGTTCCACGAATTTCTAGAAGCCACTGTCTCGAACTGTAACTTGAAAACATTGAATGACGTAGAGCCGTCGAATACAGGAGGTTTGATTTTTAGCGTGTTATCAGGAACTCGCACCGGACCACCTTTGATTTCCAGTTCCGACATTTTCTTCTCCAGATTCGTAAACCTGTGGTCGTGGGCCAGAAATTTCTCGTCCACAGACAGAATCTTCTCGTCAACCGACTGCACTTTCTTGTCCAACTCTTTAATTTGGACCTCCACGGTTTCCACTCTCCTTCCAATAACTTCTGTAATGTTCTCGAGTTTCTCGTTCATTATTCTCGAATTTTCATCTAACTTTCTGGCATTCTCTTCGAACATTCGTCTCGTGTTTTCTTCTAACTTTCTGGAATTCTCTTCGCTCCTTCTGGAATTTTCCTCAAACTTTCTGGCATTCTCTTCGAACATTCTTCTCGTGTTTTCTGCTAACATTCTGGAATTCTCTTGGAACATTTTAGCCAGCATTTCTCTTAAATCGTCCCCCCTGGCAGCTACTGACGAGACTTCCCCACCGTTGGATTCGCCCATTTCCGATAAATCCACTTCATCCTTACTGTCAAACTCATATGTATCGATGTTCATACCACGGCGCTCGAACTCATCCAACAGGCGTTTTTGTAGCTCAGCCTTGTTGCCAGTAGAGGACAATTCCAATTTATTTAGCTCCTTCTTCAAGTCTTCCACTCGTAGATCCTTAAACTTCATCGTAGTATTATCGTAATCTCACTTCCGACACCAATTGTTACGTTCTTGGATTTCACTTAAATCCCGTGTAGACGTTGTTTTATTTCCCGATACAATTCGTACCAAATATAACGCAGGTTCTTTCAGATTACGATTATTACAATGATTTTATTCACACGACTTTACTTTGCACTTTACTTTACACGACGGTTTCAATTCGCGATCTGATTCACAACTGACTCACTGCCTTTCCATTCCCTCTATTTATATGAGCCCTGCCTGTCGCTACAGAAGTTTCTAGACGATCTGGTAACACCTAGATCACGAACAATCTACCAATGCAACAAACACATTGAGTAACAATAACAACAACAAACTTACTGAGTGAACAATAACAACAACAAACTTGAGTAAACAAACTTACAATAACAACAACACATATACAGGCGAGGGAATAACAAAGAAAGAGGAATAACAACAACACATATACAGGCGAGGGAATAACAAAGAAAGAGGAATAACAACAACACATATACAGGCGAGGGAATAACAAAGAAAGAGGAATGACGTTTAACAAGAATTGTACGACAATAACAAAATGGAAAATGAAAGAGGAAATGGAAGGATGTAGAAAAATCTATACAGTGGTTGTTGTTGTGAAGTTATTCAAATAAACTGCGTAGTAGAAATTTACGTTACAATTCAAATTCTTAAATTAACGGAATTCATCTAAATTAACTTAAATCTAAAGTTATATTCGTAACAATACATTATGCAAACAGGATTTAGCAGTCTAAACGTGATCTTATTTAAAACTTTTGCTGGTGTACAGATATTAAAGCGCCCGACAAATTGAGACGAGCATCTAAAGGTATTCATGTGAATTCCTCTTTTCTAGTACGAAATAGTAAAACGCATTTCCAATAGGTCGCCGACGACTACTAGCGGTGTTATTGTACTAAAGGCCACAGCTGATTTTGACACATCCATCTGTTCGCTGGCTGCATAATTACGAAACGCGCCTAGAATTTCCACTACGAACGAAATGTTAATTTTCTTAAATTAGCATAATATTACAAGGAAAACTACTATTTAAAACACAAAACAGCGATCCCAAGGAATTATGTCGGCATTATATCAACGATTTTTGAAAGTACTTGAAAAGTGGCCGGCAGACAAATCAAAAGTGGGCAGGTAAACAAAAAAGAACGAACATCAAATTCCTATAGGTAGACCATCATCATGTTGTATATAACTCATTGTTGCCATATCCCATTATGTACTAACAACTATTCCCACATTCTTCATACCTATTACACTATATACTAGAGGGTTAAGCTGGATTGCCTATTCTGTTTTATCTTTGTAATTTATGACCAACCTGTTGGGAACATGAAAAAGTCCTGCCGACTTTATTAATTAGCGTATTATTGTTGACTTAGATTTAGATCTTCCTACCATCTCTATACCTGTGTTATTCTTTCCAGACTCTTCAGTCTTCTCTTCTATAAATAAATAAACAGTCGATAGTTAGTCTTCTTAGTGTTTGCCTCGCATAAAAAAGTAGTGTCGCGTGTTATTGTAGTTTTGTTCTATTAAACAATTATACATATAGATATATTTCTGCAAGTGATATTTTCAAAAATTATTCAATATTTGTTGTTTTGAAAATTGCCTAAAGTTTAAATAGTTTTCTCACAATGTCTTCTACTTATTCATATCAACTGATTGGTGAGGAATATTATTTTGGCACTGGCGAGAAGTAAGTAATTATATTTTTATTCGCAAATAATGATCAGCTAAAACCAACCAGCAATAGTTAAAAAAATGTTTTGGAAATTTCCATTATTTTCTCTTGGGCAACACGTGTTTTATCCAACAAGTGCGCAAAATAAAAATAAACATATAAATTGTTGAATATAATAATTTTAATAATTTTTTATGAAATTGAAAAAGAAAACTAATCACTTGCTGTTTTTTACAACTATATGTAGTCCATTCAACAGTGTATGTTGTGGTTTTGTTAGGAGAAAACCAGTTTGGGATGTTATGAAGTTCTAAGGCTTCTTTGTAAATGATTTCGAGCTACTCTAGTAAAAATATCGTATTAAATTGTATTTTTTATTTAATTTTTAACTTATGGATACGAAATTTTTTTTAATTTTCATATTATTATATTTAATACCGTTGGACTATCTGTCTGCAAAATTCGATTTGGATTTTTTCGAAACATTAAAAGTGATATGGGTGAAACGTGTTTGACAGAAATTAATGTCTTTTAATTTTTGTTATAAGTAACCTGCACAAATCACTGCTCAATCAGTCTTATATCTTAAAAAGTAATCTAAGCAAATAGAGAAAAAATATTTTCTTTTTCATAGAGATTAAAAACTCTTCTAGACAATGGTTTGACATACCCTACTTTTAATAGTCTCGATCGATTGGCTCGGGCAAATTTAACGAAATCTGATTATGTTTTTCACATTACGCGGTGCAAATTACGAACTTGATATTCAGTAAAATAGACATAAACAGTAAGGAATATTGAAGTCAAACAGGGTCAAGTCTGAGATACCCTTCACTTTGGTAAAGGTACTCTTAAGAGATGCTCATAATTGTCTATAGAACATACATATAACTTTTGTACGACCATGGACCTCAACCTATTTCAACAAAAGTCAATACACGTCATTCCAGGCTCAATTTGGTACGTTAAACACAATTTCCTCACAATCGGGAAAGTTGGTAGCAATATCAAATAATGTTAAGTATCTGGGAGTAATCCTAGACAGGAAACTTAAATGGAGAGACCACATACAGCAACGGATAGAAGAATCGTAGGCTATACATGGGTCTTCAATCCTAAGATGATACACTGGATCTATAAGAGCGTTATTAGACCAATTAGACAGCAATGACAAAAAATGTAACGTAAAATCATTACGGAAGTTCAGAGAACGTGTTTCCTATGCATATGTGGGCAATGCGGACAACACCAACTAGGGCTTTGGAGATAATAGATATCCAAATAAAGTATAAAGTGGCAGTCGCAGCTTTAAGACTCAAAACAATGGACGAGTGAATAGACACCGGACACAATATACCGCACAAAAACATATTACTGGTTTCACAACCAATATCTTTGATTCAGACCGCATACCTGAAACGAGAGTTGTCACAGTATGCAAAACTATAATACCGGGTGGAGAACAATGGAATAGCGGAACACTAGTTCAAACTGTTGCTACACACTTGCTCTTGATTAGGAGAAAATACTGGACAGGGACTTTTTATTGTTGAGCCGTATACCGGAGGAAGTTCAAGTCTTAACAAAGTGTCTTAACTGGATTACTTCAAACCTAGGACAAAATACAACAAATATAATTACGGATAGCAAACATGCTATAAATGCTATATCCTCCAAAACAGATTCAAACTGTACTGGAATGTATAAAGACCATTAACAATGTCTCACAACAAAGACCTGTTCGAATTTTATGGGTACCGAGTCACACAGAAGTAATAAGCAACGAGATAGCCAGCCAACTAGATAGAAGTGCAACTTCACAGCCCACAATAGATGTGACCAGCTTCAATAGGGTTCGTCCTTTGACCAAATAAATGTTCTGTGCCAAATTTAATCTCATTGGGATCATAAATGCGACCTGTACTTTGTTTACAATTTTACAACCACAGACGGACGGAAATGCATATATGGGTCTGTATCGCTTGCTTTTGCATATTACAAAGATATGTACAAATAATAATTTCCTGAATTACTTTTGCATATTACAATTTAATTTTTTTTTTTTTTTTACATTTATTTTACATTTTTTAATTTAATTTACATTTATTTCCTTTGCAATTGATGCGGCCAATTTAAAGTTAATTACAAAGATTCCTTGAAAATAACAAGTATTTTCAACTAAACATTTCATTGTATTGCAATCAAGCTTAACCCTCGCATACTATTTATATCATTATAACATTTTACGCACCCAAAATGTATGTATGTGAACAAACATAATATGAACAAACATTATATCAACTATTCAATTCTATATATTTTGTCAGGGATCTTGGTGAACAGATTAGAAAGCAAGTAACAAATCTCTCGAATCCTGCAGCTTTAACAGCAGACGTTACTGCCCAAATTACCAAACAAATCGATTCCATTGAGCGTTTAGCCAATAACACATACGGTCGTAAATATAAACGTGTCTACGATTCAACAGCCACAGGTTTGTCGGCCCAGCAGTGTAATCAAGTTTTATCGTCCGAGTTTTTGCAATACCTCAACGAAGATAGCAAAAAGAAAAATTAAAAAATAATCACCCCAAAAAATATACAACAAATAGAAAAAAATGTGGCCAGCAAAATTAATTAGAACTTATTGTACTGCGGCCCAAGGTAGTCGAACAGTGCCTCACATACCGGTGTTATGCCAAGAAGCTATTAAGTTCTTAAATCCCTCACAACAACAAGTTTTCATCGATATGACATTTGGTGCCGGTGGTCATACAAGAGAAATTCTAAATCGTCATAAGGATATTAAGGTGTATGCATTGGATCGCGATCCCGTCGCTTATGAACTGGCAAAAGATATGAGTAATGAATATGAAGGACGTCTCGTTCCATTGTTGGGTAAATTTTCCGATTTACCTCAACTGCTAGATGAACATAATGTAAAACCTCATAGTGTAGACGGTATGCTTTTCGATTTTGGCTGCTCTTCAATGCAGTTTGATGAGGCGGAACGAGGATTCTCCATTTCGAAAAACGGTCCACTTGATATGCGTATGGATCGTGGACATAACAATTCCGAACAAATTACCGCTGCCGATGTTTTGGCCAAAGCCGAGGAAGCAGATCTGGTGAAAATTTTACGTATATATGGTGAGGAGAAGGGTGCCAAAAAGATTGCTCGGGCCATTGTTGAAGCACGTTCGGCATTTCACAAAATCGAAACCACCAAACAATTGGCCGATTTAGTGGCAACATGCCTGAGTGATACACCATATCGTATGGACAAAATGCAACGTCCCACCCATGTTGCCACGAAAACATTTCAAGCTTTGCGTATTTTTGTTAACAATGAATTAAATGAAATTAATTATGGTATGATTTTGGCTAATGAATATCTCAAACCCGAAGGACGTTTGGTTGCCATCACCTTCCATTCACTCGAAGATACCATAGTTAAACGTCATTTGAATGGTAATGTTATTGAAGGTTTGGCCAATCCTGTACCGCTTAAATACTGTGGTCATGATGTGACACACGATAAGGAATTGGTAGAATCATTTGTATCATCGAATTGGAAACAATTGAATAAACATGTTCTAGTACCCAGTCATGAGGAGGTAACACGTAACAGTCGTAGCCGTTCTGCAAAATTGAGAGCTGCCATCAAATTGAAATAGCTTTGTTTTAGAATTAGTAAGTTTAAGAAGTTGCGGATATGAATGTATATCGATTATGTTGAGTTACATTTTATTTAGATAGTTTTCGTAAGTATAATTTGTATATTTAATTGCAAATGAAATAAATGTGTTTTTTTTTTTGAAAAAAAAAAATGGAAAATTTTGGTGTTACATTAAGAGTCGGTAACTATAGTCATTGACAAAGGTGCTGACGTAATCAAGAGTGCTCAATTAACTAAAATAGTGTTAGTAATTGTCAAAGCTTTAAATATGTTAACAAAGATAATATATTTAGAATCAACCCTTTTAAATTATTCCAATTTATTATAAACCAATAAGGATGGACAAAAGTAGGGCGATGCGAGACTATATGATATTCACCACTTCAGCTATATACAATAGATGATCCTAAGATTATTACTGTAATCTATATATGAAATATCATGTCAAACGGACAGACTCAAGATCTGATATACCATTTTTTTTAACCGGGCATAGTTATGTAGGAGACCTTTATCTAAATCTGGCATGAAATCGGACATAAATATATCTCTAGTCTTTGGCACTATATGCAAAAGTTGCTTATAATCGGCAAAATATATTTGGGAACTATATATCTTAATCTGAAACGCTTTCAAGAAACTTTATACACGTCATTCTAGAATCGCTGTGAAAATGTTCTTCTCAATAGGACCAACATTGGGACTTTGGGGAACCATTATGAAATCGGACGAAAATATATATGGGAGTTATATCTAAAGCTGAACCGATTTTCATCAAAAGTGTTCGTCCTTAAGGCAGAAAAATGTGTTGTGACAAATTTCATAAAATTCGGACGAACATGCATAAATTTCTTGAAATCACAATATAGCTCGCAACATTTATGATAGGGCTTTGAAATTATTACTACACATAGGATGTTTGGTATTGAAAATTGAATATATCGGTCCACATATTAGTACAGCCTACATATAACGGAACCTTCAAGTATTCGGATTTCCACCGAATTGAGTTCTAATTGGGTAGAAAATATTCCCACCAAAATTATCAATATCGATTCACTTTTTACGGTTGCCCCCATACAACAGTACCTCCCAAATTTCGGTATTTTTTATTTTATTTTTTTAGTTTGGTCATGTTTTCAACCAAATTGGCTGTAATTTACTATTATGAATTTTCATCGGGTAGAGAATTTCCATAACAAAAATATCAAGATAGATCTAAATTTCGGTGTAGGTATACTTCCCTGATTGTTTGCTAGTTGACGCACGTTTTTCAACCGAATGGCTTTGATATTTTAGATTTTTATTGGATCCAAATTTACCTACCCGAAGCATCCATATAAACCGATCTTGATCGATATTTTTAATGTCCAACTCATTGTGGAGGCCCGGTCGAACTTAATGAAAAACATCGCAAAGCTTTTTTGTTTTTAAATACTATTCATTACCACTATTGTCCCCCTGCAAAACATGCAAACTCGTTTGCAAATTGCCACCTATTCACAAAATACAATGCAGCTATTAAATAAAGGAGAATTGCAACGAAATAAAGCATTTGCTAAAAGCTCTTTTTTATCTAAAAATTCCCGCCAATTTTTCTTACAAAATTTATTTGGAAAAATATTGACATTCTGGTCGTCACTGCCGTAGTAAGAAGTGCATAATTTGTATTATTAAAACAAAATAATAAAAAAATGTTGTTAATTGGAAGGAATATTAATTGGAGAAATATGTAAGTTCATTTATTGGTGTGTGTGTTATTTGTTTCTTGGTTGCTTATGTTTTAAGAATAACAAAATAAAATTGGATTATAAATACAGAGTTACTGAAATGTTTAATTAAAATGTGATTTATTAATAATATGAGTCATTCCATAGCGGAAGAAATTCTTTAGAAAATTATGGCAATATAATATAACAACTTAAGATGAATTTAATGTCTTCTGAGTTTGGTAGAACTATGATTCTTAAGATCAGCACAATAAAGGCAACATAGTTTAAGGTATTATAATGACGTTTTGCATCATGGTTACTACTGGTATGAATAGAAAAGATATAAATGCTGCTATAAATATTAAAGGTATATTTTACTGTACTTTAGCGCTGAATGATTGAAAATTTGTCCCTTAAATGTAGGAATGTCTAAAATATTTATTTATTCATTTACAAAATAGTTTTTAAAATGTAGAAAAAGGCGCCGAGTAACTATGACCTTATGCGCACCATTAGTTAGTTACAGTAGATATACAAGACTTATGATAATTGATATTTATATATAATGGTTCTGAATTAGATGTCATGCTCATTATGAGTGTTAAGTGCCAAACGTATTCGATTCAAAAAATCGTTAGAGGAACAATTAAGTATTTTTATACCCTTCACCACACTGTGATACAGTGTATTATGTTTTTGTGCATATGTTTGTAAAAGGCAAAAGGAAACGAAATAGACGCATTTTTCCTTTTGAGAATATGCATAGAATCACTTCCTAAGTCGATTTGTACATGTCCGTCCGTCTGTCTGTCCATGTTAAATTGTAAAAAAAGTACAGGTCGCACTTATGATTCGAATTGCATGAAATTTGGCATAAGTCACTCATTTGGCCCAAGGAAGAACCCTATTGAAATTGGTGAAAATCGGTTCAGATTTAGATATAGCTCTCATATATATATTGGTCGCTTTAATGTAAATTTTGCACCAAAGTCCATATATATCATTCGATTTCCACGAATTTTAACATAGCGTATTTAATTAAGTCAAGAATGATGTGCGCTAAGTTTCGTGAAAATCGGTTCAGATTTAGATATAGCTCTTATACATAGTTTCGCCCGATTTAATGTAAATGGTACAGCAAAGTCCCTATATATCTTTCGATTTGCACGAAATTTGGTATAGAGTGCTGAATTAAGTCTAGAATGTTGTGTGCTAAGTTTCGAGAAAATCTGTCCGATTTAATCTAAATGGTGCACCAAAGTCCCTATACATCTTTCAATTTGCACGAATTGTGACATAGCGTACTTAATTAAGCCAAGAATGATGTGTGCTAAGTTTCGTGAAAAACCGTTCAAATTTACATATACCTCCTATATATATATATTCGTCCGATTTTAAGTAAATGGTGCACTAAAGGCCCATAGCTAGGCCGATCGACACATCGTACTGAAGTTAATATAAATAATTCTGTGGTAAGATTCGTTGAAATCGGTACAGATTTAGGTATAGCTTCCATATATAATTTCGACCTATTCATGTTAATTGTACACCAAATTATCAATGGGTTCTGATTGGGATTAAATTTGAAACTGTTTGAAACAAATAGCGTGTGTCAAGTTTACTTTAAATCGATTTACTAAATTAAGCGTAGTTTAGTTAGTCGGTTTACATACAGATAATCACATATTTAAGTTCATTCAAATTCACGTCAATGTTCCTTCGAAAAGGCGACGTCTGCTAGGATACATATGAAGAATATACCCAAAGTGGTGAAGGGTATCATATAGTCGGCCCAGTTCGACTTTACTACTTTCCTTACTGTTTTTTTTATTTATTTTTTTTGATGTTTCAACTGGTTCGTTATCATGGTGTAAAATTCCTCATTAAGTTTTCCATAATTCAGGACGTTTCCTGCGAATTGATTCGCGTAAATAATTTTAATGTAGTATTCATTATTGACCTCTTATCTTGTGGCAAGAATTTATGATGCACCACTCCATTCCAGTCGAAGAAAATTATGTGCAAACCTTGACCGAACTTAACGTCCCTTGATTTGAATGTCATAGCCATACACAAATGATTCGTCACCACTTATAAACTTTTTGAGGTATCACCTTCATCGTCGTTGACGATGTTCGAGAGCTCCCGAGCAACATAACAGAATAAAGTTGAAAATAACGGTTAACTGTACCAAAGTTTATATTTGAATTGCCCCATCTTTTCCATTTCCTACAGATTTTTTCGCGACAGTTTCCTTACGTACCTTATTTATAGATAATTAACACTTTCGAATCAGTTGATTATGCTCGTATAATATTTGCACATCTAATTTTTTACTAATTTACCTCGTATATGTATGTTTACACACAAATATGTTCTAGTCTGCTGATATGTCTCAGTTAATTTCGTCTTCGAATCTTATCATATAAAATGATTTTCTGTTATCACTCTCGTATTCGTAGGTAAATGTTGACGATTTTTAATACGGGTATGTATGTGTCTGTATGTTTTGCGAAGGCACATACCTTTTTTCACTGACCCTAAGAAATGTGGAAAAACAAAAACATGAAATAAAATTGATAATCTGTTTATATGGGTGGTTGATGTTGATACCTCTAAGCTAGCTGATAGAGACTCGAAATCAAGCCAATTTTTTTGTTAATAATTTTGCAAAATAGGAAATTTTTCAATTTGAGTTTCGTTAGTACTGTGCTAGACATCGTTTGGTTGGTATCGGTTAAACAAATAGCTAACAAGAAGCGTTTATTATTTACATAACGAGTATTCGAAAAATAAAAATAGTTAATAAAACACAACATATCTTTTTTATCTTTTTTTTTTTGCATAAATAGTCATTTGAAGCCAAATAAAACTGCTGAAAATATGTCGGAGGCCAAATTAATATCCGGTACACAAGTGGCCAAGTGAGTGTTTAATGAAAAATATTTTAATTTTTGATTTATGGAAAGTTTTTGAAAAAATTTAATTCTGGAAAATATTTTTAGTGAAATTCGTGAATCTTTAAAACAAAAAGTTGCCGATATCAAAAATGATTTGCCTGATTTCAATCCCGGTCTATGCATTGTCCAAGTTGGTGGTCGTGAAGATTCCAATGTTTATATTCGCATGAAAATCAAGGCAGCCAAAGAAATTGGCATTGCTGCACAACATGTTCAACTGCCCAGAACTACAACTGAAATTGAGCTACTTGACAAGGTAATTTCAAAATTGATTTTATTATGCAATGCTTATTTATGTTTATGCGATTCATTGACCTTTAGTAAGTCCAAAAATAAATGTGTGAAAATTTATTTAATAGTTCTTATCAGAAATTTGAAAGTGCATACGATTGTGATCGGTTTTGAGAGTGTGGATTAGATTTTGTTCCATTTGCTATAAATTTGAAGAAAAGTAAGGTGTTTTTTTATACATCCACCCATGTATCTTTGTTAACCAAAATAGGTCACATAACAAATGCGATGACAGATAAATGCTAATCTCGAAACCTATAATAATAATGGAAATTGTAAAAGAATTTTCTAGAATTACTTCAAATTTGTAGAGATTTCAAATTAAAAATCCATAGAACAAGACTTCAAAAGAAGATGTAATGTGGTTTGTGTGACTTAAATGGCCTATTTGGCTTTGTTTCAATTAAGGGAACCTCCCATTCTCGATTTTAAAATTTCAAGGTTTTCAATGGGCTGGTAAATGCTTGCTAATGTTTGTAACTTTGCACATATATATTTCAAGATTTAAAAGAGAAGAAAACTAATTTAGAAAATTGTTTGTTGTTGTTTTTTTGTGATTAAAGGAAAATCCTTCTTTTTGATGGCGGGCATATGATAACTCCCCACTTAAGGGAACCCCCCCCCCATTCCCGATTTTTTATTTTCATGATTTTAAATGGGCTGGTAAATGAATACCAATGCTTGTTAAGGTTTGTAACTTTGCACATATATATTTGAAGATTTAAAAATGAAGAAAAATAATTTACAAAAAAATTTTGTTGTTGTTTTTTTGTGATTAAAGAAAAGTCCTTATTTTTGATGGCGGGCATGATAACTCCTCACTGGCACATCGGAATTCGAAAATTCCAATGGTGTTAGGTTAGGTTAGGGATGTACGGCTGTTGTAAAACAACCGTCCACTCGGAAACTATGTCCATTGTGATCATCCTTTATGTATAGGTATACCTGTAAAGAAAAGAAAAAAGATAGTGGAAGAGTAGGGAGAGAGATAGTCAGAAAGGGGGGAGCGGAAGAGACATTATTTTAGCCAAGTCAATTTTTTGACAAAGCCTAGAATTTGGTTAGGGTCTATTTTGAAGAAGAAGACTAGATTATCAATTTCATAACATCCAAACTGTTTATGTCTTCTGCTGATCAGCGATGGACATTTGCAGAGGATGTGCTCAATTGTTTCCACTTCTTCTTCGTCCTCACATAGACGACAGTAATCCTCTCCACTGGAGTCCCACTTAGAAGTGAGAGATCTAACTTTGCAGTGACCAGTAATGATCCCCACAACGATTTTGATCTCCCTCTTTTTGTGATCCAGCAGAGAAGACGTTCTTTTACGAGAGAATTCTGGCCAGATAGATTTAGAGATTCTGCATGCAGGTTCCCTTAGCCACCTGTTGCCGACTACCTCGCAGTGGAACGCGGGGATTCTGCCAATGAAATAGCTTATAGGGGGTTTCACAGATCTCTCAATCAGAAGATTGGACGACTGTGACCCACCTCGAGCAAGCTCGTCGGCTATCTCATTCCCTTCAATATCGTTATGTCCTGGAAACCAGCATAACCCAACTGTTTGACGTATATCACTCAGATCGGTCTTACAATCATGAACTGCTTTCGAGTTTATAGTATGCGACTTCACCGCTTTCAGGGCCGCCTGACTATCTACGTAAATAGTCACCGGTCCTGTAATATCGGTATTAAGTGCTTTTACTATCTCGGTCACTTTCGTGATTGCAAGAATCTCTGCTTGAAAGACGCTACAATCATTGTTGAGTTTATATGATTTTCGTATACCTAATTCCCTGCAGTAAACGCCTGCGCCAGTGCCTTCCTCCATCTTAGACCCGTCTGTGAAGATTGACAGACCTGGCAGAGGTAGGGAGCCACTAGTCCAGGATTCCCTGCTAGGAAATTCAACTTTAATGTCATTAAAGTCCCTATGGGGGGGAATATAGTCACTGATATGACTATCCCCCCTAAAAAGGTCATAACCTGGCGTTATGTTTAGGATGCTGGCATGACCATAGTTCAGCGATTTCAAGGCATCTGTTTCCCGGAGTCTCAGGGCACACCTAGCAGCCTGGAATTTGACCAGAATGTCCAAAGGTTGGAGATTCAAGATTGCATTCATAAGTAATAAGTTCTAAGATTATAACTAAGTATAAACTCGAAGATGGACTCACCTCTTGTATTTGTGTTACTGCTTCCCCAATGGAAGTGATGTGCGTTGGCGTCACATCCCATGATGATATCACCAACTATGCTCATCTCCTCCAATAGGCGGCAAACAACAGTACCGGGTGGGTCAGGAGCCTCATAGGGAAGATAGACGGCAGAGACTTTCAGTGGCTTCGTGATACCTCTGTCTAGTCTTGCTGTCGTCATATCTCCATTGCTGAAATTAGAAAGAAGCATTAAATTTAACTCCTTTTTAGCAAAAATACACGTTCTCACCTTCTCTCCATTGGAGGTAGACAAAAGCGTGTATTTTGTGTCGCCCAGTCCAGTCACCTTGCCTTTGTACAGGTAAGGTTCCTGAATGAGCGCCACGTCGATGCTTGAGGAAGAAAGGGTGAGTAGCAGTTCAGCAGCTGCTGCTCTACAGTGATGCAGATTAATCTGAACCACGTTAAGCGCTTGCTGCTGCCTGCTTATTGTTTTGGAGTGGCGAGGCGGAAACAAAGTTTCCCCATTCCATAGACAAACTCAGCCTTGTTCTTCCTCAAGTACTCCTCTCCCGCAGAATCAGTTGCGAACTTCGCGACTACACCGCCGTTCCTTTCAAACGAGGCGAGGATTCTCCACCTCCTCGTCTGAAGGCCGTTCTGCTTCTCCAATAACCTCAGTGTCTTCTCCAGCCCCTTGAAAGGTTTTGGGATAAACACCGAGGTTACCATACCGCTCGGTATCTCTTGGACCGCAACGGCTGCCAGACGACCACCCTCCCAAAGGGGGTCCAGGCTTTTGATTGTCTTCTTAAGAAAATCTGAAATCTTCTTAGTGCGACAATCAACAACCTTTACCCCTTTGTAAGAGGAGGTCAGGCCAAACCGCAGGCTCTCTCGATCAACCTCGTCGGACAGGAAGAGGTCCTTCAAATAGCTGTCGACCAGCTCCCATCTATCCTCACTGATAAACCCGTCAGGGTCAGCTCGGTCGATGATCGCTACCCGCAGATCTTCCGGAACCTCTTTCGGATCAGCAGAGTCGCTTTGCTCAATTGTAGGTGTTTGGGCTACCTGCTTCGAGACAGCGTGTTTGGTTTTCACCCCACAATCGCTGCTCTTGGCAGGTTTCTCCTTCGACGCTACCACCGAAGCAAAGGAAGCAGAGCTCTGTACGGCCGACGACTGCGTGGGCCTCTTTGCAGCAGGTTGTTGCTCCTCCGAGTACCTCATTCTCTTGACAGCCGTGGGCTGAGGTCGAGATTTGGCACCCGGGGTAGCAACTACTGCAGAGGTATGCCAAGCAGACGCAGGCATCTGCTTCACGTTCGCTACCTTCTGCTTGTCCACTGGCGACTGCCCAATTGTCACCGCCTTGGCTGTCAGCTTTGGCAATTCGGCAGAAGGTGGATTGACGGAGGGCGATTGTGCCTTGTCGGTCTTCTTGGAGGCCTTTTTACGGGCTCTCTTTCGAGCCGACTTCGACAGTCCCCTGCCTTCTGTCTTTGTGGATTCTGATGTCTGCGACGTCTCAGTACTCAGTTTACCCTTTGGGGGTGCTGAGGGCTTAGACGTCTCAGGCATCAGCTTCCTGGATGTACCGGGGCCATCAGCAGGTTTCTCCTTCTTAGAAGGGACTACCGTTAGAAAGAGTACATGTCTGGCTCTCGTATGAACTAGGATTATTGACTTCGCTCTAAAATTAACAAAATGGCGGACCTTTGAAAACATATTTTTAGAAAATCGCCGAATTTTTACCAAAAACCAAGTTAAAAAATAAGGAAGATTTTCACCGATTGGCTTTATCCTAGTTCATACGATAGCTATACACTCACAGAGAAACGTGTAAAAATTTGGAATCGATTGGGTTATTAGTTTTTGAGTTATCGTGCCCGCCATTCGCAAAAGAGAAAAACGCGTTTAAAGTTTGAGAAGCCCTTTAGCCGTCACTTGATGCTGACACAATAAATCGGCTATATCTTCAAGATTTCTTGAGATTTTCACTTGAAATTTTGTAGGGACATTCTTGAATTAGTGTAGATTCGAATTAAATCAACAAAAATTTTGACCCCGAGAATGGGGGGGTCTCCTTAAATTAAATTGAATGTCAGTATACATTTCAAAAATTTCCACTATAGGATTATTGACATTCCTTTGCAACGAAGTTTCCAACTGCATTATTGAAACCATATTAAACTGCTACGACTTCCGATTTTATGAATAATGGGTGGAATCTATAGAAGATATACCAAAAACGATGTTTATATCCTCCACCATGAGGATGACATTAAAATATCTAAAATTGATAGGGGATGCCAAGAGGAAAATCATGTTATGATAGGACCTCGGATATAACGAAAAAGAGGTGAGAAAAAAATTTAAATTCTCAAATTACCTACTAGTGGGTTACCGTTATTGAAAAACGTGTAATTCGGTTGAAAAACGTGTACAAAATTCTTAAAATACCGACTTGAGTCAATATTAATAATTTTTAGTACAGAGATGTGGGTTTAGCGCTATGTGGGGGTTCTTAGAACCCAATTATCAAATTATAGCCAGTTCGGTTGAAATATGTGTCTTCTAATCGTCTAAATACGGATATTGAGGGGTACCTTTTGTGGGGGCTACCCTGAAACTTAGATTTTTTTTTATTTTTAATTTTTGCTTGAAAGCCATGCCCAAACATCTAACAAAAACGAAATTAGGGGACACACGGAAATAAGGGACTACCCCAAAACCCCTATATACTATCTTCGATATATGCCATCTTCGAACTTCCAGCATTATATACTGGCTGTATAGTGGATCGATATTATTAATTTTTGGTAAGAAGATTTGTCACTCAATTAAAAACCAAAATATCAAGGTTAAATATCTATTAAAAAAGATAGGAAATTTGGAATTGCCATGCTATGGGGACTACCCAAAAGCATGGACCGATATAGACTATCTTCTATCTACCTGCAGTAAAAAGACATTTACAGTGCGGTCATCTAATTAGCACACAACTGAAGGGAAAACGTTTGGAATACTTTTAAAATGTTTTTATTCAAAAAGTTTATGTGTACTGAGTTAGAGCGATTAAGTGTGAGAACAGAAAATTATCACGGGAAATTTATGATATATAACGGTATTTATGAAACAAGGGGCGCATGTAATTAGCTCATCTTGGAATTTTTAACTTAAATGCAGTTGATTTTAAAAACTATATACAAAAAATTTCTTCGTGTTGTGCTAATTAGGTTACCGGCACTGTATATGCAAGTACTCAGCACTCTACGGACTGGACGGAAATAGTTAGACATCGCTAGATGGTCTTAGAATTTTATCCTGACCAAGACTACATACGCCAATATCAAATAAAGAGCATATATTTCGGTACTTTTGGATATCGTCTTTATACCGATATGTCTTTAAAAATGGTGACGTGCTCGGAAATTTCGCCATAATTACCAGGAGGGAAATATCTTAGATCAAAAACTAATAAATATGAAATTCTTAATTATTCGGGAACCAAAAAAAATATTCCCATCTCAATCCAACACGCAAATAGTGAAAAGTCCCATACTCAAAACGCCATTTACGACCGATCAAGTCTTATACGACCGTTTGGTGCCACTCATTAAGGGTGAGAGAAAATTCTCAAAATTCAATTAAGAAGTCTCGAAAGATTGATAAAATCGATCCCGACTCCAGTAAGCAAATTTAACCATTGCCCGTTTGTCTCGATATCATCAAGTAGGAACGTGTTGTGGACATCAATGACAGACATTTGAGACAAATTACTGTTGGACAATCTCCCACAAATAAATGATTTAGACGTACCGCCGAGTTCGAAAGACGTAGAGTCCTATGTTCTTGGAAATGTCGTCATAATTACCAGGAGGAAAACATCAAAGATCGAAAACTTATATAATAAACAGTTCATATGAAATTCTTAAATATTCGTAAACCAAAAAATCCTTCCAACTTCGTTTGCCCAATAAATACCCATTATATTCAGCCTTATTCTGGATGTCAATTCCATGTGAAATGATATCAACATCTTCCTGTGAATTTTTTCGCATTCTCGCTTTCGCCTTATTCTGAATGAAGTTCGAAAGCGAAAAAATCCGCTTTGGGAAAAAAATTAGGTATTCTGAATTACAGGGAGTAGGAAATTTTGTGCGAAATTTTTCGCTAATAAATTTAAGGGGAGTTGACTACAAAAACATAAGCAATAACTATTTTTGTGAAAAATATTTACACAATACTTATTCTATGACGATTTAGAATATTATAAATGATAGACTGGAAAACAACCAATAAAATGTCGAAATTAACATGGGAACCAAGTATTGACAAGGAATATATGAAGGTAGTTTAAATTTTCGAAATACACACTTCTGCAAGAAAAAAATTTTAAAAATTATGGAAAAACCAAATTTTTCTTAACTGAAAAACTTACGAACAAAAAAATATTTTTTTAAATTATCGTAATCATAACATCGCCTAGGGAAATAACGAAATTAAATAAAAATGTAATTAAGTGTGCTGCATCAAAACTTATAACGAATAACTAACGAAATAGTCTAATGCTATTTCCCTGATGAAAAGACTTTATTTATTTTTTTTGGATAGAAATTTATTTAAAACTATAAAATAAGTAAAACTTATTATGGAAAAAATAAAGGCTTTTGGAGACGGATTTTTCATTTTTTTCACCCTTACTTGGATCCTTGGAACTTCTTAGCTGCTCTTCAGAGGGTCTTTTGTATTTCAGGTCTGGATTCTGAAAAGAGATAAAGTAAAAAATGGGAAACAAAAGAAATTACAATATTTTAAAATATTACCTATTAGTGTTATTTATAAGTTTTCCAGTCCTTTGAAACTATTTTACCCTGAAACCCATCAATATTGTAGGCCATGACCAAATGGTTGCAGTATGGAGTTGAAAAATGCTACCTAAAAACAATTCTATTAAACATTAAAATTATATTATTAATGGAATACTTAATACTTACATAAACATGTTTCATTTGAGGGCTTTAGTGGTGTAAATCGCTAAAAAAAATGCGACGCACTTACCTCCACGAACTTTAAATTGAGACTATCGCCAATGGAAAAATAAAATACTCAAAATTAAGTCAAAAATAATTTTTTTCCGTTCTGCATTTTCTTCGGAATAACGGTGAAACCTGTTTTGCACTGGAAAACAATGTTGCTTTTGTAGAAATTATCCTTTTCATTAATGATTTCGCCAGTCAGAATGTGTATCGTAAAAGAATCGATATGCGAACTCCTGCATAACTGGTGGCGTCAGGAGTTTTTCGTTAGCGTAATACATAACGATTTTGAAGCAATTTCTACTTTTAAAACTGCATGTACATGCCATATTGTAGGTTGCCATATTTCTAAACTTTAATTTATTTTCTTTTAATTACAAAGCTATTATACAGCGGATTATTGATATTTCACATTTGTATTGTTATAAAGTTTAAATAACAATAAAAAGTAAACATTTTTAATAAAAAAAAATCAATAAATAAAATATTGAAAAATATTACACAATTAAATTACAATGGGGCAACACATATTGCAACTTAAATTACAATATGGCCACACACGTTAGAACTTAAATTACAATATGGCAACACAAATCTTTTTTCAACCACCATTTTCGAAAACTCGAATCCGCATCTCGCATTTTTTGCGTCTCCCTATGTATTCAGAATAAGGCGAGAATGTGAAAGCAAAAATTTTTTTGCATGCGAGATATCTCCCAACGAATATTCAGAATAAGGCTGATTAAGTTTAGTACCATTTAGATCTACATCAACAATTCTTTCACCTTATATACACCAATTTTAAAAATAATATCCTTATGTTAGGGAGAGAAAAGTCTTACTAATATATCTTACTAATATTTGAGAACCAAAAATATCTTCATAATTTTGTTGTGAATTGCATTCACCGCTTAGGTAACGGATTTCCAAAAGCTCATCACTATCTTAATCCCAAAACAAAAGTAGTGAATAGTCCTAGATTTCAAAATTATATATACTTTTTTTTTGTTAATCCCTGAAAATCTGTTTTTTCTTAAAAACAAATTTCGAAAATATAGTCGAACAAATGTTAACATTTTCGCAGTAAAACTATTTTCAATTACAATTATCTTATGCTTTATTTTCTATTTATAGATTAACTCGCTTAACAATGATCCCAATGTGCACGGTATTATTGTACAAATGCCACTCGATTGTGATACGAAAATCGATTCACACAAAATCACAGATGCTGTACATCCCGACAAAGATGTTGACGGTCTGCATACCATGAACGAGGGACGTGTATCAATTGGTGACTTGAGTGGTTTCATGCCATGCACACCATGGGGTTGTATTGAATTGATCAAAAGATCTGGTATCCAGATGGCCGGGGCTAATGCTGTTGTATTGGGACGTAGTAAAATTGTTGGTACTCCAGCGGCTGAACTATTGAAATGGCATAATGCCACTGTGACGGTGTGCCATTCGAAAACCAAGAATATTGAAGATATTGTAAGTGTTGAGTGAGTGAAGAGAGGGGAGAGAGAGTGAGGGAGAAAGAGAATAACAATTTAATGTTAACATATTGTGATTTCAGTGCCGTACTGCTGATATTTTGGTTGTAGGCATTGGTGTACCCGAAATGGTTAAGGGTTCTTGGATTAAACCTGGTGCCGTTGTCATCGATTGCGGTATTAACGTCAAGCCTGGTAAGTCGCAAACAAATTATAAAAAAATAACATTATTTACATCTCATAATTTAGAGGGGACACACACTTATGTTATCACCATCTCCCAAACTAATGTTATCAGCAACCGATAGTATTGTTGCCTAGTGTGTTGAACCCTCTGATAAGCAAGGTCAAATGTATATTTTTGTTAAATTCAAAAATATTTTTTACGTTATTTTTAATTTTGTTTATAACGTCACTCTTAATTTTTTTCTGCAGACCCAACCAAAAAAAGTGGTACTCGCTTGGTGGGTGATGTTGCCTTCGAAGAAGCTAAATTAGTTGCTTCAGCTATTACTCCTGTTCCAGGTAAGTGAAAATTAATATACCATTCATGACAAATAATAACAATATTCTACCAGTATAACATTATAAGATCTTAAGATCTCCTTATGAAACCAATATACATTTGTTGTTTGCATTGTAGGTGGCGTTGGGCCTATGACTGTTGCCATGCTGATGGAAAACACTGTACGTTCGGCATCGAAGGCCGCCTTCAACTTGTTGAAGAAATCATGGGAATTGGCTCCCTTGACTCTTAGACCCGTAAGACCAGTACCAAGGTAAGATTTTTACAAAATTGTTATTTTTACTTTATAAAAATTACTATTTTCCATTTACAGTGATATTGTCATTGCCCGTTCCCAAACTCCCAAGGATATCTCCATGTTGGCCAAAGAAATTGGTCTACTCGGCAATGAGGTGTCTCTGTATGGCAATAAGAAAGCTAAGATTGCTCTCAGTGTTATGGATCGTTTGAAGTCCAGAGGTGATGGCAACTATGTTGTTGTTGCTGGGTAAGTTAAAGAGTAATTTGAAATTTCAGAACCCATTATAATCATTTATTTATTGTAGTATTACACCCACTCCCTTGGGTGAGGGTAAGAGTACCACCCTTATTGGCTTGGTACAAGCCTTGTGCGCCCACAAACAAAGAAATGCCGTTGCCTGTATGCGTCAACCTTCACAGGGACCCACATTTGGTATTAAAGGTGGTGCTGCCGGTGGTGGTTATGCCCAAGTTATCCCTATGGAAGAATTCAATCTGCATTTAACCGGTGACATTCACGCCGTTACTGCTGCCAATAATCTCTTAGCTGCCCAATTGGATACTCGTATATTCCATGAAAATACCCAAAAAGATCAAGCCCTATACGACCGTTTGGTGCCACGCATTAAGGGTGAGAGAAAATTCTCCAAAATTCAATTGAGACGTCTCGAGCGTTTGGGCATTAATAAAACTGATCCCGACTCCTTGACCCCCGAGGAAATGGGCAAATTTGCCCGTTTGGATATTGATCCCGACACCATTATGTGGGAACGTGTTGTCGACATCAATGATAGATATTTGAGACAAATTACTGTGGGCCAATCTCCCACCGAGAAAGGATTTACACGTACCGCATCTTTCTCCATTTCGGTGGCCAGTGAAATTATGGCCGTTTTGGCTTTGGCTCAAAATATGGAAGATATGAAAACTAGATTATCGAAAATGGTTGTGGCTTTTGATCGTAAGGGAAATCCAGTGACAGCTGATGATTTGGGTGTGACCGGCGCTTTGACTGTGTTGCTCAAGGACGCGTTGGAACCAAATTTGATGCAAACTTTGGAAGGTACCCCCGTGTTGGTACATGCTGGACCTTTTGCCAATATTGCCCATGGCTGTTCGTCAATTGTTGCCGATGAAATTGCCTTGAAATTGGTTGGCAGTGAAGGTTTTGTTTGTACCGAAGCTGGTTTTGGTTCTGACATTGGCATGGAAAAATTCTGCAATATTAAGTGTCGTTCATCGGGTCGTAAACCAAATGCTGTTGTTTTGGTTGCCACTGTAAGAGCTCTGAAAATGCATGGTGGTGGTGCTCCAGTTACCCCAGGTGCTCCTCTTAACAAACAATATACCGAAGAGAATTTGGAATTGCTTGAAAAGGGTCTGCCCAATTTGTTGCAACACATTTCCAATGGTTGTTCATTTGGTTTGCCTGTCATAGTGGCCATTAATCGTCATAGGTATGGTTGACATTTTAAAAATTTCTTTAAAAAAAAAAGAAATAAAAATCTATTCAATTTACTGTTTTGTTTGTTTCCAGTTCTGATACTGATGCCGAACATGAATTAATCAAATCCGCTGCCGTTAAAGCTGGTGCCTTTGCCGCCGTTGTCTGCTCCCACTGGAGTGATGGTGGTGCTGGTGCCACTGAATTGGCTGAAGCCGTTATCAAGGCTTGTGAAGATTCCAAGAACTTTAAATTGTTGTACAACAGCGAAATGTCTTTGTTGGACAAAATGAATACCATTGCCCAGAAAATGTATGGTGCCGCCAAGGTAGAATTGACCGAAACCGCCCAAAAGGATTTGGAGAAGTTGACAAGTGCTGGTTTTGGCCAATTGCCAATTTGCATGTCCAAGACATCTGGTTCTTTAACCGGTGATGCATCCATTAAGGGAGCACCTAAAGGTTTTACATTGACCGTTAATCGTTTGTATGTGTCGGCTGGAGCTGGTTTTGTTGTTGCCATGTGTGGTGAAATATCTAAAATGCCTGGTCTGCCAACACGTCCCTGCATTTATGATATTGACTTGAATACCGAAACCGGAGAAATTGAAGGTTTATTCTAAAGCAAAAAAGAAGACAATTTTATATTTTTTTATAATATAATTGCATGTAGGTTTTGTTTAATTGAACATGGTTGTATAATTGTATATAAAGATACTATATAAATTTTGTATATGTTTTTATTATTATTATTAATAAAGTTAATAACGTCTTGATGCATTTGTTTCTTTATTGGTTAGTTTATCCTGGGTAAAGAAATCATTGTTGAGGATTTTATGTTCAAAATTTGGTGTGGTTTTCTGTTCAATATTTTTCATATTATTCATTTCGAAGAGGGGATCATTGTGTAGGCCTTCGAATTCATCATCATCATCGGAGTCGGAATCAGAGCTAAAAAAGATTTTTATTTGGGCATAAAATATTTTTTATTGATATGAAGTTTAAAGAATGCATTTACCTTGTTTCATTATCATAGACACCTCTTGGTACAATATTCTCATTGTTTTGCTTTTGAAAAATCGGATTTGAACCCTCCACAGAAAATATATTTGCACTTGGTCCAGCAATTCGATTGAGATTCGATGCAATTGAACCAAATTCTGCTGGTTCAAATGCTTTCAATTGTCGCTTTAAGCTACGAACTTTAACCACATAAAGCACCGTCATTGATAGGGCAATCAAACCAAGTGTTGTACATAGGCCAACGAGTCCTGTCAGTAACCAATTATCAACAAGTGGTGATTCTTTTTCAGCTTCCAAATGTGGTATATCATTTAGTATTAGGTTATATGTTTGAAGAGTGTTTTGTAAACGTGATATGAAGGCCAAATCATTCGATTTCTTTTTTATTTCATAAGCATCGACTGCTTCATTATTGTGTATAAAATGTGCCTTAACTTCTGTAATAAATCCCGTAGAGTTATTGGTCGATTGACGAGCATTTTGTGATCGTGCATTGGTGACATCTTCAATGGAATCGATGTTGCAAATATCATAGTCATAGAGGTTTTGTAATTGATCACGAAGCTGGAAAATATAAAAAGCAAAAAAAAAAAATAGAAAAATTTGATGTTTGGGATTCAAATATAATGCCAGTAAGCAATGCAGTATTGTAGAACTTTAATGTCTATGTTCATTTGGCTTTAACCCTATTTAAGATACAGCCTTATTCTTGATATTCCCTAAGGAGATCTCTCGCTTGTGAAAATTTTTTCGCTTTGACATTCTTGCAAGATGTTATTTCAACTTTATAAAAATACAAATGTGAAATATCAAGAATCCGCTGTAAAACTGCTTTGTAATTAAAAGAAAATAAATTAAAGTTTGAAAATTTATTGTTTTGATGCTATTTGCTGCAACAACTACAACAGATTACAAATAAAAGAACATTTTTTATGATGAAAAAACCGCATTGAACGATGAGAAGACACAACAGATAATGGGAAGGAATCTGCGATTGAATTAGATCAATTCGCATGCATTGAACATGCACAAACAGTCATCACATTCCCACTCCCTGTAATCCAGAATAACAAATTTTTCCCCACAAGCGGATTATTTCGCTATCGAACTTGATTCAGAATAAGGGGAAAGTGAAAATGCGAAAAAATCACTGCAAGTTCGGGCTCAAAATAACTTTAAACGGAAGAGCGAACAAATTCACGGTGAATTGATGTCCAAAATAAGTTTCGGTTCGTTGTTTCGTCCGAATTTAAAATATTACACCACAGTCTCAATGTTTGTCTGATTGCGACAATAATTTGTGTCCAAATTGTTTTGTGCGTAGCCTTAATATTGAGGCGTTTACTCAATAATTTGTACAAATTATTACAAAATGTTGTTCGTTTAAGTCAAGTAAAAGGTTAATAAGGTTATCCATCTAGCGAAAGTCAGTTGTTTTCTCAAATTTAATGTCAAAAATTGAAACTTTGACTTTCTTATTTGAATACTTGAGAGGGCCTTATTACTTATTTATAGTGTATATGCAAATTCTTACACGGAAAATTTACTCAGTAAGAATTTTCTTGTACCATCAGCTGATATTTAATCAGCTGTTTTGTAAACAAACAACAAAAATGTTCTCAAACTAATTTATTGTTTTGTGAATTTTATTTAGATTTTGTATCATTAAACATTAAAATGGATAAAAAACGCAAGTATTTATAAACAACATCAATTTTTCTATTTTTATCGTTTACTTTATTCAATTTTCTTTCTTGAGAGGGAAAAATTCGTATTTGCTCTCTGCAAATTCTTACTGAGTAAACGTTACTGGGAAAGTAAACGAACGAACCTATTATATTTATATTATGTTTACTTACCAATTTCTCCTGTCTACGTATCACTTGAATATCGCTGAGGAAAACAAATTTAACACGATTACTTTCGGAGACAATGAAAATTTTCACCGAGGTAATATCACTGTGATTCAATAAATCCAAAGCCGTTACATTAAACATCATGTAGCCTTCCATATTATTCGGTACATAAGAAATAAGATTTAATTCTCCCGTTTCAGGATCTAACGATATTAAATCCGAGACATTTTTTACAACATTTTTAAGATGGCTTTCATAGGAGTCAATATCTATTGTATATGTTATGCGATCATCTAAATCGGGATCTTCTGCCTAATAATTAGCAAAAATTATTATTATTAAAAAAAATATATGTTTGCAATTTCTTACCTTCAACATTAAAATTGATTTCCCAATCGAATCCTTAGAAGTCAAACCACCTGCATATAGTTTCTGCATAAACTTCGGAGAATTGTCATTAACATCAATAACATGGATATTTACCACCAGCGTATAATTTATGCTATTCGGATTGGTGATCAAGCCGTTTTCATTATTTGTTACTTTTATTCGAATTTGAAGTTCATCTATTAATTCTCTATCCAAAGCGGTTTTCAATTTCAGTTGCCTTGTTGTAGAATTCAATTGAAATAATTCTGAATTTTCCGTATAAATGGTATCTAGAATAATACTTTACAATTGTAATTTTAATTATATTTAATTACAGATCTAACTTACCATCAATAAAATAATACAAACGATATAGTTCTTCGGTATCATCTAAACCTTCATTTTTTGGATCACGGGCCTCGGGTATGTAACGTTCTTCAAGTAAACCAGTTGAATTTTCTAAAAAAAGGTATTCATTTTTTATCGGGAATATGTCAGAAGTAATTAATTTCAAATTACCCGTGAACGTTGTAATGAAGGATGTTTCAAGAAACATCGGATTGCCCAACATATCAACGAATACTATTTTGAGATTTTTCAATATAGCCGATGTGCTACCACCGCCATCTATTGCCCTTAGGTTTATCTGTAATTATTAAGGGTTAATTGTTTTTTTTTTTTTCTTCGTTAGAAAATCTTTTGTTTGTCTACAAAATTAAACACTGCATATACTTACCAGATATATACCAGCTGGCAAAACATTTTTCACATATAAATTCGTGGAATTTCGAGATTCTTTTGATAGTTGAAAATATTGATCGTGGCCAACTGTAATAGTTCATAAAAATGCATTATTTATTTTTATTTGTAATTGTATACATTGGTAACTCTAAAATTATATCCTGAACTTTTAGATATATACCGTTCAACTTACCATCACTACTAATTTCAAAATGTACATCACCATATTCACCGCCATCGGGATCAGAGACTTCAAAATGTCTTAAACGTGTACTGCAATCTGCTTCATACAGTGGACGTAAAGGTTCTTGTAGAGAGTAACTAAATTGAAAATAATTATAGCCCATTTATTTTTTATCATAATATCCTAAGCTAGGAAACCTGGAATTGATTATTTCTTACCATATTCTAATAGATTTATGTTGTATAGGATATTGTATTTGTGGTATATGAAAATTATATGGTTTTACATTGACCTCATACACTGAAATATTTTTCAACTTAGGTAAACCATTATCAGATGCCTCAATTTCCAACTGCCAAATGCCATAAAAACCTTTAAGTGATTTTTGACATTCTAATTTACCAATACGATTATCCAAAGTAGTCATGGTGAAAAGATCTTCATATGATGATACATTTGGGTTATTATCCATTACTGAGGTAAAAATAAATTGTTTTAATTAGAAATAGAAGTACAGAAGAGAAAGCTCTCGTATAACATTTTTACATAATAGGTTCGTTGGTTTACTCATTTTTTCTAATAAAAATGCTGCTTTTGTTGTTGTTGTGCTGCGCCAAATTGTTTGTTGTTGTAATCAGCTTGTCGATAAAATCTTTTTACTGGATGTTTTTCGTTTTCTTTTTGCAATTTTCTCTCTTGAGAACGAAAAATTCGTATTTACTCTCTGCAAATTTATACTGTGAAAGTAAACGAACGAACCTAATGTAAACTATTAATAATTATTATTATGGTAAAATAATTAACCTGGTTTTATTGATAGAATAGTGTACACAAGTTCTGAGTTCCTTGTATTTTCTTCATCTCTATCCAGCGCAATGAAATCTGTTTTGGTATATGTATTCTGAAAATAATATTAGAAAAGTTTAATTATAAGGTTAACAAATGACATGAAAGATATTTCACCTTATCATCAGCTTCGGAGAATTCGAAAATAATTTGTTTTGAATCGGGCATTTTTGGGGCATTATCATTCACATCCAACAGAGTTACATTGAGGAACGTTGATCTTTGATTGACCGCTATAAATAATTAAAAAATATCGTACTGTTCACAATAACATTAAAAGCAGGACAAACATTAAAAGCAGGAAAAAAAGGACATTTTGGGTACACACAAAATTTCATTTTCAATTGCAGTTCGAGAATTTCGTTTGAAATTCGAAAGCTTAATTTGCAATTCATAACATTTCAATTGTAATTCGAGAATGCAATTGGTAACTTACAACATTTCATTTGTAATTTTGAACTTTTTGAAATTTAAAGACTTTCTTTGTAATTCGTATTTTTCCATTTGAAATTCGTTGAGTTTCATTTGAACTCCATAGAAAGTATTTTACAATTCAAAGATTTCAATTTGAAATTCATAACAATTAAATTCACATTCATACGCATTCTTTGTATGTTACCAATATTCGTTTTCGAATTGGAAATTATGTAATATGGAATGTTATGTATTTCAAATCAGATGTTATGAATTTTAAAAGGAATTCTTGAATTTCAAATGGAATTTTATGAATTTCAAATGCAATCCTTTGAATTTCAAGTGGTATTCTTTGAATAACAAATTAAATTCTCGAATCACATTTGTTATATTGTGAATTGCAAATTATATGTTGTGAATTTCGAATGGAATTCTTGAATTATCAATATATGTCTGTGATAAAGTGATTTTCTTTTTAATTCCAACTTACGTCCACTGACAGCATTTAAGAAATTGTAATTATCCTTAATATCAATAGGTATATAATGATATGTTACACCCATATCACGATCCAAAATAAAACCGTTACGTAAATTCACATAAACTTCTCCTGTTGTTATATTTATTTGAAAAATATTATGTAGATCGGTAAAGGCACTATTTATACTAAACTCCAAGCTGTTATGGGGACCTAAAATAAGAAAAAAAGTTTCAATAGAAACAAATCTTCAATCAATAATAAAAACTCACTGTCTCTGTCGTTGTCAAAGGCTTTAACATGACCCACATATTGTCCTGTAGTTGAGTTTTCATAAATCGATACTTGTTGCTCGAAAATATCAAGTTGTGGAACTTGATTATTAATATCTATTATGCTTATATTAAACTATAATTAAAAAATAAAATATTTGAAAAATATTTATTCAAAATATTTAATAATTTCCAATTTTACCTTTCCTCTCACTGTATGCATTGAATCGGTTATTAACACCTCATATTCTAAGTGATATATTTTTGGCACATCACATTGTATTAGACCGGTAACTCGTAGTAGTCCCGTTGTCTCATTGATGCTGATTAAACCGGGATTGGTAAGATTGCCTATGGGTCTAGAAAAGTGTTTTTTTATTTGAAATTAAACTTGTGATAATAATGTGTTATTACCTCAAAGCAAATGTTATATTGTTATTTCCGGGTCCATCGATATCGAAGGCTTCAATAGTTCCTGAAAAGGGTATTTAATAGTGCTATTAGATGTTACAATAAAACGACTTGAGTTGGACCTACCAATAGTGTTCATAATATCACCCATCTCAGTTACATAACGAACTTCTTCTAAGGTTCCTGCAGCAAACTGAGGAGGATTGTCATTAAGATCATCAATGCGTATTGTCAATACAGCTGTGAATAAATCGGCATTTTTTGAATTTGAAATTTTATTTCAATTGAATTTGAAATGTTTATACTTTGTACAAATACCATTCTTACCTGTTGTAGAATTTTCTCCAATCTCTTGATTTATATCACAAACCCGTATGGTCAAAAATATTGTATCATATTTTTCATAGTCAATTTCATGTGTGAAATCTGGATTGATTTTCAAATGACCATATACCAAATTCCTAGTTTCCTTTACAGCTTCAATAATAAAACATTCCAGAAACAATGAACTCGCAACTTCTTGTCCACCTTTTGTGGCATATGACGCCGACCAAATAATATCAAATTGTAAATTTGCCATCGTATCTGGATCTCTGGCTTCGATTTTATTAGTTATCAATGTTAAAGGTTGAGCATTTTCGGTAACATTTATTATAAGACGGGGCTGAAATTGTGTAGAAATTTATTTAAAAAATATTGAACTTTTTTCCTTATACCCACCATTCGTAACTCGGGAGTTTCATCATTAACGTCTAAAACTTTTATTTGCAGTTGAGTGTATGAAGTGTGTAAAGTCTCTTCAAATGATGTATTTAATGTATCCTTTGCCTGAATTTGTAAAATCATCAATGATTGACGTTCATAATCAAAAACATTACTTCCGTTTATTGATATCCAACCGGTAAGTGGATTGATGTCAATGCCCTCAATGTTGCCCACCAAAGAATGTCTGTGGAAATGGATTTGTTTTTAAATACCACTTCGTATGCAAATATGTTAAAAATAATACCTACATAACTTCATCATCCACATCACGATCTATGGCCTGAATTTGTATTATATTTGTATTCATTGTTATATTTTCATATAACTCTAATTCATATGTATCCAATTCAAATACGGGCCATTCATCATTCCAATTTATCAATTCAATGCGTAGAGAAAATTCATTTTGATGATCCGCATTTTCAACTTCTTTTGCTAAGAGCTAATTAATACATATTAATAGTAAAAAATTAAATGAAAAAGAAAAATAAAATTATTTACCTTTAATTGAAATGATCTCCAATCTTCGTTTTCATAATCCAATTTGTCGGCTTGTGTTACGCTTAGAGAAAAATCAGTTTTCTGATAGCCACTGTTCGGTATCATAGCAAAGGCATTGGAATATTGTATTGATCCATTATCATTTATAAAGTAGATATTATATGAAGCATTCGTACCCTATAAAAAATAAATTATACATTAGGTTATCCATTTTGTGGTTTCAAAAGTATGGAGATTGAAATCGACATTTGTTATTTCAACCGAATTTGCTGCAATTCGGTATTTTGTAGTCGTATATGGTAACAAATAGCCTTACCAAAAATTATTAATATTAGCCCCATTTTTGGGGTAGTCCCTATATAACCCCCTTTTTATACCCTCCACCATAGTATGGAGGGTATATTAGTTTTGCTTTTCCGTTTGTAACGCATCGAAATAATAAAGTATATATATTCTTGATCAGAGTAAAATTTTATGACGATCTAAGATGGTCTGTCCATCCGTCTGTTGTAATCACTCTAGCGTCTAAACGAATTGAGATAGATCGCCAAAATTTTGCATAGAGTCGTCTTTTGTCTGCAGGAAGGTCAAGTTCGAAGATGGGATATATCGGTCCACGTTTAGGCATAGCTCCCATATAAGGGTACCCCCCAAAAAATTATAAACATCGGACCACTTTTTCTAATAACCCCCATATAAGGGTACCCCCAAATTTTTCCGTATTTTGAAGTTCTTGAGTGCGTTTTTCAACCGAATTCGCTGAAATTTGGGACTTTGAGTTCTCATTGGATAGCAAATCTCCCCACCAAATATTATAAATAAAGGTCAATTTTTTCGGATAGCCCCCATATAAGGGTACCCCCAAATGTTCGATATTTTGAAGGTCTTGAGTGCGTTTTTCAACCGAATTCGCTGAAATTTGGTATTTTGTAATCGTATATGGTAACAAATCTCCCTACCAACAATTATTAATATTTACCCCATTTTAGGGGTAGACCCCATATAACCCCATTTTTATATTAAAATAGTTAGCCAATTTGTTCCGTGTGTTGGGGTTATCCCCATGTAGCTGTATTCCACCATAGAATGGGGGATATACTGTAGACGAAATTTTCAGTTCATACCCTGCATACCCTACCCTGCATTGTATGGAATTCTAAGACGAATTTAGGCCCAGGTCCTATATAAACCATCCTACATATTTAATATTTAGCGTGATGCACGGTATTGTGATTCAAAACTAAATTATTAGCTTGGAACTTGAGCTATATCCGCCCTTAATTATGCATAACCTCTTATATAATGAAAACACCAAGTATTCGCTAATTCCTACACAATGTTCTCAACATTGGTCCTCTAAATTGGAGTATTTTCAGGATTTTATACACATGTTTCACCCTACAATGTCAACATTTTGAGGTTTAGAGATTTTATGGCAAACCCCCCATTGAAATTGCTGAAATTTATATTTGGTTTATAATAATCGATGGGTAGAATTGTATTTTTATGTATGTTCCCTACATTTCCATTTCAAAAAATTTTCAGTATTTCTATGGTGGAGGGTATCCAAAGTTCGGCCCGGTCGAACTTAACGCTTTTTCACTTGTTTCCTTTTAGTTGGAAGTCTAACATTGACGAAAATGGATTGGATAAATTATGAAGAAATTTTAAGAGACCGGAGAGGTTACAAATATTAAAAGACGTGCGTCATCTGTGCGTCATCGTTTCGTTCGATCCGCTAAAAATATTGCCGCTGAAAGTAAAAGTTTTAACGACGACCCAAATGTGTCAATTCCTTGTCGTACTAAGGGATTACGACTGTCTTACGGCATGTTATAGCGAATTTTGTACTCATATCTACTAGCTGTAGATACTTCGTAGATATGTTGAATGGGTGCAGGACAACATGATGAAAAAGCTACTGTTTCGTGCCTTGGACATTACTTCTTAAAAAAAAGATAATTGAACGACTGACAATTCGGGGCATTACGGTCATATGATAAACGACTTCTTTGTCTGCTAAGTTTATTCAGGATCTCGCCCGTCATTCGACAGGATACTGTACACACGCAACCAAAATCATTTTTGATGACATCTCTTGTGCTTGTTGCATAATTCAACGATGTATGACAGTAAGGGAACTCAGTAACAGAGTTGTATTTTCAAAGCTGTTTTACGTTTTTATTGTGCATTTGATTTTAAAGCTATAGGTATCTGAATTGCATACTCACCAAATCGACATCTTCAACGTAAAATTGTTCGAGAGGCAATGTTAAATATTTTCCTTCCAGTATTTGTACCGTCTGTGGTTTCAATACTATTTCTGGTATATGATCGTTAATATCCTGGACAATCAATATTGTTGAATTGCAAATAGTCCATGAGGCATTGTCACATTTATAGGCACAGGTCTATACAATAACGAAACGATTCGGATAAGTTCGATGGATAAGTTTCGATATCCTTTACGATCTAACCTAAAAATACTTACATTAAAATTAAATATCTGTTGATTGAGAACATCACGATCAATTGGTTTGACATGTAAAATTCCCGAACTTGTATTAATAGATATTATATTCGAGTCTGTAATGAAAAAATATAATAATACTCTCCAACATCATTCGTGAACCCCTAAACTTACAATCATCTTCAAATTGCAAACGATAACATATGGGTTTGTTGATACCAGTATCACCATCAATTGCCTTCAAGGTGAAAAACTACAACAAGATAATTTGTAAATAAAAAACCAGTGAGCGGAGCAGTATATTCGGACGGGGCCGACCATACGATACCCTACACAACTACCACAGAACTCTATCTTTCTGCGGATTTTTATTCCGAGCTTGGGTAATATTTCGTGATAGTTGCACCATCTTGCCCGATTAGAGGCCAACAGCACCTCTTCCTTACACTGACATATTTTCTTCCTTACACTGGAACATTTCAAAGCGATCCGCGCTATATTTCCGCCCACTAGTGTGGTAATGGTTTATTAAATAATATCAGAATACGTAAGCTCCTGTAAATATTTACGTGTAACTCCCACATCCGAGTACATACGACAATATAATTAGTATCAATTTAAAGGTCAACCACTATACTTGGATATACTATCAACTTCTCGGGTCTATGTCCTTCAGAGGTAAATATATACGCTATAGAATACTAATTTTGTCATTTTTCACATTAAAGTCAGGGTCCATTTGACCCGCTAAATATTGACCGATCTTTATCAAAACAGACATGCTTATTCTTTGGTGCGATCCCCTTCCCCATGTAATATTTCAAGATGTTCGGACCATAACTGCAGCCTCTGGAGCAATCAGAAAAACCGACAAAAATTAAGTATTTGGTCCATTTCATCCCCTAAATATTAACCGATATTTACCAAAAATATAGAGGTCTTCATTGGGCCGAACTCTTCCTACATACACAATTTTGTGAAGATTGGTCCATAACTGTGGCCTGTATCGTGTTTACAAATTATAATGCACAGACGGACGGACGGGCACACATGTCTACATCGACTCAGCTAGTCGAGATATGACGATCGGTATACTTAAAAGTGGGTCTAGGACCAATATTTCGCGGCGTTACAAACTCATGGGGCTGCACAAAACTATAATACCCTGACAACATAGTTGTGTAGGGTATAAATACAAATAATGCTTTAATTTTAATTCAAACCTGTTCCGATTTTTCATTAAATGTTGCCGTTGTCAAAGGTTTGACCCATATGGGATCACGATTTGGCAGATCGATAACTTCAAGTATAGCAAATATATCACCACTATTATTGTTGGCGTCATAAACTTTTACATCCAAATTGTACAAGGCCTTCTCGTCGAAGTGTAGCTCTTTTAAAATTCTAAAATATTCGCCAAATATTAAATCACGATTTTTTTAGTATTCAATTTAATACCCACTTTAGTTTATATTGTTTTTCATATGTGGTCGTTTCACCAAATTCTACAAACGCGAATGTCGATGTTTGACTTGAATCACCTTCAACTGCAATATGAATATTATTACGGTCCATGCCATCAGGATCATAAATGGAGAATATACATTCGGTAAGATAATCGGAATGGAGTTCCTAAAATAATGAAACGTATGATTTCGAACTCAAATATTTTTTAAAAAATATATTCCTACCTCAACTCTACATGGTGATGGTCCGTATGTTACAGTTGGTTTATTATCGAATATATTTTCCAATGTTACAAAAACACTTTGTTCAACAGAATTTGCATCCGATGCATCTTTTATGTAAACTTGAAAAAAGTATATTCTCTGTAGAGGATTTTCGAAATCCTGACGCTTTTCAATTGTTATATACCTATAGATGTAAATTTAAAATTGTTATAATTTATATGAGCATCTTAGGTGTGATAACCGAATATAGAACTCACTCCCAAATAAACACGTTTTTCAATACTACACTATAAATGTTAAAATGTTTTAGTATATTTTAAAACGTTCTTATTGTTGTGCGTTGTGCATTTTTTCTTACCATTCATTATCCGTAATATTAATACGAGCTCCCAACAGACTATTGTCACCAATATCAAAAGCACCAAGTGTGGGGGTTCCTTCGGTACCTTCAATGGCAAATAGAAGAGAGAGATGAAAAAGTATATATTTTTAAAACGACTGTCCTTACCATTATAATTTATTTTAGCCAAAATATATGGAACTGACAACTCTTCTCTAACACTGATTTTCTGTACACTTGCTGCAGAGTTATTAGCAGTTATCCAAGATATTCCATCTGTATTGGCATTAAGGAAGTAGGGTTCCTGCCATACATCTTGTGTTGAGGCTACAAAAAAATATTTAAGATATATTTATATTTCTTTAAAATATGAGCGGAAAAGTATTGTCGGACCTTGGGCCATTATACAACTACCACTATACTCTATCATCTTTAATACCCTGACAAATTTTCCGAATTATATTTTCCCGGAGTGAGTATTTAATCACAATATTCAAATTTTGACTCATTTGACCCCTAAATATTGACCGATCAATATCAAAACAGTCGTTGCTAATAGAAGACCAGATCCCCTTCCCCATGTAAAATTTATTTATTTAATGTTTTGTAATAAAAAACAGAATGGCCAAGACACAATTACAATATATTATATGAAATACATTTGTACACACAATTTGTTTTACATTAATTTCAAAATTTAGTGGACTTCTAAGGAGAACAACTACTCTTGTGATGTTTGACTTATAATTATGTCCTCTAGACAGACCTGAAAAGTTTCGGTCTATTTCATACCCTATAGATCATCTGATCGCTAGCCTCTAGCTAGCCTGATCCACTAGTCTAGAAATGATTTACTAAATAATATCCGAATACGTAGACACCTGTAAATATTTAACTAAAATTTCCACGTGTGAGTCGGTAAATCACTATAATTGGTATTAATAAGAACCCCTCTTAATATACTGTCAACTTCTCTTATCTATGTTTTTCAGAAGTAAATAGAATGTAAATTTTGCCAATTTTCCACACAAAAATTTGCCGGTCGGTATATTAAAAGTTGGTTGTAGGAAAGGAGGTTCTAGGAACCATGTGTCTATCTCGTTTTCTTTTGCCTGTTACAAACATATGCACAATGACATAATACACTGTACCACAGTGTGGTGAAGGGTATAACAATTTATCGCTGTTATTAAAATATATATGATATATCTGAATCTGAACCGATTTCAACAAAACTAAACACATGTCAGACTGAAAATCGGGTCTTTGGTCCACCGATTTCAACAAAACTTGACACACGTCAGATTACACTAACTTCAGTACGTTCTGCCTGTTACAAACATAATACATAATATCCTGTACCACAGTGTGGTAAAGGGAATACATATTTTAAAGTTTCTAATCCCAAGTCGTCTTCATTGAAAGTGACCATGATTTTATCTGATGAAGTTTATAATTGGAATTTAATATTACAACTTTCTTTCCTTGTATGTCGTCCATCCTAGGTTTTTCTCGGCACATATTTTTTGGAAATAACCTACTTCTGTTTAACAGATCCATCTTATGATCCCTTACCTTACCTTACTTACCCTCCACCATAGTATGGAGGGTATATTAGTTTTGTTTTTCCGTTTGTAACGCATCGAAATAATCATTTCCGACCCTATAAAGTATATATATTCTTGATCAGTGTAAAATTCTATGACGATCTAAGCATGTCGGTCTGTCTGTTGTAATCACTCTAGCGTCTAAACGAATTGAGATAGAACGCCAAAATTTTGCACAGAGTCTTTTGTCTGCAGGCAGGTCAAGTTCGATGATGGGCTATATCGGTTCACGTTTAGGCATAGCTCCCATATAAGGGTACCCCCAAATTTTCAGTATTTCGGGGTTCTTGAGCGCGTTTTTCAACCGAATTTACTGAAATTTGGTAAAATGGGTTCTTATTGGGTACCAAATTTCTCCACTAAAAATTATAAATATAGGTTAATTTTTTCAGATAGCCCCCATATAAGGGTACCGCCCAATTTCTGATAGCTCCCATATAAGGGTATCCCCAAATTTTATGTATTTTGAAGTTCTTAAGTGCGTTTTTCAACTGAAATTTGGTACTTTGAGTTCCTATTGGATTGCAAATCTCCCCACAAAAATTATAAATAAAGGTAAATTTTTTGGGATAGTCCCCATATAAGGTACCCCCAATTTTCAGTATTTTGGAGTTCTTGAACGCGTTTTTCAACCGAATTCGCTGAAATTTGGTACATTGGGTTCTTATTTGGTGCCAAATGTCTGAACTAAAAATGATAAACATCGGTCCACTTTTTCTGATAGCCCCCATATAAGGGTACCCCAATTTTCGGTATTTTGGGGTTCTTGAGCGCGTTTTTCAACCGAATTTGCTATAAATTGGTATTTTGTAGCCGTATATGGTAACAAATCTCCCTACCAAAAATTATTAATATTCACCCCATTTTAGAGGTAGTCCCCATATAACCCCATATTTTATATTAAAAAAGGTAACTAATTTGTTCCGTGTGTTGGGGTTATCCCCATATAGCTGCATTCCATCATAGAATGGAGAATATTCTGTAGACGAAATTTGCAGTTCATACCCTGTAGAGTATGGAATTCAAAAAATATGTTGTAATCATTTTTTATTGGAAGATATCGACATAAAAACTAGAACGTGAGGTTTGAGAATGAGAAAAATTAGGCCCAGGTCCTATATAAGACATCCTACATATTTAATATTTAGCGTGATGCACGGTATTGGGATTCAAAACTAAATTATTAGCTTGGAACTTGAGCTATATCGGCCCTTAATTAGGCATAACCTCTTATATAATGAAAACACCAAGTATTCGCTAATTCCTACACAAAGTTGTCAATATCGGTCCTGCATTTGTATGCCTCTTATATATTTGACCTCTTAATTGGAATATTTGCAGGATTTTAGACACCTGTTTCACCCCACTATGTCAACATTTGCGGGTTTTGAGATTTTAGGGAAAATCCCCATTGAAATTGCTGAAGTTTCTATTTGGTTTACAACAAGCGATTGGTAGAATTGTAGTTATATGTATGTTCCCTATATTTTCATTTCAAAAAATTTTCAGTATTTCTATGGTGGAGGGTATCCAAAGTTCGGCTCGGCCGAACTTAACGCTTTTTCACTTGTTTATATTAAAATGGTTATCTGATTTGTTCCGCGTTTTGAGTTTGGTTCTAAGTCTCTGATGTAATCATTTCACCTGCGGAGGATATCGAGATAAACAAGTAGAACGTAAGGGTAGATAATGAACTATAACACGCATTTAGACCTAGCCCCTGTATGGAGGTTCCAGAAGAAGTGCACCGATATTCCCCATTTTCAAATTTGAACTAAGATTGGAAGAAATAATAAGATGGACAAAGTTTGGATGAAATCTAAAATTTTTGAAACGGATATGGTCCAAAGAATCATGGGGTCTAGAAACAATATTTCGATGAGGCATATTTTCACCATGTCAAAGTGTATACACCCTCATTACCCATAAGGCTCAGGGTATAATTATTAAAAATTAAAAATTTCTAAAATTTGTATTATGGTTTACATAATCTCTTTTTAGAAATGTCGGTATAGGTAAACTTTTTGATATGTTCCCTATATTTACATTTCAAATACCTGTCAGTATATCTATGGTGGAGGGTAGTCAAAGTTCGGCCCGGCCAAACTTAACGCTTTTTCACTTGTTTTCTTTAAAACGTGTAAAAGCCAAACCACACCCTCCGTGTTGCAGTTGTTCTCATTTAGTAGTAGTACACCTCTGTTGGAGAAATCCTTTCATGTAAGAATTGCTCAAGTATTCTCAAGACATTCAGGGTTCCACTAAATGTTATAAGAAAGCTTTGATTAAATATGCTAATTTGCATGAATTTTGATGTATTTTCTTTTGTATTACTTGCTCTGATATTGTTGTATTGTTGTTGCATAGCTGATTTTCTTATTTATTTTTATACACCCTACTGTGAACTAATGTTAAAATTTAAATTAATTATTTATTCATGTTTTTTTAGGACTTTATATTAAGATAAATCTATTGTTAGGTTTAAGATTTTGGATCTACTACTTCATATATGTAGTGGTTTTTGGAACCGATCATGGCCTTGTGGCTAGGTTCCCATTCATGAAAAAATAAATTGAAAAAATTAAAATTAATGCTAAGATTCTCAGTAGTTGGTTCAGCTAACAGAATGCGAAACGAATATAGTGTATTAATCAGGAATCAATTAAAATATGAATAACTATTTGTTTAACCAATTGAATACATTCATTAATATTCTATTATTTATATTATCACTTGAGTAATCTTTCTGCACTCCACGGCTTGAAATAATGACGCATTTTCCTTTCAAAGTTATTACGTATAATTACACAGTATACTAATTCCAATTTCAGTCACAGATTTTAGTTTCCTTATTGTATATATTTTAAAACTTCTTTTTCCATACCATTGTTTAAGGCGGCAAATAATACTAACACTACATTTATAATTTTATTAAATCTGGACATTTTTCTGCTAAGTATTTGTAAATATGCAACTTTATTAAATTCCACATAAAAATGTATTTTGAAAAATATTTGTTTTTATAATTTCGTTGTAAAATTATTTTAAATGTAACACCAGTGACGAATCTTTTGATACTGAATCCCCCAAAGAAAAATTTTATATTTTATCTTCATGTTGTCTTGTAGCAAGAACATAACATGATAACATGTCGATTGATAAAATCAATATTTTTGGGATGGTATCCATCGCTAACAATTAAATATTTTCAAAATCGAATAACAAACTTTATTTACAAATAATAAACTGTATATATGTGGACATAACAATGCATTTATTTATAAAATGGTATTTCAACACGTCCCGCCTTTGAATTTACAGCCTCCCAACAGGTGCAATGAAACGTCATACCGTCCATTTGATCTATGTAAAGTTTTCCATCTAAATGATCCATTTCGTGTTGTGCAATTCGGGCATTCCAACCGTTCAGCTGTAATTCATTGGGGGTATCACGTTTACCAATACCCGTTAGCGTTACCGATTCGTAACGTTCAACCTCAGCTGAATATCCCCTTACGCTCATACAACCTTCAGGATGTTTGTGTTTTGTGTAGTTTGTTACTTTCAATGTAGGATTTATCATGACCTAAAAAGAAATAAAATATGTATTAGCAAAATTATAGAAATATTTAAAGAAACCCCGAAAAAGGTATCGAATAATTCGTTAATTTTCAGGAATAGAGCAAATTTGTTTTTTAATGTGGTTAGGTTCGGCCGTATCGAACATTTTATACCCTCCACCATAAGGTAGACAATTCAAATACCTGTATTACGGGCTATGCCACGGATAATGGGGTTACCGTTATATAAGAGCTATCCTCAAAAGTAGATCAATATTGATAATTTTTAGTAGTAAGACTTGACACCTAATGAGAATATTTGGGGGTACCGTTATACAGGGGCTACATCAAAACGTAGACCGATATATCCTATGTTCAAAACCAAACATCCTAGGAGTAATAACAATGCAAAATTCCGAAGCTCTATCTTAAATATCAAGATTACAACATACAGTCGGACATGCATAAATCGACATGAAAGAATATAGGTAATACAGCAAATTTGGTACAAAAATAAGAAAAAGTATACATCAACAGTATTTCAGAAGATATTCTATATACCTATCTATCTAAAAGACATTCTGATCAGATATTTTCTTTTAAGCCGGAATGTTCTGAATATAGGTCCTTAATTTAATTTGATCCAAATTTAATATCAATCTAAAAAGAGCCTACATTAAAGAACAAATATGAACAGCTTTTTATTTATTATTGCAACAAGTTCCCCACCCATACTTACCGTCAATGGAAGCGGTGACATTTTTCTCGCTTCATAGACTTCCTTTTTAAATTTATCCTTCAGACCTTCACGAAATTCCATGACAATAATTCTCAAAGATACACCAATTTGTGGTGCTGCAATACCCACACAATCATATTTCCGAAGAACTTTCACCATTTGGTCAATAATCAAATCGATTTCTTTACTATTAATAGCATCTGCGGGAACATCAACAGCTTTAGATCTAAGGACAGGATCTCCAACTTGGGTGAAATGTCCATATGGTGGTTGATTACCCGATTTCGGTGACCAAAATTCACGATATTTTTGGGCGAATGTTTTACATCTTCGTGTCGTTGTTGAGAAGAAACGTTTGGAGTGATTAATGAGCGCCACGGGCAACAGATTGACTTTTTGTAAAGCCATTGGGATATTGTATATTTGGAATATAATACGAGGAGTTTATGCAATATTTGTTTTGGTTCCAGGTCAACTGAAATCCACACACCGGTGATGGATGTAAACAAAACACAGCTGTTTATTACGATATGTGATGCCACATTAAAATAAATGATCAGCTGATTACACTGTACAACATGGTGTTTTATGGCATTTTTGAACGAGTTATAAACAGTGTTCGCAAAAAAACGGTACACTATCGTAGTGTACCGTACCAGGAACACAAACACTAAAAAAATTTTAGCGTTTGTGTTCCGGTACACAAACATTAAAAAATATTTTAGTGTTACTGTTCCGGAGCACAACGAAATTCGTAGTGTACCGCTGTCGGAGCACTAAAAATCGTAGTGTACCGCGGTCGGAGCACAAAAAATCGTAGTGTACCGCGGTCGGAACACTAAAAAATCGTAGCGTACCGCGGTCGGAACACTAAAAATCGTAGTGTTCCACTGGCCGGAACACTAAAAATCGTAGTGTTCCATTTGGCGGAACACTAAAAATCGTAGTGTTCCACTTGACGGAACACTTAAAATCGTAGTGTTCCATTTGTCGGAACACAAAAAGATGTATTTGTTATATTTTATTTTTTTATGAATAAAATTTATATTTTTATTGTTTTCCAATAGATTTAATAAATATAAAACTTTTTAAATTTTTTTATATATTTTATTAAAAATTAGTAATATTTTATTAGCATCAAACGCTTTAACATAATAAATATTTTATAACTAAAAAAGGTCGTCTAGTGAAAATTCAATCAGATGCCAACTCGCAACTGAAAATTCCATAATCGATTGTGCTGATCGGAAAAATGTATTGCATAAGACTACCTGTGCAAAAATCATAAAAAGGAAGAATATTCCAATGATGGATATGTATATGAAATTCGTTGTTGATATGGTACTTGTGTGTGGTTTTGTAATATTTATCCCAAAATCATAAAAATATGTTTTCATATCCGCGTAATTTGTACACTTCTTTTAATGAATAAACAGGTAATTATTATGTTGATTGTGTGACAATAACCAAATTTTGAATATTTTTGCTAAAATTTCCTAAAAGTATGAATCATAGATGGATGCAGGTATAATTGTTTTAAAAAATAATGTTTTCGTACTAACATTTTACAAGGAGATCTCCCAATATTATGGGAAAAATCATGTTCGCTGTGTGAACATTTTATCCAAAGCTGAATAATTTTGTCACAAAAACTGGCCAAAATACCTATTTCTGATAGACATTTTCAACCGCTGTCGGTACACTACGATTTTTTAGTGTACCGCAGCAGGTACGCTAAGATTTTCGTTGTGCTCCGGAACAGTAACGCTAAAAATATTTTTAGTGTTTGTGTACCGGTACAGTACGTTATTTTAGTGTACCTATCCACCTTGGTACGGTACAGAACACTATGGAACGGTACCATAATGTTTATTTTCGAACGCTGGTTATAAATGTACCATACAGAGCAAATATAGCTTTAGGTTAGCCCCCACATAACTGTGTCTTCCAAATTTCTGTAGATTAGTGAGTTCAAGCATATTTTCTTCCTACCCGAATTAAACAATATTGGTCCACTTTTTTGGATTACCTCCATAAAACTGTTCATCCGAATAACGGAAGAACAATTTGAACATGTTCTTCAACCGAATTAACTATAGTTTGATATTTTAGGATTTCATTGGGTATTAAGAATTTGCCTATCAAAAATGACCATGACAAAGCCTCCATATAAAAGTCCCGATCGATTTTAGATATTTTTAATGTCCACCTTATGGTGGAGAGTATTAAAAATTCGGCCGAAAGTTTTAATTTTATAAAAATCTCCTTTTTTCATTGACAAATCAAGTTAAATAAAGATAATTTATTTATAAAGGACGAAATATGTTGCCCAGAAGTATTTTATCCTTTGAAATACCGGAACTAGTTGACCAATGCAGCAAAAATCTTAATAAAATCTTCATAGTGGGCATATGTCTAAACATTGTCATATATATTGTAAGTTTTATGTAAGGTAGTCTCTGAAAATGCAGAATGCCTAATAATAACCTCATATATTGGAGATAGTGCCTAGGGCCAAGAAAATATCGAAAATTGTAAGAGCCTTTATTTGGTGCTACTTCAATTGGAAAATGAGGCTAAAACCTTAAAATTACATTTAAAATGGAACATTCCGATATATGTGGTTATACCAAAACTTGAACCGGAATATCCCATTGCAATTTATGTGAAAATGTTCAAAGCTCGATCTTGATTTCAACATACCGTCGAGCATGGCTAAATCGACTTAGAATTTTACTCTGACAACTGTACAGTTATATCGATGTTTTTCAAACGCATTGTCTCGTTTTTTTGGGGTCGCATTTTCAAATCCAACGTGAAAATGAAAATAAATACTGACAGGAAAATACAATTTCCACAATGATTAGCATCTTCTACAATAAAATACCACAATTTAAATTCAAATTTGAAGCTTTTGATTTCTGTAATTTTATTTATTGTATAATTAAAAAAAGAAAAAACAGAGCTTAGCTTTGGATAAAAATAATCAACATAAACAGAGAACAGCATATCTATACTACAGTTCTTTACTAGATATATTTTTATGCTAAAACGATCATAATTTAGATCACAAAATGTTTTCTTTATAATTTTAATTTTGTTTATTTTAATTATAATAAATAGTGCGTAGAGTTGAAGAATACTTAAATTAATTACCACTACATTTTAAGTCCATATAAATACTATAATATAGCATAGTTTTTTTTTCTTTAATTCAGTTTCCCATTTAAATTCATAAAATATTTGTGAGCAATTGGAAGGAGTTATTCTTTATTAGTATTTTTGTGTAGTCTTTATTAAAAAGAATAAAATAGTTCAGTTCCCAAATGTAATGACTCCTTGTGTTCAGTTCCCAACTATAATGACTCCTTTTGTATATATTTTGTTTGGGAAGAACAAACATTATTTATTTCCTTTGATCTCTTGGAAATTTATAATTTTTTTCATTGATGTAACAGGATATTTTGTTCAAGGAACATATTGCATCCTAAGAAAATATATGATTCTTAAGTGCGTTAAAAGATCGTTAATTATCATGGAATGATTGGAAAATGCAGCTTCTTTGCATCTTCACATATCCCATAATATATATTTATTCGAAAACAGTTAATGTTTTAGGATTCTATTTGACATTTAATCCTCAGATGAACTGCATTAATTACAAACAGCTTCATAAATTAGGAATGGTTTAAGGGTAGATTTCTTGGTCGACATACACAACATATCAATATCACGTTCTTTAATATATTAGAATTTAATTGGGAACTGAACCCCTATATTTGGTATAATTGGTATATAAAATTGGGACTTTTCTTTATGGGATATATGTAAAAATGTGAATATATATGACGTTTTTGAGATGAACATGCAACTTCCTTTAAAACATCACAAAAAAATGTTCACCTTTTTCTATGATTTAAATATTCACACATCCCACATTTAAAATAGATCCCAAATATATTTTATGTTGTTATTGTAAAAAGACTAATTAATTCCCAAATACATGTAATATATCTTCTCATTATTCTTTATGTGCTTAGTTTTTTATAAAATTTCGAAAATGGTTGAGATACATCACCGAATATGAAAAACATCGGTCCTCTTGTGCATTTAATAACCTGTAACATCAAACTGACTAGCTGGTAGATTATCATCATTATAGCATACAGGGACAATACATATGATGTACCCAAAGTATACTCATCAAATACCTCACTGCAATCGTCTGGCATTGTAACTGGGATATTCCAAATACGACCAATTAATTGTGGATGACAAATTGCTGTCAATGTCAAATATACTCCAAAGAATAGTGTCAGTATGCTCATAATCATTCCGGCATTGTAGTAACGCAAATTATACTGTCCCACACAACAATCCAGCCAATAGCTGTGATGACTCTGCATCATAATACAGGCATTGCAAACATGACAATGTATGGTACGGGCTGAGACATATTTACGACATACGTGACACATATTTGTCTGATGGGAATTCGCCCGATTCTTTTGAGATCTGATTGGTGAATCATTGTCAATCAACAATGCAGTGTGAGCGGCGGCTTCCTCTTCTTCCTCGGCTGCTGTTGCTTCGGTTATATCAGCTAGATCATCATCTGTCGAACGACTGGGAATATCATGGCATGCGGCAGCATGTTTTTTCGTTTGCCACATAAAATATACACTGGCACAGCCCATTACAACTAAGATGAAATTCTCCTCGGGTAGTAATTCCAATAGCGGTACAGCAAACTGCAACCCCGCAACCATATACACTACTGACCACCATAGCCACATGTAAAAGAATCGCGTCTTTACATTGTTGCGTTTGATATACTGATGGGCGTATCCCAAGAAGACAACAATTGAGCCCAACATTATATACGATGTCACTTCGTTAAGGGCGGCAAGACCCAAAACCAATGGGTATACAGCACCCGGTATTATGGCCTCCATGGAAATACGTTTGGCACCACCTCTCCAGGGTAAACGTAAACGATCTTGGAATGTTAAAAGCATATTACGCTTATTGGAAGCGTTTACTTTGCGACAGGTAATTAGGTCGGTAAAAACACTATCCAAATCCACACAGTTACAACAACAGCCAAGGATATGAAAACGTTGCTTGTCACGATCGATATATTCGCAACAGCAAAGCGATGAATCTGATTGAGATTCCTCTTCGCCGGCTTTTTGAGCCACAGCTATGTAATCGTAATTGGTCATTGTGTTGTGTCAACAAAGTTCCACGTTTTACAAGATGAAGGAGTGATAAAAATTATCCAATATATCCAAAATGCAGCATGTGAAAAATGTACATAATCAGGATTTAATCATCAAGAATTGTTCTTATCGAAAGAAAAAATCACAACTAGGAACAAAACAACTGAAAATGTAAATAAACAAATGAACCAATTAAACGAAAGCAAAATAAAATAATAAGATAAAATCTAACTATAAATAAAATTAACTATAAATAAAAATCCTTTACCGATTTGCAAAAATAACTATAAATACTTCGCTAACCACGGACTTGACGGATGTATCTGTGTATAACTAAACAAAAACAAATGTTCTCTACAACATCAACAGTTAGTTGACGACGTATTGTATTTTCGATTTTGAATTTTTAACCGCTGCCTTGAATACTACGTTACGTTGACTTATTAGAATACATATACAGTTTGTCAATTAAATGTTTACAGGGTACGTTAACACCGAGAATTCTAGAATTCTAGGGAAATCGTAATTTAATTGCAATATATAATATAAACTTGCTAGAAAAAGTATTCAATTGATGGGGAGTGTTATATTATAGTAGCCAAAACTTTAAGGCCTGGGCACAGGAGCCATCAATGTCATACATACTGGCAAGCTGTACACATATGAATACTGTACACGTCATGTGGCCCATATGAAATTTTGCATCTGTTAAAACAATTTGTCATATCATTTTAACATATGCAACCCATGGTATAATAATAGAAGGTAACAGCAAGTGTTGTTGTACAACAAACGATACAATAACCACATGGAAATTTTTTGTTGTAAGTAAATGTCAACGTCATTTGACAGAAAAATGTAAACAAACAAATTATCAACAAATTATATTTATTTTGAAAATGAAATATTTTCGAATCCTCGAAACAAAGTTTGAAAAACATGAATGAAAATCTATCAAATTTATATTTCTATCGCTTCCACATCTTTCGGATAATTGAGCCATTGCCATTTATATGTGAAACACATATGAAAATGCTGGGAATTGCGAGTTATTCCATGAAGAAAGATTTGCTTCCTCAAATTTTCCTGTTGGGTGATTTTTAAAAACATAATTTGTCAAATTCATATTGACACTTGTATTAAGTTGGAATCAAATCAGCTGGGATTTTCTGTCACCTTTTATAATTGTACCATGATGCAAGCCAAATAAAGGAGCTGTTTTGTTTGTTTGTCGATAGAAAATACGTTTCTGATAGAAAATAACTCGAAGAAATTAAGTTAAATTGATTATTGGTTTTATTTATTATCTGCCTATAAAGAGTTGGAGGAGATAAAAAATCGAAAATTATTATAAATAAATATAAAAAAGTTGAGAAATCCGATGATATTTGTTGTTTTTTTTTTAAATTCATCAAATAATATGAATTATAAGTATAAAAAGTTGTGAATATACCAAAAGTTTTGATACTTAAATTTAATAACAGTCTGAATTTTACATGATTTATCATACAAATTTAAATCATCGTGCGGTAGGGTTTATTATAAATCATGATACTTATCAGATGCAACACGGTTTTTGTACGCAAAAGTAGTTGTACTTTTGCGTACAATGTACCAAAATTGGCAAATGTTTTCGCATGTTGTTTGTTCTTATATTAAAGGGATGCAAATGTAACCAGTAATGGTGTTTTTACACGATATGTATTTTACATATGTGCTGTAACTTATTTCATCCATATGTAATTCCTTATGTGTGTCAAAATTAGCGGCATACACAAAACATTTATTTTTGTGTTCAAATCGGCATATGTATTTTACATATGACATAACCTATAAACAAAAAAATCACTTTTATTTTTTCTTAAATCAACATTTTTTATTATTAAACACCTACAAACGAAATAATAATTTGTAATTGTTGCCTTTTCATCCTTTTCTTTGACTTGCAATTGAAATATTTTCTTCCAACAATGTGTTTCATTGAAACAGCTGATTTCCTTATGTTTCACATACGAAAATAGAGCGCGTCCTATTCGGAAAAAATACATATGTAATTGCATATCGTTTTGACACATTGAAATTTCCGTATGTTTCACATGACGAGTTCGATTTCCATATGCAAAAAAGTGACAGCACATATGTAAAATACATATCGTGTAAAAACACCATAAAGAAAGTTCAAAAGTCGGGCGGGGCCATTTATATGATACCCTTAACCACTACAATATCCTGTAGATAGAACGGTCATAGAATCTTTGGAGGACCATTGAGATGAAATCGGGCAAAATTAAATGTGCTATCTAGATAAATATTTGAACCAATTGAAAACCCATTCTGAAATCAATAAAAAATTGCATGTCAAACGGATAGACTTTTTTTTTGTGTACCATTTATATGAAATCGAGTCAAATTGCGTATGGGAGCTATATATAAACACATGGACCTAATTGAGTTACCGTTGCATACACCATTTGTTTTTTGTAATCACTATATTCAATTTAATACCTTCTGTCAAATTTCGTGTAACCACCATTTACATAAAATCAAACGAAAAAATATATAAGACCTATATAAAAATCTGAGCTGATTTCAACAAACCTTATCTCGCATCATTTTTTCTCAATAGTATTCGCTATGCAAAATTTTACTCAATCAGACAAATATTGGGAGTTGGTTCATTATTTACATAAAATCGGACGAAACTATATATGGGAGATATATCTAAATCTGAACCGATTTTATAAAAACTTCGCAGACATCAGTCTGGACCTGATTCAATGCGCTGTGCAAAATTTTGTCCCAATAGGACCAATATTGGGACTTTGGTGCACCATTTACATAAAATCGGACGAAACTATAAATGGGAGCTATATCAAAATCTGAACCGATTTTCTCCAATTTCAATAGGGTTCGTCCTTGGGCCAAATAAGTGAACTGTGAAAAATTTCACATAAATCCGACCTGTACGGATCATAAATGCGACTTGTACTTTGTTAACAAAAATACATGGACGGACGGACAGACAGATGGACATGCGTAAATAGACTCAGAAAGTGATTCTATGCATATTCTCAAAAGGAACCATGGGTCTATCTCGATATAATATAAGATATAATATAATAGCAACCAGCTATCAAATCAAAATACATAGTCTGTGTATTGTTTTGAATGCCATGTCAAATAAATTCAAATACAATATAAATATATTCAAATTTAATTGAAACGAAAACGATTTACCTCGTTCGTCTGTTATGGATGAAACAAACATTTCATGGCAGACTCTACTGGATTTTGTGAAGAAATCATAACCTTTTATTAATTTTTCGCGTTTTTAGTTTGGTGCGTATGTTTTATTATATTTTACAGTAGATGCCACTACATAGTTGCTTTCTTGTTATTCAACTTAAGTTGTCCTACTTTTTACTATTGTCTAAACACAATTCAAGTTATATCCATCATTTCACTATGAATGCCTCCTAAATATGTTTACTTACCGCTATTTTCAAAGCCTGTTATCATACAACACTGTTATCATGGACAACGTAAACAAACCCCCAAAAAATAGACAACATAGAAAAAGAGAATACAAAACAAAATAAGGGAGAAAACAAGTGGCGAAATAAAAACACCCAACAACCATCTGTTTTGTGTGATGGCAGTTTCTACCCTTATCTGTGTTGCTGTTTGCCCTGCGTGTTAACGGCTGCGAGTGGCGAGTTGAAGTTACATTTCATAAATATTGACAACCAACACCATTATTGGGCGCCACCACCATCGTCGTCACCAACAACACTTAACAGTAAAGCTGTCTGTCATAGACTCCAAAACAAAAAAATAAAGGATATTGATTTTCCAACGAGTACGACTACAACGACGAAGTATACAAACGAATGGCTCTTTAGAAATCATCAAATCAAAGTTGAATCATCCGTTTTCGCTCGCGCAAAAACCAGCCTGGAGACAAAATAAAAAAAGAAAAATGCAAACTCTATAGAAAATAAATGCTAAAAAAATAGTAATTTGAAAAAATAAACACAAAATCAAGCTTGTAAAGTTGCAATGGAATGAAATTCCAAGAAAATATTGAAAATTGTTAATAGAAAAAAAAAAAAACATAAAGAAAGAATGATAAAACTCTAATGAAATTCATATCCTTTTAGAAGTCCTGAACGCGAACATTGAGGAACAAATTAAAGAGAACAGTTCTAAAAAGTGATAAAGTGTAAAGTTAATAATTTATTGTGAAAATATTAAAAAATACAATATTGTGAAAAAAAATTGACCAGCAAAATATTATACATCCTTAGTAACCATACCTTCCTTGTCCACAACATATCCTCACATACATACACACACAACTACATTCCCTGATAATTTTCGAATACTGGTGAAACCTTTTTGTGTTGAATAAAAAACGAAATACAAATTTCCATCAACAAAATGGCTTTAGATTTTGTGGCGACCTACAAAGTTTTAGTTTTGGGCGATTCCAATGTTGGCAAGACATGCATTGTCCACAGATACTGCGATGAAAAGTATTACGACACATACATCTCTACAATTGGTAAGTGACGTTGATGTGATTCGTTTGTTAGTTTATGTCGTCTGTCGTCTTTCTTTACATAAGAGAATCATTAACTTTGCTTCAACGCCTTCCATCTATGACATAAATAAATAATTAATTACTTCATCTTCTTCTTGTTGCTGCTGCTTTAGCTACAGAGGGGTCATTTTATGATGCATCCATTCTCTTTCGTTGTGTACTTAGCCTTAATAAATCCCAACATTAAGGCTAAGTTTCTCTCTTTAAGGACATCAAAGATGTTTGTGATTGTAATGAAATAGCATTTAATTAATGTTCAATATCTGTTCTCCACTCATTTTTAGAGGGAGATTTATTCAAACATTTAAGTATCTCATTAAGGTCGATAACAAATGAGTATACATTCGAATGATATTTATGAGTTTGTTTTTAGGTAGTAAATACAAGAAACAAAAATAAGTAAAAATGTCGTGAATTTTTTATACTCTCGGGTAGGATTTTTTATACTCTCCACCATGAGTTGGGTAAAGAAAGATTTTGTTTAGAAAAGGAAACGCTAAATTATAGTCTGATGTTGCAACATTTGGCTAGGACCTTCAAAATAACGAAACATGAACCTATATTGAAAATTTTCTGCGAAGGATTCGGAGTAACGAATTACAGGCACTTCGATTGAAAATACGTCTAAGGCAATCGAAAAAAATCATTGTCTAATCTGGAAGGTATGTAATTGTTTTCAGGTCAACTGAAAACATTCGGTCTACCAATGTTGCAGATACCATTATTTTAGAGCGATTTGTCCTTTTTTTCATATTCGACGATCTTTATTCCATTCAATAGTGATAAAATAATTTGGACGTACTACGAAATAGGTTTCAGCTTCAGCGATGTCAAGTATGTCAATATTTTGGATCTGGGAACAGCAAACAATCGTTGGGCGCCATATCTGGTTAATAAAGTGAATTCTGAAGCAATTAATTGATTTGAGGAACATATTCAACACTAGGTTTTTGACGTTTTTTCAAACATGATTTCCGGTAGCAAGATGATTATATACAAATCTTTATAAATATTTTTCTTGAACGTATAATTTTCGATTTGGATGAACAACTTAAGTTTTTATTCAGTTTGTAAGAAAGCTGACAATCGTTATGATTGCCAATTTTAGATCTATAGACAAATTGTGAAAATCAAATAAAATGCATCCATAATGGCGTTTCAAATTGAAAGAAAAATGTAAATATTTCCTTTAGTATTTAAGATGAAAATAGCATGAAATCGTTAGTTTATGTATTACTGAATAATGGGATGGTTCATTTATATGGACCAACCCAGAAACTTGAGTGAATATATACATTTTTTGGTAAGAATAATAACCCATAATACCAAATTACAACCAACTTTGTTGGAAAACGTGACAAAATAGCAAAAATACCAAGATTTGGAGATACCGTAATATGGGGGCTACAATAAAAAGTGTATCTTAATGGATACATTTTGGTAAGATTTGGTATGTAAAGATAACCCAAAATATTTGGTTGAATGTGAGACTAATAACTTTCAATTTTATTATCAGTATGCTACTTTTAATGCAATTTCTATTTTATCGACAATCACTTTTAAATTTATGAACTGTCGTAAAATAGTGGACAGAGAAGATATCAAGTCGTTGATGCCCATAGGGCATCGGTTGTGCATTCGAGCATCAATTTAATCAAATTGGGCGCGTCTTTTATATGGAGGTAATGTAAAAACATAGACCTACACTGGTGGCCAAAACTAAAGCAACTGAAATTGCAAATAAAATATGGAAAATTAATTTTACCCAATTTTTGCCTGGTCAAAACTAAACAATTTTTATTTATTTTTCTTATAAATATTTAATTTTGCTATCGATAGCATAACCATTATTTTTGATTATGGCAGCGCACCTACGAGGCAATGAATCTGTAAGAAGAGGTTATGTCTTTTTGTTTCTGACTTCAAAGATTTTTCTACAGGGTGAAGTTCTGATAATTGTGCTGGCTATTATAAAACCCTGATTTTTAAATCCCATAAGATTTTTAATGATTTTAATTACTTTACATGTTTCAATGTATGTTTGATGTTATTATCAAGCTGAGACACCCAAACAAGCGGTATATATTCTTAAGCGAAGGGAGCCATTGCGTTTTCAAAACACATTTTTATATACAATCCGGTCAATTACTTTATAAATCTCGTAAATATTAATGATTTTAATTACTTTACATGTTTCAATGTATGTTTGATGTTATTATCAAGCTGAGACACCCAAACAAGCGGTATATATTCTTAAGCGAAGGGAGCCATTGCGTTTTCAAAACACATTTTTATATACAATCCGGTCAATTACTTTATAAATCTCGTAAATATATCGAACATTATAAAAACAAAAACAGGCCAGTGCCATTATTGCCACGCCTCCATGCTTTCCTGTACCCTTGCAATACTGAGGCCTGAGTCTTTCGTTTGTAGTCTTCTCATCGCAAATTTTTTGACGTCTGAGCCTTAAATGTGTAACTCTTATTCATTAAATAACATAATATTTCTCCACTGTGTCGGATTCCAGTTGATATGAGTTTTTTTCGAAAGCCAATCTGGCTTTCAGATTCTTTTCTTTATATGCCTCTAACCACAGCTCGTTTACGCTCTGTTTCAGAGGTTATGTCAAACGATAACCCTCTCACAAACTTCGTTGAACTCCTAAATGGGTGTTTTTATTTCTCTGACAATTTGTTGCTTAGTACGAAGTGATGTTTTTTTGCAGCCTTCCTCCGTATTTAAATGTCACTACTGATATAGTTTCATAAAACCAACTTAAGGGTCCCATACACTATAAATCATGCCGTACAGCATTTATCATAGTGTGTGTAATTTTTTGAAATTTTATTTATGTATGTATGACAACCACATTGCATGAAGAATATTAAAATAGTTTTGATTTTGAAAATTAAACCCTTTCAATCTAGTGAATTTTATTCATCAAAGTTGATAGTAAATAATTTTGAGTATACATATATTTAAATTGTGATGAAATAAAAAATAACTGAATTTACGACTCAAAATTTGATTTTTGGATAAAAATCTTTTTTTTTTTTTGGAATAATGATTGAAGAGTTTGTCAAACACTAGTCAATCACACACATATACAAAGGGGTTCATCGGAATGACGGCATGATGTATAGTGTGTGGGGCCCTTTATAATTCGAAAAATCGTGAATTTATTAATGGAATATTTCTCCAAAATAATTTTTTGTTATAAATAATTTGTCATTTTTTGACACTAAGTCAAACTCGAAAACAAACACATGTTATTGCAATAACATTCAATTAACCCTTTCAGTGTCAAATAAAATTTTTGTCGGAATAAAAATCTAAAATTTTGTACTTAAAATCATAAAAAGGCATACAGTTTAGAAAAAAGGCAATTTTAATTTCAACCCTCGGACAGATTCGTCTGTTTTTCAGCAAAAACAAAAACATCAATGTTAACGGTACATAGGATAACAGAAAAATCGCAAAGAAAGAGAGCATTTTTAAATGTCGAATATATTCGACAAAAACACTGAAAGGGTTAAGAACACGGTTGAAACACTTCTTGGGGAGCATCTTCTAGCAATATTTCTAAATAATATTCGCCAATATGATCCTTTCAACCGCTCAGTTGTGGTGGATTTACGAAATCCTGAAAATAATAATTGTTTACATACACACACTCACGCCTTTCTACGAAAAGAAAAAAATTGTTATAACGAACTTTTAATTAAAAAAATAAGATTTTAACCAAATTTTTTATTGGAATTTGATATTTATAGTTTTCAGTCTTATTCAGGATATTCTCTAAGGAGAGATCTCGCTTGTGAAACATTTTTCGCTTTAACAATCTCGCCTTTAAGTGGCACAAGGTCAGCCGTTAAAGTAGAAAAGGACCTATCGGAGCCCTTCAATACCGAACGAGGATTTAGACAAGGTGACAGTTTGTCGTGTGATCTTTTTAACATCCTACTGGAAAAGGTCATACGAGACGCAAAGGTGAACAGAAATGGCACTCTGTACACCAAACAACATCAGTTACTCGCCTACGCCGATGACATCGATATAATGGGTCGAACATTGCGAGCGGTAACAGCCACCTTTGAACAAATTGAAAAGGAGTCTGCCAAAGTGGGTCTGGCAGTAAACGGCGAGAAGACCAAGCTGATAGTATCAACGCGCAAGACGTCCAGTAGACTCGGACCAACTGTGGAACTTGAGAACTACAGCTTCGAGGTAGTTAAAGACTTTATATACCTTGGTACCGCCATAAATAAAACGAATAATATCAGTTTTGAAATTCGGAGAAGGATTGTGATGGCCAACAGATGCTACTATGGTCTAAGTAAGCAGTTTAGAAACAAGGCCACCTCTCGCCAGACCAAACTCACACTTTACAGGACGCTGATACTACCCGTGCTATTATATGGATCAGAAGCATGCGTACTTGCGCATGCAGATGAGGCAGCGCTTGGGGTGTTTGAGAGAAAAATTCTCCGAAAGATCTACGGGCCGATCTGCGTCGACGGTGAATATCGGCGTCGAATGAACCACGAGCTCTACAATTTATACGCGGACATCGACATAGTCAGTCGTATTGAGCTGCAGCGACTACGGTGGCTAGGCCATGTTGTGCGGATGAATGAAGATGCCCCAGCTCAAAAGGCATATAAAAATGAGCCTACTGATGGTTCCCGTAGAAGGGGAAGGCCACGAATTAGATGGAAAGACCAAGTAGAAAACAACATCTTGGAACGTGGTCTTCCAAATTGGTGGACTTGCGCACAAGACCGACGCGCTTGGAAAACTTTTTTAAGCTCGGCTTATGGAACAACCGTTCTGTAACAAGCCAGCTAACAAACAACAACAATCTCGCCTTGTTCCGAATAAAATGTCTTTATTTCGCCTCCAATTTACATAAAACTGTCTTAACAATTCCTTATTGCCTTATTGCCGTGGTAATATGTGTTTGACCATGTATAGTAGATATTTTTCAAAAAAATATTTAATACATAAATTTTTGTAGTCAGTTCCCTTTAAATTTATTAGAGAAAATTTTCACACAAAATGTCTCCCACTCCCTGTAATCCAGAATAACTAAGGGGAAAGTGAAAATGCGAAAAATATCTTAAAGGGAGAGCGAAAAAATTCACGGTGAATTGATGTCCAGAATAAGGCTGATAGTATAAATACGCTTTATATTACATTGGAGGCTGGAAAGAAAAATGGAATATTATGACTTACTTTTAAGACCGTGTTTGTTTTACTTTAAATATTATATGTAGATATTAATGATATTACCAATTAATTAATTACTGTATATTTATTTGCTTATAGGTATCGATTTCAAACAAAAACTCATTAATCTCGATGGCGTACCGATAAAATTACAAATTTGGGATACTGCCGGTCAAGAACGCTTTCGTACTTTAACAACCGCCTATTACAGAGGAGCCATGGGAATTCTGTTAATGTATGACGTGACGAATTTGGAAAGTTATAATAATTTATCATATTGGTTAAGAAATATTCAAGAGGTAAATGAATTATTAATATTAATTCATAAAAAAAAAATTAATCAATTAATGTTACATTTTAGAATGCATCACCGGACGTGGTAAAAGTTTTAGCGGGAAACAAATGTGAATGCTCAGCCACACAAAGAATGGTGGACAAGGAACGAGGTGAAAAGGTACGATTGGATTTGTTATAGAAATTTAATTTCGGTTGGAATGTTTTTATGTTTAATAATTAATAAATCGAATAAAAACCAAACAGAGAAACATAATTGCAAATTATAACAAATATTCTGAAATAGACGTAACGTAACGTAATTTTTGTAAATTTCTATCTTTCAGATCGCTGAAAATTTTGATATGCCATTCTTTGAGGTATCCTGTAAAAATAATATTAACATTGAAGAAGCATTCCTATCACTAGCAAGAAAAATACGAGAGCAAAGAGAGAGAAGGGTAACATAAACACAAATTAAAAAAAGAAATAATCTGATATATATTTTCTGATATTTTTACAGGGCGAAAACTTCGATAACGATGATAAACCACAAGATAAGAAATCACCTGGCTCAAATGGTTTAGGCACATTTAGTTTAGCCAGCCTATCGGAGGCTAATCGCTGTGCTTGTTAAACTCACACTCATTCCAAATTCAAACAAACAAACATGATAATTATTTTAAATTAAACATTTTTAAAAACAAATTATTAAATTAATAAAAACTAAACATTAATTCTTGTAAACACAAACAAATTGCTGCAAATACTATGCAACAAGAAAAAAAGAACACAAACAAAATTTTGTCCAATATTAAAACACAAACACACAAAAATATATATTAATAAAAATTCGAAAATTAGCAAAAACATTTTATCAAACCAAAACAAATGCCAAAGTGATGAATTCTATATACATACATATATAAAACAAGAACAACAAGAAAGCGCTGCTTCAATTGTTAATAACAACCAAAATACCACAAATGATTCGCAATAGTAATATGTTTCAAAATTTAGATTTAGATTATATTTTAATTTTTTTATATATAGTTGACAGACGGTTTTCATAAACAAAAGTCAAATGATGCGTTCCAATTCACTGAAACTCAACCGCGAATAGAATTTTAACTTATGTACGTATCAAGTACACTATGATTTTGCAAGCCTGGTGCACACAGAAGTAATTTACATTAATTGTGTGTCTAAGATATACAAAATAGAAAATAGTGTATCATCTGTGCCCTTTAATGTTCTGCTGTGAATGAAAATATGGGAGTATGTTCCGAATTCCTTAAAAACTTCTATTCGATTTTTTAGCTTATGTTTTGGTAATAGAAAATAGGTTTTTGTTTTAATATGGTTGTGCGGCCTATTCTATAAATGTTAATCTAAAAAACAAATCTGTCCAAAATCACGTTCTTTTGGTTGCGCCAAGAAGTGGAACTTTGAATTAAGCACATCTAAAATATGCTAATATTTGAACTAAACAATTTTTACTGACTTTAAATTTTATATAAAAATCGTATTACAAAATATGATTCCGTTGAAATCCGCGTGGCAATTTTTTTATACAGATCTATTATTTTCTTGAGAGAAATTATTTCATAAACATAATTACAGTCAAGCATCATTTATAATATGCGGGTATGTTCTGGACAACACATACAGTGTGTATTTTACACTTCCCACATTCACTTCCACTCAGAAGTTACCTCATGTTCTGCTTCTCACTTGAATTGAAATTTTCGAAAAAAAAAAAAAAAACAAAAGACAACATGGTACTTTGCAGAAATAGTCGGATATGTTCTGGAACATACGGAGAGTTTTTTTACACTTCACACATACACTTCCGCTCAGAAGTTACCTTTTGTTCTGTTTCTCAAGTAAATTGAAATTATCGAACTTCTGCACAACAAAAATAAACGTCAACATGGTACTTTGCACAGATAGTGTTGCCATACAATACAAATTGTATTCGTTTTTATACCCTTCACGACACTTTGCATATGTTTGTAACAGGCAAAAGTAAACGGGATAGACACATGTTTCCTTTGGAGAACATGCATAGAATCACTTTCTGAGTCGATTTATGCATGTCCGTCCGTCTGTCCATGTTAAATTGTAAATAAAGCACAGGTCGCATTAATGATCAGATAGAATTTGGCACAAGTCACTTATTTGGTCTAAGGACGAACCGATAGTGCACCAAACTCCTCATATTTATCCGATTGAGACACAATTTTGCACAGCGTACTGAATTATGTCCAGACTGGTGTATGCGAAGTTTTGTTAAAATCGGTTTAGATTTAGATATAACTCCGATATATAGTTTCGTCCGATTTTATGTAAACAGTGCTCAAACCATGGTATTATTATTACAAGGTACAAGGGGTACAGCTACCAAATGCAGAAATCTAAAACCCTAATTTTTATACCTACCCTCCATTCTATGGTGGATATACAACTATACGCCAAACAACTATGTTGTCAGGGTGCCGCTTCTAGACCCACCTTTAAGTATACCGATCGGCATATATCGACTAGCTGAGTCGATGTAGACATGTGTGTCCGTCTATCCGTCTGCCTATGAAGACCCCTATTGTTTTTGGTAAAGATCGGTTAATATTTAGTGGATGATAATGAATCAAAAACGTTATTTTTGTGTGATTTTCTGGTCGCTCATGCGGCCGCAATTATGGCCCGAACATGGGGAAGAGGATCGGGACAAAGACTAAGTATGTCTGTTTTGATAACGATAGGTCAATATTTAGCGGGTCAAATGGATCTTGACTTTTGTGTGTACAATTACAAAATTTGTATTCTATAGCGCACAGATTTATGCCTGAAGGACATAGACCCGAGAAGTTGATAGGATATCCAAGATGAGTGGTTGACCTATAAATTGATACCAATAATGTTGTCGTATGTAATGGGATGTGGGAGTTACCCTTAAATATTTACAGGTGCTTACGTATTCATATATACGCGCTATATTTCTAAAGCGCGTATCGCTTTGAAATTTTCCGTGAAGATCCAGGTATGGTCAAGGACAACACCTATAATTTTCGATGATGATCAGATAATAATATTGGGATGAAGTAGACCGAAAACTTAATTTTTTTGTGTTTTTTTTCGAGTCGATCTATAGGCCACAATTGACAGCCGAACATCCCAACCCACGGTGAAGGGAATCTGAACAAGTAATTAGAAGGGCTGTACTGAATATAAGTAATATTTGTTGACCTCTAGTTGTTGTTGTAGCAGCCCTATTGCTATTACACAATGGGGGTCCACGACAGAGGGGTCTACGATCCGAAACGACCCGAGTCTTACTCGGCCAACGTCTGTCACCTCAGCCCCCATCTTGTCCATTCTAAGAATAGAGAAAGACAGAAAGTTCGATTTTTGTGACCACTAGTCGGTCAAGAGGCTGCAAATATCGCGAAATATTGTCTATGCTCAGAATAGAGAATCACAGAAAGTTCGATTTTCGTGCAAGATGTGTAGGGAATCATATGATCGGCTCCGTCCGACTTACTGATCCGCTCACTGGTTTTCTTTTTCTGTTTGTAACTTATCGAAATAGTCATATCTACACTATTCCAACCATGTCCGTCCTTCTGTTGTAATCATGCTATCTTTTGAAGGAATTGAGATAGGGTACTGAAATTTTGTAAGCTGGCAGCTTAAATTCAAGATAATGGTCCCCATTTTCAACCGAACTCGTTGTAATTTGGCAGTTTGGGTTCTTATTGGGCACCAAATCCCCCAAACATTTTCAGTTTTGATCCACATTTTCGGGTAAAAGGTAAGGTATAAAAGTAAACCTAAAATTTCGGTATATTGGGGACTTTGGGCCCGTGTTTCAACTGAAATCGATTCCATATTAAAAATATCAGTCCACTTTTCCATCAAATTTCGGATATTTGAATATATTGGACAAGTTTTTTTCTGTTAAATTGCCTGTATTTTGGAATGTTGGTTTTGTAATTGGGTGCCAAATCTTCCCGCAAAAATTTTTGAATATATGGCACCTAAATTTTCGATATTTTTGGGGGGTTTTAAGCACGTTTTCCAATCGAATTCTATTTGGTGTTTTGGATTCCTATTGCTGTATCGATACAAATTTTTCACCGGATGTCGTTCGTTTACCTTTTGCAATTTTCTCTCTTTTTCGTTTTTACACTCAGTAAAATAGTATACCTATTATTTAAAATCTTCTCCTAATTGCTACTGCAGCTAGGATTTTACACCAAGTTTTGGTTAGGTTATCATCAGGTGATAAATTACTACAAAAAATCAACAACATTGGTGCACGAGTATATGTTGGGTTATAATTGATTGGCTGACTGTCAGTTCACCAGTGTCGATCCTAATTGGCTGGGTCTACTATCTTAAATTTCCAGATTTGTCTAAATCTAAATAATATATATATTTATATTTTAATATTTTGCAAACCGCTGAACTTTCATATTTCAATCTCAAATTAATATGTAATCATTCAAAAGTCTAAATCAATCTATGATTTATTTTATCACTCTCATCAGGATCTGCTAATTAACAATATATTTATTTAAAATATAAACCAAAAAAATGCTCAGCAGTTACTGCACAGCACCGCATACAAATTTTTCTGTAGATAAGAAATTACATTTAGATACGAGAAAAAAACTAAAAACAAATAGTAAAATAAGCAAAAACCAAACAAAAAGTTTTCAATGTCATCAACAGCCTTTAATGCAGCAGTAGTCCAATAAAACAGAGCTTGAATTAATTATTTTATGAAAAAAAGAACTATAAGAAAAAAACAAAAAAAATTATTAACAAAAACTTCCATTTTAATAATGATCTATATAACCTTTTTGATTATTCCACATATACCTACATACATATATATATATTTCCTATAACCAACTACATGTCATAAAATTGAAAATAGCAAATCAACAATCAATCTATACATTATATATTTCATATACTATATACATACATATATGTGCAAAACCTCATATAGAAATCATACGCAATCGAACATGATTTTGGAGAAACGTTTGGAATCGTTAACGGGTTTCATATCGGAGATATTTTCTAGAAAATTTCTATTGAAGGACTTCTACGTACAGATATCGATTACAATATCTAGATGGCGTTGTATCTATCGAGTGTCTATATAAGTTACCCCGACAATAAAAACGGCACATGCATGATGTCAACATTTTCCTTATAATATTCCATATGGTTGGCAACACTGCACATCGAATCCAAGTAGAAATTACCCACTTTGACAGTTAATCGAGACATCATCTGAGCTAAATGGACTACCTATTTATTGTGCCATGGGCACATGCTTGTCGGAGACTTTTGCCAGGCAGGAGGATTATAGTATGTATTTAGCAAAGCCATTAAAGAATAATACAAATTACATTTAGAATTATTAAAAAAAACTTTTCAACTATAGAATATTTACAGAATGTCTTCTATCTATAGGGTACTGTATGAAAGTGCCAACTTATATATTTTCTCCATAAGATCTCTGACTGATGTTATCTGAAAAGAATAGTATATTGGACTACATAAAGCATATGCATATACTCTAAAAAATAGATATAGAAAAGATAATTTAACTATAGAAGACCTAATATATTAAGGTACGTTTAGACCATAACTTTCATTGTAATAATTTGCATTATCTTGATTTAATTCCTAATTAAATTAAATCCTATCATTATCGATTTGCTAGAAATCCTTCGCGTAATGGAGATAATTTCAAATACAACGCTGTTTTCCTACCAAAAAATCAGAAATGTGTATGTATACGTAAGCAAATATCAGCTGAATGACTTTATATTATTTTAATACTAGTCTAAACAGCAATGATTAAATACCTCCATTTTGATGGCTTTCTAATAGAATCTGTATAAAACGACAATTTTGAAGTATATAATAATAAGGTGATCATGGCACAATAAATATGCTGTCAAAGTACGCAGCATGGCACAATGAATAGGTAGTCCATTTAGAGCAGCTGATGTCTTGATTAACTGTCAAAGTGCGTATTTCTACTTGAATTCGATGTGCAATGTTGCCAACCATGAAATATTATAAGAAAAATTTGGACAGATCGAGACAAAAACAATTTTTTTTTGTTTTGATACATCACCTTATTATTATCGACTTGAATTCGATTACTAGATACATTACCTTATTATTGCATCATGAAGGTGATGTATCAAAACAAAAACCTTTATTTTTGCCTCGAACATGATGTAATAATAAGGTGATGTATCAAAACAATAACCTTTATTTTTGTCTCGACCATCATGGCATTTTCCCGACCATGGCACAATAAATAGGTAGTCCATTTAGAGCAGCTGATGTCTCGATTAACTGTCAAGTGGGTCATTTCTACTTGACTTCGACGTGCAATGTTGCCAACCATGTGAAATATTAACAGAAGATCGAGACAAAAACAAAGGTTTTTGTTTTGCTACATCACCTTATTATTGCATCATGTTCCCGACCATCAGTCAATTTTTTTAGTAGTATTTAACATGGTTGGCAACATTGTACATCGAATTCAACATGATGAAATAATAATAAGGTGATATATCACAACAAAAACCTTTGTTTTTTTCTCGACCATCTGTCAAATATTTCCTTATAATATTTCACATGGTTGGCAACATTGCACATCAAATTCAATTAGATACTACACACGTTGACAATTAATCAATTCGTCAGCTGTGCTAAATGGACTTCCTATTTATTGTGCCATGGGGTACAATAATACAACAAGGCAGATTTAAGAAGGTAGCCGAATCAGCAATGTAATAAAACAAACAACTGTTTTAGTACATTGATATGGCAAAAAACATTTTGCAAAAATAAACCGATTAATTAATACCAACAGCTGTGCGATACATCTGCCTTGATAATACTCAAAATACAACTGTATTGTCGATTTTGAAAAGTTTTTGGGACTACTTTAAATAATTTAGTTTTTGAAATTGATATTTACTCTTGTCTACCATAAATTATTATTACATGGCTTATAAAGCCATAGGTTCAATCATTTTTATTACGTATTTCTCTCCTCCCCCTCAAACATGTTCGATTGTAAACTTTTCCGTTCAACAGATACAAACCCAACGAATAGTAGAACAAAATTTTCCATAACACAATACAATACTACTATATATTTTTTAATGTGAACCACAATTTTTTCTTTACTATTAATCTGCTTTATTAGTCTCAACTTTCTAGTCAATATATACATAAAACAACATTACCTATGTAAATAAATTAAAATTTAATTTTTTAAATAATTATTCATTTTATATTGTCAATTAATTTTATTTTTAATTAAACAAAATTTTTAATACAATCTGAATAAAAAAACAAACAAATAAAAAACATACATATATAAAAAATATTTAAAACAAAATATACATACAAAAATATATATTATTGAAATCTTTATAAACAAAGAAATGCATCTATAATTTCCGAAACACATACATACATTTTAATATATAAGAAAGTGACATTTTTATTAACTCTATAAAACAACAAAAACAAATGTATAACAAATAAATAACAAAAACAACAACAAACATATAATAAAAAATAAAATTAAGAAATATAGGTTCGCCTAAATATTACTATAGAGAGAATTGTTTTGGAAATTTATTGGTAACGGTGGGATTGTGAATTATTATAAGGGAAAATTAATTTTTCAAATAGGTTCTTTTTCTACGTTAAATAGTATTAAACGAGATCCTAAACACGACTATCTTCATAGAGTGATGGTGGAACACACAATTTAAGTGTTCGAATATTCAGATACTAAATTATTGAAACTAAAAGTAATAAAGGAATTACAAAAGTCTGCCGGGAGGTTAGAGGTTAGTGGCTTTGGCTGTTGGTAGATAGATAGATATTGTGTGTCATGTCCTCAATTCGAACCAATTCTAGAATTAAGGCAGCTGCAAAATTTGATATCTATTGCGCCTAAAACTGTGTCGAGCAGAACTAAATCGAGAGTAAGAGTGTGAGAGCGTAACTGAGAGATCATCATCAAAAATGACTGACATAAAAACCGTAAAGACTCGACCATGCTGCAATAATAAGGTGATGTATCAAAACAACAATGTGTGTTTTTGTCTCGACCATCTGTCATATTTTTCCTTATAATATTTCACTTGGTTGGCAACATTGCACATTGCATTCAAGTGCAAATTACGCACTTTGACAGTTGATCGAGAAATTAGCTGTGCTAAATGGACTACCTATTTTTTGTACCATGGACTCCATTATGATGCAATAATAAGGTGATGCGCTAAATGGACTACCTATATATATGTATATATAGTGTCTTGTACCTACTTCTAATGATATCGTCGACGACATCTAGAATGTAGTCGGAATTCAAACTATGTCTCAGAATATGATCTTATTCATTTCAACTTTATGAAATCTATTGAAATTAGAGAATGTCGGTTCATCTATATCTATATAAATCTATATCCCATATATATTGTTGTCCGATTTTAAGTAAATAGTCCATCAAAGACCCAAAATATTGCCGATTGCCACCAAATTTTGGAAAACGTACTAATTGCAGTATAGCCAGGCGTGTATCAAGTTTTGTTGAAATCGGCTCAGATTTATATATAGCTCTCATATATACAGGTTGAGATTAAAAAACCTGCTATCAGCTTCAGACTGCTGCCGTTTCTAACCCACTCGTCCGACAGCTGTTAAAATTATTCCAGCGACAGCTCATTATATTATTTACAAGCGTACAAAAGCAATTTGGTGAGAATTTTCCAGAAAAAAGTTATCGAAACCCGCGTCTCAGTGACCGAAAAATGGCTCGTGAGCTGAACATATTGCAATATTCCATTCGGCAAATATTGAAAAATGAGCTCGGGATAAAGCCACTGAAATTCCAAAAAGAGCAAGAACTTACACCGCAACAGAACGAAAATAGACTAAAAATATCTAAAGAGTTGCTTCGCTTGGCCGAAAGTGGTGAATTGCCGAATTTGGTTTTCTCCGATGAGAAAACATTCGTCGTCCAGCAGTTTGTAAACAAACAAAATGATCGTGTTTACTTGCCAAAGAGGTCAGCTGAAAATGTGCACCTTCTGTTGGCCACCAGAACTCAAGCGTAGGCCATGGTGATGGTGTGGGCAGCAATGGTCACTCTCCGCTCGTATTAATCGACCGTGGCATCGGAATAAATGCCGAATATTATCGCGAAAATATTAAAGCCTTGGGTACGCAAACATTTTGGCCGCAGACCTTGGACATTCCAACAGGACTCAGCACCATCGCACTTAGACTATTGTGTCTGGAGTATTTTGGAAAGCAAGGTTGGCACTAAAAAATACCAAAGTGTCGATCACCTCAAGCAAGCGCTTCGCCGAGAATGGGCCAAAATACCACAGAGTAACATTGGGGCAGCGTGTGACGGTTTCATTGACCGTTTGAAGGCCATAATTCGTGTCAAAGGTGACCAATTCGAACAATTTTAAACTTTTTCTAAAATTTGATGCTATTTCCGACATTTTTTGCGTTCATTCAATAAAATTAAAAAAAAAATAATAATAAAAATTATGGCGTATGACTGTTGTTGTTTTTTATCTTACCCTGTATTTTCGTCCAATTTTTGGTTAAAGATGCACAAAAACCTCACACGTTTTCCGATTGACATGAAATTTTGCACAACGTACTAAAACTAACGTGTCTTAAGTTTTATTGAATCGGTTCTAAAACTAAACCGATTCAATAGCTCCCATATATATTTTCGTCCGATTTTAAGTTAATGGTGCAAAAAAGAGTTAAAGTTTGGCCGATTGGCTCACAGTTCGATACACAGTTTAGTATAGCCTAACGTGTTCCAAGTTTTGTTAAAATATGTTCTTCCGATTTTAGGTACCAACCTCTTAATGTTTGTCAGATTGACACAACATTTTGCACAAAGTATAACAAAGAAAAGCGCTTTTAAGTTTTGTAGAAATTGATGCACCAACTAAACAACGAGTGTGTGACACTTCGAGGCCTTTGTATATGTTTTCTACTCCTGATCTAATCACTTCCATCAACATCACCATAAATATTCCGTTAAGACAAAACTCATTCAATGGTATCTATCGCTTTGGGGGTGTCTCTCGAACAGATATGTGGGGTTATCTGGTTTATATATATATATATATATATATATGTAGCTACCTGGTGTGAAACGTTGATACAAGGCAGGCACTCATAAATTACGGAAGTTCTGACTAAAATGTCCTTACAAAACTTACAAAACTTAAAAAAAAAATTAGATAAACAAAAAACCCCATTCTTATATGTATAATATTTACAAGAATATGCGCATTTAAGAACCTGTGGATAAAAAATTATGGCGTGAATTACACTGTTAGAGACATTTTGATTGTCCGTGAATATCATGAAATTAATAACATTGTGTCAGATTGGAGTACTTACTCTAGCCATGAAAATAATGATATATTTATTTTGTCAATGGGTATATAACATTTATTAAGGATCACTTTCGAAAAAAGGATATTTCAAATTAAAAATGGAATATGTGATAAAATATTTAAGTCGGTCGGAACAAAATTGGCTGAGACATAAACATTGGTATTTAAAGTTCTGCAATGTCATATTGACAACTTAAATTAACTGCTAAACTGTTAGAAACAAAATAAATAAGTGCATATGTCTTGTATATTGTTTATTTTTCATTCAAAATTTAGCCAACTCTAGTTTTAAATTAATATTAATAATGTCCCATAGAAGCGGTAAACTTTTTCAATCATTTGGGCGCCAATATCGAAAACTGGGAGAATATAGGTTAATAGAATAAACAATAATATATTGTTTTAATAAAAATAAACATTAAAAAAGAAACATGTTTCCTTTTTAATTTTTATGCTCTTTGCGTAGGGTTCGAAAAATTCGTTTCGCCTAAAATAACGCCTTTTCCTTGTTTTGATTTAGTATTGGTGATTTGAAACAATAGTAAAATAATTATAAACACGAAGTTCAACGAACTGTATCTACAATAGTTGACATGTAACTACATGACTCACACATACATAAATATGCAAGAAATAAAGTAGGAAAAAAAACGTTTCGCCAATACAATATATGAGACATTCTATTCAAATGTCATTCTATTCAAATGTCATTCTTTTCAAATGCAATTTATTTTTTTCTGGAGAGAAGTATTTTCTTTACCAAGAAGCTAAAATGTCAAATTACAGCCACTTCAGTAGAGAAATTCGGCTAAAATCTTAAAAATACGGATGGACTTTTATTTCGGATTTATGAGAAAATTCGCCTACAGAAATTTGGGCGGAACCATTATATGGGGGATATGTCAAAACATGGACCTATATTCATAATTTTCTACATAGCAATATGTCCACTTACAACCCGAAGTATCTTCAAAATATGGAAGGTACAGTTATAATAAATTGTACCTAAAACTGGACACAAGCAATATTTTTTGCAATGACGTTTTCTGTTCTCTAGAACAGTAAAAATGAGTGGCAAATCAGCCTAAATACCGGAAATCGCTTATTTGATTTTATTACAAGGTATAGAATGAACCCATAGAAGGCCTCAACATTTATCCAAAGTGCGAAGGGTCCATTTGGTTCTCTTTATTATGGAATGACTCATATTCTATCTAACTAGCAATTTATATGCCCATATGTCACGTACTTTGAATTTAATATTAGTATTTATAGTAGACCCCCTACTTAAATACATACATACACCATAAACAATTATAGCAGAGCAATGAGCAGTATTACATTTTTATGGAGTTAATATCCAAAACAAACAATTTTCATTGCCAGTACTACTACCCGCCTCAGAAAAAATACAAACCCACCACCCGACATTGATTACACCAGTTGCATCGTTGCCCGGCAACCAATAAAAAAATGTATGACCATTAAAATGACCACCACAAGTTATGGTTAACTTTATATAGTTTTTCTATAGTCCTTTTAGTAGTTGCAGGACATTTACAACCCACACACATGAACAGTAATAGACGACAAAAAAGGAAACAATTGTATGTTTTAATGAATTTCAAATAAATGAAAATCGATTGAAATTAACAAAACCAAACAAAGCGTTAGAGGAAGAAAAAATGCAAAAAATTAAAGCCAAGGCATCATCGTTACCAATATTTAATGGTCGTGTTTCAGATTCCTCCACATCGAGTACATCCTCGTCGATAGTGTTGGCAAGTGGTAAAACAAAGAAACGCGGTACTTTTAATGGTTTCACCAAGCCAAGTGTTTTTTCAATATCTTCTGCCACCACAAAGCATTCGTTGAACGAGGAGGAACAGAATCTGGAATCGAGTGAAGCTGATGTTGTGGTGCGAAACACACCACGGTCATTGATAAATTCCCGTAATACCCAAGGTTCTCTGAATGTGGCCGGCACTGAATTGAGTAATTATGAAAAAGTAAAAGTCGTCGGTCAGGGTTCATTCGGAATTGCTGTTCTATATCGTCGGAAGACTGATAACCACTATGTCGTGTTTAAACAAATTAATCTTAGCGATTTAACACCTTCGGAGAGAGATTTGGCCATGAACGAAGTTGAGGTCTTCTCAAAACTACATCATCCAAATATTATCAGTTATTTGGGTAGCTTCATTAAGGATAATACGTTGCTAATTGAAATGGAGTATGCCGATGGCGGAACACTGGCACAGATTATCGGTGAACGTGCAATGCGAGATTATTTCCCAGAACGTTATATTGTCAATGTTTTCGAACAGATATGCAGTGCGATAAATTATATGCATTCGGAGAATATTTTGCATCGGTAAGTTGACGTTTTTGTATTCATTCACGCGCATACAATTTATTGTCGTAATGACTAAATTGTCTACAAAAAAATGAGACTAATTCCAAAGGATTCTAGACTTGACTTGAGAAGACCATAAAATGATAGGTTTTTCTCAGGTTTGGGTTAGGTTATATATTTCGCATCGCTAAAATGTTCAGAGTAACTCAAACCGTGAAATGAAATCTATACAAAACATACATCAATTCTACAAAATGGAAAATGGTGTATAACGGTCCACTATGTGGAAGCTATACCACCACATTACGATATCGGCCAATTTACGGAATTCAGAATGTGTTAGCCGAATTTTCCAACCGAAAGGACAGTAATTTGGGATATAGATCCCGCCCCAATTTTGCTATTTTAAGTTTTTATCCAAATTTTCAAACCAAAAGGACTATAAATTGACATTCCAGATTCTTGAAGGGTGAAGTAAATATTTGTAGAGCATTTTTAATACAGTTTCATGTTTTGACCTAACTCCCTATTTTGTAGGGTTTTAACATCATTTTCAACCCAATGTGGTTGTAATCCACTGATATAGCTATAATTTTGAATCATAAAGGGTGATAAACATCTCTGCAGAATTTTTTCATTATAGGACCATGGCTTGGTATAGTGTGGGCTATACTTGGCCGCAATTTTTTATCGAAGTGACTGCAATGTATCGTTCCTTAATTGAGCATCATTTTTATACCCTCCACCATAGTATGGAGGGTATATTAATTTTGTCATTCCGTTTGTAACTCATCGAAATATTCATTTCCGACCCTATAAAGTATATATATTCTTGATCAGGGTAAAATTCTAAGACGATCTAGCCATGTCCGTCCGTCCGTCCGTCTGTCTGTCCGTCCGTCCGTCTGTTGTAATCACGCTATCTTCTGAAGGAATTGAGATAGGATGCTGAAATTTTGCATAGGGTTGTCTTTTGTCTGCAGGCAGGTCAAGTTCGAAGATAGGATATATCGGTCCACGTTTAGACATAGCTCCCATATAACAGTACCCCCCAATTTTCGGTATTTTGAGGTTCTTGGGCGCGTTTTTCAACCGAATACGCTGAAATTTGGTACATTGGGTTCTTATTGGGTACTTAATGTCCCCACAAAAAATTATAAATATAGGTCCACTTTTTCTGGTAGCCCCCATATAACGGTACCTCCTAATTTTCAGTATTTTGGGGGTTTTGATTGTATTTTTCCACCGAATTGGCTATAATTTAGTATTTCGAGTTCTTAATATGTACCAAATCTCTCCACAAAAAATTATAAACATATGTGAATTTTTTCGGATATCCCCCATATAAGGGTACCCCCCAATTTTCGGAATTTTGGGGTTCTTGAGCGCGTTTTTCAACCGAATACGCTGAAATTTGGTACATTGGGTTCCTAATAGGTTCCAAATCTCTCCACCAAAAATTATGAATATTGGTCCATTTTTTCGGATAGCCCCCATATAAGGGTACCCCCAATTTTCGGTATTTGGGGGTTCTTGAGCGCATTTTTCAACCGAATTTGCTGCAATTTGGTAATTTGTAGTCGTATATGGTAACAAATCTCTCTACCAAAAATTTTTAATATTCACCCCCTTTTTGGGGTAGTCCCCATATAACCCCCTTTTTTTATATTAAAATAGTTATCTGATTTGTTCCGCGTTTTGAGTTTGGTTCTAAGTCTCTTTTGTAATCATTTCACCTGCGGAGGATAGAGAGATAAACAATTAGAACGTAAGGTTCGATAATTAACTATAGCCGCATTTAGACCTAGCCCCTGATTGGAAGTTCGAGAATTTGAACTAAGCTTGGAAGAAATAATAAGATGGGCAAAGTTTGGATGAAATCTAAATTTTCTGAAACGGATTTGGTCCAAAGAAACATGGGGTCTAGAACCAATATTTCGATGAGGCACATTTTCACCGTGTTAAAGTCTATACACCCTCATTAGCCATAAGGCTGAGAGTATAATTATCCTTTAAAATTTTCTAAAATTTTTAATTATGGTTTACATAATCCGTTTTTAGAAATGTCGGTATAGGTCCACTTTTTGGTATGTTCCCTATATTTTCATTTCTAGTACCTGTCAATATATCTATGGTGGAGGGTATCCAAAGTTCGGCCCGGCCGAACTTACCGCTTTTTCACTTGTTGTTGTTCGATTTAGGAAATTTTGAATGCCCATTACATGGTGGAGGCTATAAATCGTGGTTAAGTTCGGCAAGGCTAATTTCACGCATTTGTACCGCCCTCAAAAGTTTGGACAGAAACATATTTTCCGATCGATTTAAGAAATTTCGAATGCACATCCCATGGTGGAGGCTATATGTCGTGGTAAATTCGGCTCGGTCAATTCCAAGCTATGATATAGTCCTCATTCTAATGTTTTATCCGCTTGGGTGTCATATTATTATCGGGGACATGAGAGAACTTTTCTATTCGGATACAGTTTCATGCAACTACGTTCTCTAAAGTTCTGAAAGAAAAGTTGACATCAACGACCTGTAGGCAATATCACTTGAGTAGGCGAAATTCCCACAAATATAACAAGAATTTCGCACATATAAGTGAATCATCCTCATAAATCTAATTGACACTTACGTGAGGATTGACTTCTATGTATTAAATTTGGTGGATATTGTAATGTTTTATCCGCTTGGACGCCATGTTATTGTTAGGCACATCAGAATCAAATATTCATGATAAAGACTATTCTCAAAGTTCATTGTTTATGTCAGAGGAAACTGAGCAGACATGACAAACAAGGTAGGTTTGTAAATCTTAGGACCAGGATGTCGTAACAGATGAACTTTATATTTATTTTGAATTGATACCACAAGCTGATACAATAACTGATATTGTCTAGCTCATAAATCCAATGCGTGATAATTGACCCCAAAGTATCAATTTAAGTGGATGCTTTATCACCTTGGGCCCCATATTATTGTTGGGAACATCAGAAAATAATATTCATGATAAAGAGTGGGCGAAGACCATTTCATGCTTCATTCTTTATAGCAGAAGAACTTAACCATTCGTGACAAACAAAGACGTTTTTAAATAGTTAGGGCCAGGATAAGATGAAATTTATATACCAGCCAAACTAATAACTGGCATTGTCTAGCTCCTCATAAATCCAATGGACCCCTTCCGTGTGCATTGACTCCATTGTGTCAATTTTAGTCGATATTTTTGATGCTTTATGCGCTTGGGCGCCATTTCATTAGGGGGTACATCAGGGACATTACTTATGAGAAAGAGTGGGCGGATATTAAATATCTATCAATATTCTCCAGAACTAAAGTATGTTACAGAACAGACAACATCACTGGAGGAGACAAATCACCCAGAAGTTGGGACTGACAACTGATATTGTCTACCTTTCTGGAATCCAATGAACCCTTAGCATGAAGATTGACTCCAGTCTTAATGTAAGTGGATATTATTGATGCTTAGGAGCCATATTATGGTCGGGCACATGAGACAATGGCAATGAACAGTTGAATACCATTCTCAAATATCAATCATCATTCTTTATAGAAGAGGAACATCAGCGACCTGGTTTGTCGTTTTAAAATTCTTAGGACCAGGAAGACGTAACAGTTGAAATTTATTTATTCTAAATTGATACCACATTTTCCCAAACAAAACAGCCAGAAGTTCGCACTAATAACTCATATTGTTTAGCTCATAAATCCAATGGACCCATTGCGTGAGGATTGATCCCAATGTGTCAATTGAAATGCTTGGGCGCCATATTATTGTACGGCAAATGATACCATTCTCAACCAGGATGAAGCTTTGAGTAAAGACCAGGATGAAGTTGAATTTTATATTTATTCGGAATTAATACCACAATTTCCCCAACAAAGTAGACAGAACATCAGAGACATTAATCATAAGAAAGACTGGGTGAAAACGAATGATCAACCAACTAGTTTTATAGCAGGGACGTCCATGGCAAAAAAAGTTGTTATGAAATTGTGACCAAGACCAGAATTTTTAAGCTGCTTGTGGAATTTTCCAACCTGAGTGTCTGTAGTGTAATAGATCTTTTTCTTGTGGAATCAATTTACCCGATCAATTTTCGGCATTTTTAACACTAGATTGGCGAAGGCGGTCATTTTTAACGGCTTTTCAATTTCAAGTACAAAGACAACTGTGCATATAATGACACTTTTTTTAAAATTTGGTGACTTCTTTACAATAAACGGAATCCTATGTGGTACAAAAAGTCACCAAATTTAAAAAAAAGTGTCATTATATGCACAGTTGTCTTTGTACTTGAAAATGAAAAGCGGTCAAAATGACCGCCTTCGCCAATCTAGTATTAATGCGCCAGTTCGATACGGTCGCAATTTTACAACTTTTTTCTACCTATTACTAATAATAACTATTGTTTTCCATTTGTTAATCCCCATAGGGATTTAAAAACCGCCAATGTTTTTATGAACAAAAGAGGTATTGTGAAAATTGGCGATTTCGGTATTTCGAAAATTATGAATACGAAAATACATGCACAAACCGTATTGGGTACACCATACTATTTTAGTCCAGAAATGTGTGAGGGCAAGGAATATGATCATAAAAGTGACATTTGGGCACTGGGTTGTATATTGGGTGAAATGTGCTGTCTAAGGAAAACATTTGCTGCTACCAACCTATCGGAATTGGTGGGGAAAATTATGGCGGTAAGGGTAGTCAAATAACAAACATTTTCCGATTTTTAAATTGTTTTAATTTCCATTCTAGGGCTCTTATACACCGTTACCCAAAGGATATTCGTCAGCACTGAAAAGTCTGCTGAATAATCTTCTACAGGTTTGTTGTGATAAAAATTATGTGTGTTTTATATTATTAAATATTATATCATTAAAATAAAATATGTTGATACATATATCTACTACTCCTCTGGAATTATTATTACTCCCTATCATAGGTGGATCCAGCCAGACGTCCCAGAGCATCAGAAATACTGGAATATTGGATTCCATTAATATTTCGAAATTTGAGTAAAAATAAAGGGTATGTAGTTAATAATTCATGTTATCATCAATGACTCAAATGAAGGCAGTTCTCAAGGCAAATACATTTCGCATGGAATTGGAATTATTCGCGTTTGCCCTCCATATCTAACATGCTCGTATAGTAATAATAATATCTAATTTTTAAATATCATTCCATCCTAAAGTCACCATTACGAAGACGATGTAGGTTCAACAACCATGGTCTCATCAAATAGTTCAAAATTGATGTCACTGCATGAAGAACCTTTGCTGGAACATAGCTCAAGACGTTCGACAATTGTAGATTTGGCAACAGCACAAACTGAAACGAAAGAAATAATGAAAGCTGAAACGGCAGCCCCTGAAGAAACCGTAGAGAAAAGGTTTGATATTCCAGTGTGTTTCAAACAATATTACAATAAATAATGTATCTTTACAGATCGGTATTATATCAGTTGAAATCATTTGGCAATAGTTTCAGCATGAATCCTATACAACTGCCACCGAAAGCTTGTATTCTGACCGTGGCTACAAGTGAAACACATTTTGTTGTTGTCAATAGTGGTAAGTTGTTATGTATTTAAAGCCTTGTATTGTTTTATAAGAGGTCAATAGGGTCTCCTTGTCAGAACCTCATGTTCTGCTGGTCAGCGACTTGAATACCTTGTTCCTAATTCTCTGTTGCTGGTCGCAATCTGATCTCCATGTTCACCGGTAGGTTCATTTCAGCCGTCCATGTTTTGAACTGTGTGACTGTGGATTTGGGGCGGATATATTCATATCCTTCATATGGAAGAAATTCACAAGATATTTCTGAATTTCGCACATATAGTTGATAGTCAGATTCAGTCCTCTACTTATATGCGTGTACATGTCCCATCCACTGGCGACAGAAATGAATCGGGCTACAGGAATACTGCTTCTCATCGATGGGAATAGCGCTTCAAATGTCTTAGGTAATGGCGGTAAAAGTGAAATCGGCCTCTGCGATTCACCTTTTCTGGCATCCTTGCCACACTACAAAAATACATCACCTCCGCTTCTGGTGCAACCCTTACACACAACGTTGGCAACCTTCGCAACGCTGTAAACTACAGTTCTCCACAATTTTACTGATCTTGATAAGGCAATATGGGGTGTAGACTGCGGGAGTGTCTCGCATTTCGGCCACAGCATAACTCCTAGCACAGTACTCCTATATCTTCAACCCAGAACAACCTTAAAAATTCACCCATGTATCTCACCGAGATGGATCTGTGGTGGATGAGGTTCTGACAGACCCTACAAATCCAAAATTCGGGATTTCTCTCTATCCTGGAACGTATCAAAAGCAGGCATTCCATGTGACAGCATCTGGTCGAAATCTTCCTTCGAATCGAGACCCTGCCGTGGAGTTGTAGTCTACTATGGGTGATGGGCCTGCAATGTATCTTTTTCCAGAAAAAACACCTTGAATTTTGTGCTATAGTTTGGGTCCTTGATTATTTAGTGTTACCATTTTCCTCTGAAAAGCGCTATCTCAATTCCTGTTATGTGTCATGCTCATGTGTTGATTTTAATGCCGGATGCATTCGATCTGAAATATAAACCTCTCTTTATAGATATTCGAAAACTACTTTGAAAGAATTTAAAATGTCCTTCGTATCTGGTAATCGATTCCGGTAATCATCGGTTTGTACACTATACACTGTAGTACTCCGACTACGATAATATACAAAGAATCAATATTTGCGTAGATTTGTGGTCGTTCGTCCGTACATTCACATTTATTACCCGAATAAAATTAAATTTTCGGATAATTCATGGAAATCGGTGCCGATTTCGATATAGCTCGTCCGATTTCACTATCTCCAAAAATCTATATCCAAAATCTTCAAAATAAACAAACTGGGCTACCGTTTTGTGAGCTATCCCTAAAACCTGGAATAATATTAATAATTGTTGCTAGGATTATTTGCTGCCCAATGAGAAATTAAAATATTAATGTTATATATTTTCGAAGTCGACTAAAGAATCCGGGTCTACCATAAAACACTGCAGCACTTATTCGAAATTCTCTACAATTTCCTTATATCTTATTTTTATTTAATTATTTTAACAGATGGATCTGTGTATACTTGGGGTGAGGGTACACATGGTCAATTGGGCTTAAGCTCTTTGGAGGCATGGAAACACTATCCAAGCCGTATGGAAAGTGTGCGTAATTACCACATAATAAGGTAATATCAATTTTTTTAATTTATTTATATTATCTAAAATCTCCTTCCTTTCCAATGTAGCGCTTGTGCTGGCGAAGGCTTTACAATACTTCTAACACAAACCGGTTCCATTTTATCGTGTGGTGACAACAGCAAATACGCCTTGGGTCATGACAATGACAAAACCTACCACAGCCCAAAGTTGATAGAGAAATTGGAAAATGTTCATATCAAAGAAATCAAATGTGGCACCACACATGTACTGGCCATGAGTATTGATGGTTCGGTTTATACATGGGGAACAAATGTCCATGGTGCACTTGGGCTGGGATCGCTACAAACGCAACAGTAGGTGTTATAAATAATGAGGAAACAATTTTAAAGATATATTTTTTTACTTTAAGAAAAATACCCCAAAAGATTTTACTGTCACATGTCAAGGGAAAGGTGAGAAGTATTTTTTGTGGACCGGATACATCAGCGGTGTTGTTTGAGAGTGGTGAAATGTATGTGTGTGGCAGTAATGATTATAATAAATTGGGATTTGAGAAATCATCGAGAATAATGGCGTTGGTATGTATTGTATTCAAGTTAAGCAAACATAACCCTACTTATTAAATTGTTTTAGAAAAAGTTATTACTGCCCCACAAAATATTGGATGCCTGTTTTTCATCGAATCACACAATTGTATTGGTAGAAGGTGGTTATGTCTTTACCATGGGTTCCAATTCAACTGGTCAACGTGGTGTTGGTAATTGCAGTAATATTTTGGATACTGCAACTTTGGTGGAGCTAGTCAAGGATAGATATATTACGGTAAATCTGAATACAGGAGTAAACATTTTCAATAATTCTGAAAATTATTTTTTTCGGTTTTTATTTAAAGAAATGTAAATGCAACGATCAATGCTCGGTAGTCTGTTCCGATGATAATGTTATAACTTTCTGGGGTACACGTAATGGCATACCCGATATGGTTGAGACAAATTCAGCAGATGAACAGGAAGCAGAGGTTTTTACTTTTTTTCTAGGAATGAATTCAAATTTTGAAATATTTTTATTTTAGTTACAACAACATCAAATGGATTTAGAATTGGGTAACAGCACAGCAGCATTTACCAACTTTTTAGCATCTGTATATAAATCGGAACTGGTGTTGGAACCTCAAGATATACTTGCGTAAGTTGTAAATTTATTATATACACACAGTTTTCAAATATAAATACAAATTTACTCTGCCTTCAGACTTTACTCTTCGCCAGAACAATTGGACAAGGGTTATTATGTAGTTGTTAATGATATATTTCCTCTGCCGCACAGCGTTTTGGTATTGGTGGACTCTACAACACCTTTGATAGCATCCATAGATGATTTGGGATAAAATGACATATTATTTTATTAAAATATAGATATGTTTAAAATAGCCCACCTGTAATAATTTATAAATAAATCCTATATTTGTATGTATGTAAATCCTGCATTTATATATAAGTAAATATTTACTTACTAATATAAAAGTAAGTACGAAATTGTATATGTAAGAGGCGATCCTTAGATTCATATTAAAACTGAAATATTAAAAAAAGACCTACATATAAATCTCGCTTAAGTGAATCTTGAATCCTGTGACAAAGGACTAAAGTCGGACAAGGCTGAATGTATGATAGTAGAGAGAGAGGTGGATGTTGGTGCCAATGATCTTCCCATTGAAACAATGTATAATTCATTCCGCAATGAACATACAATTGTTTCAATGACAAGGAAGCACAAACAAACATATCTATCGATAATCTTCTGCAACCAGTTTTTATGGCGATAACGAGGTATATAAAATATTTGAGTACCTCGAAGCTCTAGTTTTAAAGTTCCACAGTTGGTCCGAGTCTACTGGGCGTCTTGCGCGTTGATACCATTAGCTTTGTCTTCTCGCCATTTACTTTGGCCGACTCCCGTCATCGGCATAGGCATGTAACATATGATGTTCGGTGTACAGAGTGTCATTTCTGTTCACCTTTACATCTCGTATGACCTTTTCCAGCAGGATGTTAAAAAGGTCACACGAAAACTGTCTCCTTGTCTGAATCCTCGTTTGGTATTAAAGGGCTCCGATAAGCCCTTTCCGACTTTAGCTGCTGACCTTGTGCCAGTTAAAGTTATCCTACATAGCCGTATTAATTTTGTAGAAATGTCGAATGCGGCTTTGTAGTTGACGAAAAGGTGAAGTGTGTCGATGTTTATTTTCGTGGGTCTTTTCCAGTATTTGGCGCAAAGTGAAAATCTGGTCTATAGTGGATTTTGTGAAGTCTGAAGCCGCATTGATAAGATCCAATAATATCATTGACCATTAGTTTTGTATGCGATGGGAAGGAGATTGATTCCTCTATAGTTGGCACATATCGTCTTGTCTCCTTTGTTGTGCACGGGACACAGTTTGCTAAGGTTTGGACATTCATTCCTCTAGCCAAATTGTGCTAATCAGCTGGTGCATGCTCCTGACCAGCAATCTTGAATAGTTCGGCTGGTAATCCATTTTCTTCCCATAATTCTCGTGTTGCTACTGTTTGCAGCGTTGCCCTATACGCTGCGTTTTTCACATTAGTAGCATTACGACACTCCTGATCGCACCATGGGTTTCATGATGGTGGTCTTTGGTAACCAAGCGTTCCTTTTGCTGCAGATTGTAGGGAGTGGGCAATTTTTTGCCATTGTGCTTCAATATTATTATCGCGAAGGAGTGCTTCATCAAGCAGGTGGGTACGTTGAGTGGAGTAGTCTTCGGCTATCTGTTGTTTGCAACTTTTCGACGTCGAGTTTCCGGGTTACATTAGATCGCACCTTTGCTGCTACATTAAGACGAGTGCGAACCTTGGGTGCTGCAAGGTAATGCTCCGAGTCGATATTCTTTCCTCGGATCAAACATTGGTTGAATGTCATCCGTCTATCACAACATGATCTATTTGATCGTTGCTTCATCGGAAGAAAACCAGGTTGTCTTGTGTATGTCGAGATGCTTGTATGTAGTGCTGCTAACTTCCATGTTTTTTGCTGCCGCGAAGTCAATCAACATCATGCCATTGTCGGATTGTTCTTCATGGAGGCTGCATTTTTTCGCCGGTGGTGCCAAAAATATTTTTCCCTTTATGACCTTTAATTTCATGGCAAGGGCAGCGAGCATATACTGTTTCTAGGCGCTCATAAAATATGTCTTTGGCCTGTTCGTTTTTGTCTTCCGTCGGAGCATGTGCGCAAATAAGACTGATGTAGAAGAAATTCGCTTTTATATATCGCTCATCTACTGGAATGGATCTGGAAACGAGGTATTTTTCTCCTGCAAACCATAAACCCGCACCAAATTCATACTCACTCCTGTCCATTTCCATAGCACTTCCTGCAAGTTTGGGGAGGTCGTATATATTAAGGGGGTTTGGTTTTCTTTTTTTGTTACTTTTTTCATAGTAGGAGGGGTTTTCCGAGTGTGGACAACTAACCCGACGCCCCAACCCATTATTTTATAGTTCTTATGGCTGAACTCGCGGCACATATCAGGTCACTATTTCAACGGATGATGAAGATAGCTACCCAAGGTGACACCGCGGGGAGGTCAGTGTCCACAATTGAGATGAAAGAGGAACACATATATGCCTGGGCTTTGCCATGTTAAAGCCAATCAAATGAAAGACTTAAATCGGAATTATTCTACGACAATTGATTTGGATCCAATCTGTATTAATCGCACTAGCCCACAATTTAATATCTGCGATTTTCTAATAATTATAACACACTCTTTTATGAATAAAATATTTTGTTTTATTGATATCTTAGAACCATTATGGACTAAATTTTAATTACAATACATATAAACATGTACTGGGGTGAGTTTTATGATCTAGATAATTTAGGAATAAACATAAACATGTTTTGTTTTTTTTTCTTTCTTTCTTGTAGCCATTTGAATAATTACTTAAAAAACTATTACAGAGTAAACAATAATAAAAGAGAAACAAAAAGGAAAAAATACCATTTTAAAGAAAGATATTAAAAAAGTAATTCAAAATGGTGGTGTGGTTGGTGAAGAGAAGCATCTTAAAGAAATGCCAATTGCAACACACTAAATAATGTCTATTCTAATGTTTCATGTTATTTTAACAACTAAAATAGAATTGTTACATTCTTCTTCTTCTTTGTTCTACTACAATTAAAAACACAAATAAGGAATAATAATTGTCAATATGTTTTTGTAGTCTTAATACCAGAGACTTCAAATGTTTGTTGTGGGTTTAACGTATACAGTACACATTGTGTATACGACCGACGAGCAGGCCAATGACTTTAGTAACGTGATGATACGGGGCCACCATACCGATCTTGACCAGAACGACCTCCACTGTTGTACATACCGCCACCACCACCACTGCTGCTGCCACCTCCAGAATAACCGCCAGTTCCGCGTTCATTGTAGGTGCGATCATAACGATCTTGTGTTGATGGTAATGCCCGCCAACTATTATCATCGGCATTCGATTTGGGCCAACCCGAACCGGAATGCATATTTGATGACATACCATTGCTGGAATATTTCATTGATGAACCAACTCCGCTACCGCCCATATGTGATGTTGATGAAGTATTCCAGCTGCTTGTGTTACCGCCACTGGAACCACCACCAAATCCTCCGGAGTTGTCATAGCGTTTATTGCTGTTGAAAAAAAATAAAATTATTTTTGTAAAATTTCATCTTTCTTAAATTATTTATGTGGCTATCCTTGTGTAGGAAGGCTAGAATAATGTTGTCAACATGCGACCATCCTCCTGGAATGGATTATTATGAGTCGCAGGAAATTGAATCCTTATAAGTTCAAAAGGTCTGTGGGTGGAACAGAAATGTTGACAAGATTGAAATGGATTTGGTATTGAATCTGAACACTCAGGTTGCAAAATTGGGCTAGGACACATACACAGATATTAAACATAATCTGAACCCTTTTTCTTTTTTCCTTCTCTTTTGTTGTGCGCAGGATGAACACAGTGGATCATTACGAGCCAGATGGATGTTGACATTTGTCATATTTGAACCTTTCTGACCCAACATTATCCATTGTGATATTTCCATATTTTATAGTTAGTGTTAATTTTTTTTATTTCTTTAGAATATCTATGTCATTTCTTTAGTATATGGAAACTGAAAATAAATACGACCCTAGGCACTTTTTTTCTTTTTGTAAAACATCGCCTAACACATCTCCAAGTGATGATACTTGAAATATACATTTGTATAAATTTTTTAAAACATACCCAATGTCATCCATGCGACGATATCCATGTGATGTGGTACGATCATCGTAACGTCCACCACCGCTACCGCCACCACTCTTATGTATTGAACTGCTGGAATGATATGAGGAACCACCGCCACCACCACTTCCAGATGTTGCCAAATGACGAATTTCCACTTCACGCTTGTAGTCATCACGACCGCTTTTACCGCTCGTTGTATAATCATCTAGACCACTGCGTTTCGATGATGAACCCATATAATCACTGCGTTTTGAGTAGTCATCAGTACTACGTTTGGTGGGTATATCCGAAAAATCATCTACAGCGGAACGTTTAGTGCCGCTTGAACTGCTACCATAATCCATACGTTTAGAGGATGATGATGTATAGTCATCGATACGTTTGCTGGACGAGCTACCGACATAATCATCACGTTTATGGGTGCTAGAATAAAAGTCACTTTTTTTACAAAATGGTATTATTGGTTATTGGATTTTAAAATATATAGTTGGCAAAAAATCGAAAAAAATAACAACAAACCAAACAAACAAGAAATTAAATGAATGAAATATGCAGGAGCGAATTCGTATGTAACAGAAACATAATGATAAACTGGATTACATGTGGTGTATGTCCATTACAAAAATGTATTGTTTTTAATGATGTATATTGTGTTAAAGACATAATAACTGTCGGAGGGAATGGATTTAAATTAAAAATAATAACAAACAATTCATCTCCAAGATGTTTTCCAAATATATGTATGTATATAAAAAACAATATTCAAAATAAATGAATTGTTGAACATAATTAAATGTTTAAAAAATATAAATTAACATACCTTCTTGATGTTGTATCCAATGATGCATCAAATCTTGGCGGAGGAGGAGCTTCATAACGATCTGTAGCCGATGATCGTTTACGATCAACTGGATAATGATCATCTCGTTTGCTCAAACGTTTAATAGGATCATCACGAGTTTCCATAATCCTTTAAAGATGATGATCGAGGGAGGGATCAGGGGGAGATGTGTTTTAATGTGATGAAAACAACCACGATAACCAACGATATTGGTGGGTTTGAGGTGAAGAAAGAAGAAATGGTAAAAAACAAAACAAATAACATTATTAATAAATGTATAGCAAAACTTAATGAGACAAACCCCAATTTTCCCGCCCCAAAGTATAGATAACAAATTTTATTGTTGTTGTTCACTTTTCACAATTAACGGGAGATTTGGTGGGTTGATTGGTTGCGTTGCGTTGAATATAACGAACGAACGAACAGCATAAAAAAGTAGTTACAATGAGTAGTTTTTTATCGGGTATTAAACTTAGTATTTGCCTTTTTGTGGAAACAGTTTGGACATTTGTGTCAACGACAAAACGATACATGATGATTAATAACATAGGCAGAAGAAGAAGAAAAATCGTGTATAAAATCCACACAGAATTGGGCGTATTTTCGCCGTATTCACGTGAAGAAATATGTTTTCTTTCTCTTAGAATATTTGGTTTCCCGAAACAAAAGTTCTTGTCCATAATTATTTTTTGTGTTTGTTTTGTTTAGTTTTATAAAACTACTACTCATTATGGCTCTACTACACCCAGGTGTAGGAAATATACACACAAATGCACGATGGCAATATTTTTTAGGGTTTTTAAACATAGCATACTTCATTTGTTGACGTTTTATCTCAAGACGTTCCAATTCCAATTTCTCACGCTCCAACTTCTGGCGTTCACGTTCCAAACGCAATAGCTCTGCCTTTTCACGCTCCAAACGTTCACGTTCCAGTGCCAATTTTCTGCGTTCTTCGGCCAAGCGGGCTTCTTCTTGACGCTGGCGTTCACGGATCTCGCGGCGACGGCGTTCTTCCTCGCGCAATTCACGTTCACGTTCCCGCAGGCGTTGGCGCTCTCGTTCTTCACGTATCTTCTTGTAGGAGAGAATCTCACGTTGGCGCATACGTTCACGATTTTCCCGCTGACGTTGATAATGGTTGTAACGGCTGTCGTTAGTGTGCAGAGGACGACGCCTCACTGATGATTCAGAACGTGCCTTGTCGCCACGGCTAGATTCTTTGCTTTTATCGTCTTTTGATCGGGATGTTTTATCACGGTCATCCTTTTTGGTTTCACTACCACTGTCCTTTTTACCTGATTCGCCACTTGATTTCTCCTTACCACTGCTAGAAGATTTTTTCGCATCGTCCTTCTTCTTGGATTCTGAACGTGTTGAGCCAGAAGTTTTACCACTATCCTTTGAATTGGCCGCAGCACTGCCACCAATTTCATTTTTGGTACGTTCCACCGAAATAATGCGGCCATGTAATTCAGTGCGATGCAAATGATCGATGCAACGACTGGCATCACTGGACGAAGACATGGTGACATAGCCATAGCAACGAGTACCAGGTGTGCGTGTGTTAGTAACCACTTTGGCACCAATAACTTTACCATATTTGGAGAAGATTGTCTTTAAATCGCTAGCTCGTGTCGACGATGATAGACCGGATACCCAAAGATTGCGTGATGCATTTGCTGCTGACGAGGATGATTTGCTGCCACTCGTTGATTTTGAGTTGGTGGCAGTCGAAGATGAGTTGTTTGCAGATGATTTCTCTGGAATTTCCATATAAATAATAACAGAGTAGAGAGAGAAGAAGGTTGAGTTATATACATGTAAATGTGTTGTGGTTGTTGTTCTGAAAAGTATTTGGTTTTTAAGTTATTTTAGTATTCGATTCCTCATAGGGGAATTGAAAGTTATATGTATCTCTTTTTTCACTTTTTTTCTCTTAAAAATAATATCTGGTCACTCTGATCACAGGTTTTTTCTTTTTGGTTTTATTTTACAACTAAAACTAAACACTGCTTCTAATTTGTATCCTTCTTTACAAACATTATTATACACAAGAAAGTGTGAATTTATAGGAGAGCTTGTTGTGGTTCTATTTGTGTTTTTTGATATCCATTTCATATTAGTTTCGATTGAACTATGCAAAAAGCGAAGAAATTCAGGATAAACGCATTATGAGTTGGTTTCTGTTATTGCCTTAAAATCTTTATACGCTGTATCCAAATGTTCATATGAATTAATCGTGATGTAATAAAGCCTTCAATTTCCAAAATTGTTTTGATCGTTCGGCCTTGATGATATTCCTACAGGAAGATTTTAAATGGTCTCGTGCAGGGGTTTCCAACTCATTGACAGCCTAATGAACCAATTTTTTTTCTCCACAAAGTTCCCAAGTTATTAAATATGGAGCCAGCCGAAATAAGTTTAATCGACGACAAAATTCTGCCACCTTTCAAGAACATAACTCCATTGTGTGATTTATACAGGAAAATTCAGCAGACGCAGAAGTACATTTTTATGTCATAACCATTACCACCGTAAAAATTCTGATTTGAATTCCTCGAGAACATATGTTATTTATAAAAAGGGATTTCATTTTTCTTCATAGTTATTTCCAAAGGCATCCATCGTTTTTATTCGATAATGATAATCGCCTGCCACCGTCGATTATTATCAGGATTCACACTCGACCAAATAGTCATTATCGCACTGCTACAGCACTTTTTATAAAATCTCCGTCGAATGACGCTCCGAAACATGTCGAATGTTACTAGGCTACGCAGCACTGACACAATAACAATATTATGGAAAGCAAACCATAAGACTGGATATCCACATGTTTTCATATGCACAGAAATCGAAGTCTGCCAGTCGTTTCCTTCCATTTTCCAAATTTCAAAGTTCATATAGGTTGAAAATCTCCAATGTGGTCCTGAAAATAGTTTGGCCATATTTCCATGTATTGTCAATATGTATCATGTTAAACATATGATACTCTCAATGGCTTTAAAGAAATCTGTTTCAAGGTCCATTTCTGTGAAACTGTAGGAACATTTTACTTTCCATTTTATGTATTGCTTCATCATATTGCAATTCTCTGATTCATTTCATGGACAACCTAAATGTTTAGAATTTATACTCACAGCGTATTATCCTCCCTTTATGCTCTCCTCTCTTCCTCGTTATAGAAAAACGTTGTTTTCTATTTGTATAAATTCACACTTTCTTGTCTTTTTTTAAAAGTCCTGATTTTTTCCTTCATTGTTTGTGTTTTCATTTTGTTTTTTGTTTTTACACTGACACTTTCTTCTAAACTAATATATAACCAAAAAGCCTATACAAAATAATCTTTTCAGATTTGATTCTGCCTAAAAAGTTACCTTTGTCGTCTTTTTGACTAGATTTGGTTTTATCGCTGAAAATACAAAAGAAAATATATAAATTAATTAAATATAAGAAATATGTCGCTATATGAAATAAGGCGCTTTTACCTTTCTTCCTTTTTGTCATTGGATTTTTCATCTTTTTTCTTATCTTTATCGTCTTTATGACTAGACTTTTTATCATCTTTTCCTGTGGATTTGTCGGATTTAGAATCCTTTGCAGATAATTTCTTTTCAGATGCTGAAAATGAAATAGTTATTAAAATTAGTTCATTAAAAAAACAACAACCTATCCTTATATACCCTTTAAAAATCTAATAGGTATCTTTCGTAAGCCATACTTATAGCCTAACTCCTTCATATCCCATGAAATTGAGAGAAAAATCTCTAAGTACAAATACTCCGAATCTCTTGTAGCCATGGTAATAATGCTATTTGGGTATGTTAATCTGAAGTTATCTCCGGTCTGATAGGAAGGCAGCATTATTTAGGTGTATGTTTTTATTACATTTTGAAACCCCATATTTCCGGAAGTACGAAGTTCACAACCCCCTCCAAAAAAAAAAAAAAATGTGGTTGTAATCAGCCCCAAAAAGACTGCTGCAAAAAATTTAATCGTTTCAGAGCGGTTTCTTTAATATATTTAATAAAAAGTGGGGGTATTTTTTGAACTTTGGAACGCCATATCTCGGGAAGTACTGATTTCCCCCCGAAAAAATGTATGTTGCTGTAATCAGCATCAGAAGGGCTGCCTGTGGTAAAGGGCTGCCTATAGTAATTTCAAAATGATCTGAAAGGGGTCCGTAAAATGCATTTGTTCCATTTTCGATATTTAGCCTAATCTTTGCAAATTTATATTGAAAGTTACGTAGTTATTTGTATATATGTACCCATTTTTGTACGTGTTTTGGAAAACTTGAATATTTTAGAGAGAGACTTTGTTTTGCCAAGCAGTAAAATATAGTAAAATACAATAAAATATAGTTGTAAGGATCAAACGAATCGATATAGAACCCTTGATCACATTGTGGTTTTACCGAATTGCAATTAAATAGCTAATCTACCCATTTAAATAGAAACTATCAAATTTATATTTATCTATACTTCACACTACTTACCAGTCGATTTGTCTTTATCATCAGGAGCCTCATCATGTAGCAATTGTTGTTCATCTTCACCAATTGTCAAATTAATACCTTCTTCATTTTCGTTATTGCCCTCTTCATTTTCTTGATCGGCATTGTTTTCCTCTTCTTCATAGGTTTCATCAATGGCTTCATTATTTTCTCCCTCACCAGCATCTGCGGCATCATCATCGGCATTTTGTTCATTATCTTCAGCATCTTCGTCGTAAGCTACTTCTTCTTCTTCGTCACCATTTTCATGACACTCCTCGTCATGTTCATCAACTTCACCGACTTGATCGGTGACTTGATCATTGTCATTATTTTCATCAGCTTCTACATTTTCACCATTATCTTCCTCGTTGTCATTGTTGTGTTCCTCTTCTTCAACAACAGCTTCTTCTTCTTGTTCCGTAGTTTCAGTCTCTGGTTCGGGTTCTTTTGGGACCGGTTCAGCAGCTGCTTTCTTTTCAACGGGTTTTGGCTTTTCAGCAACTTTTGCTTTGGCGGCTGGAGTTTTTGGCGTTGCTGTAGATTTTTTGGGTGTTGCTGTTTTGGGGCCACCAAATACATGTTTGGCCGGGTCCACACCCTCTCTCTTTAAGGCCTATAATAAATATGTGTTAGTAGTTGATGTTATAATTATTTTCACATTTAGTTATTTCGGAAAATTGTTGTACCTTTTCCAAACGTTCTAACAATGAGGCCTTTGAACCATTCGTATCCAATTTGCGCTTCTCCAATTCATCCTTGAGATCACAAACACGTAACTCACTCAATTTCTTTCCAGCTTCGGACATTTCTTTACTATTTCTTACTGTCTCTTGCTTTTGTGTTTCTCCAATAGCACTTGGTATAGTTTATTCAATTTATTTAGTTGCTAATCGGCACTAATTATTTCTCATCAATATATTTATTTCAATGTAGAAAAATCTATATTTTTACTTGAACAAAATGTGTCTATACTCTAGTACACGCCAAACTTGAAATAAAATGTAATAAAAAATGGCGATTTCTCAATAAGCCCACTAAGGGTTGATAAATTGTGTAGTTTATTGTTGGGTTGATTAAAAATGTGTTTGTCAGGGTTGAATTATAAAATGACGTACGTCAATTGTGATGGTGTGCCCGCTTTAACCACTATAGTTGACGAGAAGAATAGTGCTGCCAATTTAAAATATTCTACTGTTTTCAAGAGACGTCTGACATTTGCGAAAGATTATATATAAAGGAGTTCATATACTAGCTGTGTCTGGTTACTTTTTCAGTAACATTTACTAAATAAGTTCTATTTAGGGGAGTAAGACGTTTTTTTCTATTTTGCAATAATACTGAGAAAATAAACAGACAACATTCAGTAAGATTCAGCATATTTGCGTTTTTTTTTTTCATTTTCTATTTTTTTTTATACAACACAGGTTAAAATTGTATTACATTATTTTTGCCAATTGGTTATAAAACAGCTGTTTCAAAAATTACTTAGTTTGATTAATATTACTGCATAAAATTCTTTTAGTAAACTTCAGTATGTTTGTGTTAAATGTATGCCGCAATAATTTATTTTCAGTGTTAGGATGTCTGGATTGGAAATATTCCAGTATAAGCCGAGCTTATAAATAGAATGACCAGCAACGAAAGATTTAGTTGTTGAATAAGTTAGTGCTGAGTGCGGTAAAGAAGATTCGTTCTGTTAAATAAAAAGTACAATTTATGTTAGTGTTGATAGCCAAAAAAAGTAAAAAAAGGGTAAACCCAACCCAGAAAATAGGAGCTGGTAATATTCTCCGTACGAATTTCAAGAAAATAGCGGTCTTGAGGACGTATCTATTTGGCAAATTGATCCTTGACGACATAAAAATCGCAAAAAATATATTTTTTCTTATTCTCCGGCTATTTTTATTTTCCGGTGAAAACACTGCTGGATTTACATTAATCAACCTTAATAATTCATGGTCGATTTTTCATAATTTTTAATACCAAAATATTTTATTAAGATTTTTTATCTGTTCTACTACTTTTTACGATAACGAATTGTCATTTATGATATCGAGTAGATTCTTGCAGTACGGGAACAGGCCTTTTTTTTATTAGAACGTTACCTAAAATCCGACGGAGCGTACAAAAATATTCAACTTCCCCACTATGGCAAAATGTTGTGTACGGCCCATGGTACAATTATAAAAGGTAACAGCAAGTCCCAGCTGATTTGATTCCAACGTAATACTAGTGTCAATATGAATTTGACAAATTATGTTTTTAAAAATCACCCAACAGGAAAATTGGGAACGCATTCAATTCGAAATTGTTTTTTATTAAATGTCCCCCCGTATTCATTTTACTCAATCTGCCTGCTGGGAAAGTTTGAGGAAGCAAATCTTTCTTCAAGGAACAACTCGCTATTCCCTGCATTTTCATATGTGTTACACTTATATATGGCAATGGCTCAATTATAGGAAAGATGTGGAAGCGATAGAAATATAAATTTGTTTTTCAATTTTTATTTTGAGGATTCGAAAATTTTTCATTTTCAAAATAAAAATAATTTGATGATAATTTGTTTGTTTGTTTACATTTTTCTGTCAAATGAGTTGACACTAGTAGAACTTACAAAAACAAATTCCCATGTGGTTGTTGTATTGTTTTTTGTACAACAACACTTGCTGTTACCTTCTATTATTATACCATGTGTACGGCCATATTACCCAAATACGTCGAATCCATATCTTCAAGCAAATAATACAAACCGCAAAACAAAAATTAACACTTAATAAATTAATCCACACATTTTTAGTTTCCATTCGAAATTTCAAATTTCCAGAATGTTTTGTTTTTGTTTTCAACAAAAGAAAAAAAATCATGGTACAATAATACAAGGTAGGGCAGCTTGAGGTGAATAACAAAAAAGCAACTAAGCTCGTGTGGCCTCTTCTGCCAAAAATAAAATAAATATACGCCACAAGTGTTTGTGTTTATTTGACATTTTTTCAACACAAAACCAAAAACGCGAAAAATTAATGAAAGGTTATGATTTCTTCCCAAAATCCAGTAGGGAATACCATAAAGTGTTTGTTTCATCCATAACAAAGTAGTTACTTCCAGACGAACGTGTTGAAAACTTTATTTTCATTTCAATTAAACTTGAATATATTTCAATTTATTTTGAATTTATTTGTATACACAAAATATGTATTTTGATTTGATTGAATAAGCCACCTTGAGAAAAAATTGTAATCAGTTGGTAGCTGTGTCCTACCTTGTAATAAATCTACCATGAAAAAAAAATTAAAAATACGTTCTGTCAAAGTTGAAATTGTTCAACTTGAACGTTCGACGTATTTCTGTAACATTCATATAAATACAAGTGTTCTACTTTTGAGGTGAAAAACGTCGAACGAGCTAGTTGAATTTTAGGTAAGACTGTAAGTATTTCGAATACCATGTCGAATAAATCAAGGTGTATTTAATAAGGTGTAAGTTACAATTATATGGTTTGAAAATGTTTTCTTTATTGTCTGTAATGCAAATTATCAAAAACATTTTCAATGTTACATTTCGATTTCAAAAATGGTCTTTGAATTGATGCTTGTAATTCACAATATAAACAACATTACAAGGAGCCATAGACTACATGTGGGAAACTTAAAATTAATCGCGACCAGGTCTTAAACTTTATTTTTCACTGACCTAAAACCGCCAATAACCCAAGAATACACAAATTCATTAATTATTCCTCAAAGAATAGTTCTTGACAAAAATAAATTAATAATTGTTTTTCTTTATTTTAGTCAAAAACTTATTGTCAGCATGACAATTTAATTTCTATAACAATAATGTTGTTTTTGTAAAATATTTGTTGTTGTAACTGATGCATACACCTTATTAAATACACCTTGATTCTAGTAAATAATTGATTTTCATGTGATTGGATACTTAATACACAGGAAGATTACCCTTATAGAAACCACATTACAAGACACAAAAACATACCAATAGAGCTCTATTAGGGACTATTAGGAAACCGCTTCATTTTAGTAGAATTCTGTTTTTTTTTTAATTTCTTCAACTAAATCTTATCTTTTATTATTGTACCATATCATGGTATACCAACATTAAAATAAATCTATTGAATAAAAAGATATATAAATAAAAAAACTTATTAATAAAGTTAATAACGCATGGAAAAGCGCTAGACGCCAAGCTCTTGTGTTAGTTATATGTTTTACATCCGTTTACTTGTCGAATGCAACCCTGATCACAGAATTGTTTGGCACAACAATTCCGTTTTAGTGATGGGAGACCATTTCGATAACAAACGATAAAACTTGGTAGCATTTTTTACGATGACGTTACATATTGCTCTTTCTTTCTTTTTCTGACCACGTTCCCTGCGAGTTCGTATGAAATAAATATGAGCCTCACAATTTCCAAAAAACGCAAGGTAATTTTACAAAATTTTACCACAAATTTACAATAAATCACTGGAGAATTGTACAGCCCATGGATGTGTGTGAAAATTGAATGTGAAAAGTATGAAAATTCCATGATAAACAGTGAAACTATGAACTAACCTCAAACCCATGGCATGTCAATACAGTTTTTCCCGTTGATGTCTGTATTCACAGCAGCATTACTAATTAGTTTAAACAATGTGGATGACTGTTGATGGGTTGATGAGTCGAAAGTGATTTGTGTAAAGTTTGTTTTCATAGATTAAAGATTCGATGCCATGTGAAAATGCTGTGATGTATTAACGAGTGATTTGTATTGTTTCTTTTTTGTAGTTTGTTGCCGATGGCATGTTCAAGGCTGAATTGAACGAGTTCTTGACTCGTGAACTCGCCGAGGATGGTTACTCCGGTGTTGAGGTACGTGTGACTCCCGCCCGTACCGAAATCATCATCATGGCCACCAAGACCCAACAAGTTTTGGGTGAAAAGGGTCGTCGCATCCGTGAATTGACCGCTATGGTCCAAAAACGTTTCAACTTCGAACCTGGCCGTATTGAATTGTACGCTGAAAAGGTCGCCACCCGTGGTTTGTGCGCCATCGCCCAGGCTGAATCTCTCCGTTACAAGTTGACCGGTGGTTTGGCTGTCCGTCGTGCCTGCTATGGTGTCTTGCGTTTCATCATGGAATCCGGTGCCAAGGGCTGTGAAGTCGTCGTTTCCGGTAAATTGCGCGGTCAGCGTGCCAAGTCCATGAAATTCGTTGATGGTCTTATGATCCACTCTGGTGATCCATGCAACGATTACGTTGAAACCGCCACCCGTCACGTCTTGTTGCGTCAAGGTGTCTTGGGTATCAAGGTCAAGATTATGTTGCCTTATGATCCTAAGAACAAGATCGGTCCCAAGAAGCCATTGCCCGACAACGTTTCTGTTGTTGAACCTAAAGAAGAGAAGATCTATGAAACACCCGAAACAGAATACAAAATGCCTGTTGCTGCTCGCGTGCCCATCGGTGATGAAGCTCCTGCTTATTAAGAAAAACATCCATACAAGCTATTAGTTGTATGTAAAATGTGTAAGGGTCAGTGATGTTTTTGAATATTTCAAAAATAAACTTGCAGATATGAAACGTTTTTATTTAACAAGATAAACTTACAAAAAAACAACAATTATTTTGTGTTTATTAATTCAATGATGCCAAAGAGTGTGAGGTGTGGGCGGGATGGGCGGCGACAAAGGAGCATTATATTGCAAATATATACAAAATATTTTTCGTCAAGTAGCAATTGAATTTTGCAAAAAAAATGTTTGTAGATAACAAATTAATTTGTTTTAGTATACATTGCACAAAACTTGTTTAGAAGAAATGATT